AAAAATAATTAATATATAAATAAATGGCAAATAAATTTTAAATAACTTATATTTAAAGAATAAAAGGTTAAATTTTTTAATTAATTATTTAAAAATTGCATTTTTCTTTTATATATTATATTTTAACGTATAGGCTTTTTTGCAATATTATATATTAACTTTCTTTTTAAAAATAATTTTTAAAATAATATTAATATAAAAATCTTTTATTATAATTATGTTAGTTAAAATAAAATCTTATATATTAAATTTATTAAAATTATTAAATATTCCTTTTATAATTTTAATATTTTATTTAATAATAAATAAAACTAATAATTTAATTTTTATTATTTTATTATTTTTAATTTTTACCTATGTATTAAATTTTAAAAAGGTTTTATTATTAATTAAGTATAATTTATTATAAATATTTAATATAATATAATTAATTAATAAATAATGTTTTAATTAAATTAAAATAATATATATTTTATAAATAAGTTTATATTATATATTTATTTTATTAATTATAATTATGGTTATTAAATATTTTAAATAATTTAATTTATTATTATTATTTAATTAATTCTTTTTAACGTTAGGTTTAAATTTTATATTAATTTTTTATTTTTATAATTAAATTTAAATTTAAAACATTTTTTATTTAAAAAAATTAATAATATTTTTTAATTATTTTATATCTATTCTTATTAGATTAAAATTATTTTAATTAATATTTTATAATTTTAATTATAGTAAATTAAAATGTTTTATAATTAATAAAAACTTACGTATAAATATTTATATTTTTTTTTCGAAATATAAGTAATTATAACCTTTTTTTCCCTTTATTAATAGCTTAAAATAATTAAAATTAATTATTATATTTATAAAATATATTTTTAGCTTATTAAATTGGTTTTAAAATATTATATTATTTTTTAAAACGGTTAAAAATTATAAAAAAAACTTCTTTAATAATTTAAGATTTTTATTTATTTATTTTATAATTATAAATTTCTTAATTTATCTATTTACTTAATTAATAACTTATTATATTTTAATTATTTTTAAGAAATTTAAGGTTATAACGTTTTTTTTTTAAGATTTTATAAGTATATTTATTTCTATATAACGTTTATTATTAAAAAAATTATTTAATTAGTTTTATCTTCTCAACGTACGTTTATTAAAAATAATAACGGTAATCTTTTTATAATTTTATATAAAATATTAGTTATTAAAATAAAATTATTATTAATATATTTTAAAATAATAAATATAATAATTTCTTTTTTAATTATTTTTTTTAAATATATTATAATATTTAATTTATTACTAAAATATTAACTATTTTTTTTATTTAAATAATTATATATTATTTTAAAACTTTTATTAAAATTCTTATTTAATATCTTAAATATTTTTAAAAAATATATTACTATTTTGGTAAATAATTTTAACTTATTTAAATATATTTATTTTATTTTATTTAATTATTTTTAACGTAAGAGTTTTGGTTTATTTAACAAAACTTAAAATAAATACGTATTTTTTAAGATTTATTTATTCTTAAATATTAAACTATAAAATATTTTATTTTATTTTTAATATTTAATATAAATAATTATACTTAATGTTTAAAAAAATTATAAAAACCAAAAAAATAGTTTTAAATAAATTTTTATTATATAAATCTATTATAATAATATACAAATAAAATAATTATTCCAATAATTTTATAATAAAAAAAATAAATATTTATATTTATTATTATATAATTATAATAAAATTTAAATATAAATTAAGTTTATAATTATTAAAAAATTATTAATATTATTTAAATATATATAATAACTTTTTTATTATTAAAAAGTTTATTTTTTTTTAATATGGAATGTATAAAACGTATTTTTTTTATAATTAATATTTATATAATAAAAGTGGTTAACGCTTTAATTATTTATAATTAATGTGGCAGTTATGTTATACCCACAGCTGTGGGACTTATGCACTGTGCGATATTAATAAAAAGAGAATTATTTAAGAGATTATATTAAAAACATGGTTTATTTATATATATATATGCCTTTTTTTATTAATGGAGACAAAGGTTTTTATAAGTCATTATATAACCATCACTTAACAATAATATTTTTAATACTTAACCATTTTTTAATAAAAATTATATTTACCTTTATTATTATTATAATAATATTTATAATTAATATAATATTAATTATTATATCCATTATTATTTTTTTTATTAATATTAATTATAAATTAATAAAATAAAATAAATAAAATATATTATAATTATAAAATATTATAATATATTTAATAAATAATTATAATAAATTATTATTTTTTAAAAATCTTATTTAAAAATATATTAATATAATAATAATTCATTAAATATAATTTATAATATTTTTCATTTAAATTTACATTTTTTTATATTATAAAAAATAAAAAATATTTAATTTTAATAATATTATATTTTATTTTATTTTATATTAAAATATTAATATTAAGGTATATTATAAAAAAATTATAAAAAACATAACATAAAATTAAGTTTATTAAATTTTTATTATATAATTTATATTTAAAAAAATCGAAATTTATTTTTTAAAATATCGTAAGGTTTTTTTTATATAATTATTTTATTATTTTAAACCTTTTTAAAATAGTTTATAATAGTTAAAAACATATTTTATTAAATATTTATATTAAAGAAATTTTATAATAAATTTAATTTTATTAATTAATAATAAATATATAAATTTATTTTATTACGTTAATTATTAATAAAAGTAATAAATTTATTTAAAAAATGAAATTATAATTATTTATAAATTAATTTTTTTTATTTAATTTTTTATTTAAAAATTATTAATGTTATATATAAATTATTTAATGATAATTTAAAAAATTTAAATTTATTTCTTAAGATTTATAAGTTAAATTATTCCTATATTAAATTAATAAGGTACCATTAATTATATCTTAAATTATATTTTTATTATTTTATATATAATGGGATATTAAAATTGGTTAGTGGAAAAAGTCCCGGAGGGGATATTAATGGTTTTTATAAAGCTTAAAAAAGAAGGGGAAAGGAATAAAAATAAGCGCCAGGAGCTTAAATATTATTTTAATTCCCTTATTAAGGTTAAGTTAATTGGTACGAATAATTCAGTATCTTTTGGGGAGGTTACGTAAAAGGTGGCGTTTGGAGAGGGGGAAAGGGGTTATGCGATAAGGGCGATGATTGGTAAAGGGACTATGTAATGGGTTTTAATTGTTGGGGCAGGGGTGATATATTGGGAATTGATAAGGGAATATTGGGCAAGGGGGTGGGGTGCAACGTAGCTTATGGAGTAGGTGACGCGTATTGCAAGCCAGGTGATAGGTCGGTAAGCGTAGTATTTAGTAGAAATATTTGCTTTATTTATACAATTATATATATTGGTATATATAAATTAAAAATTATTAATTATTATATTAATGTATTTAAATATATAAATATATATGCGTTAAAATAATTTTTTTTAATATTATAAATTAAAAATTTTTATATTAATATATTAAATTATTTTTATTTTATAATTTTTAATTTATTAAAATTTTATATTAATAATTTATATAAAAATATTAAATTAATAAATATTTTTATATTAATATTTTTTATATTAATATATTTTATAAAATTATTTATTATAAAATTTTTAAACCATTTTTAATATATATATATTTAATATACTTTTATTAATATTTTTAAAATTTATTAATATAAATAGTTTTTAAATTACTTTTTATTTTATATTAATTATTTTAAAATTTATTATTTTTTATTTTACCGTTATTAAATTAAATTATATTTTAATAAATATAATTTAATTAATATTAAAAATATCTTTTAATAATTTTTATAATTTATTTTTATTTTTTTATTTAATAAAATTATATTTTTAATGATTGTATGATAATTTATAAAGACTTTTATCCTTATTAATAAAAAAAGGCACATATATATATAAATAAACCATGTTTTTAACATGGTTTTTTACGTAAATCTTTTTTTTAAACAACTTTAATATATTATTTTAACACCATTACTTTTTTAATTATTACTTTATTATTTACTTTATCACACATACGTATTTATTAACAATTTTATAATTTAAACTTAAATTTAAATTAAATTTTTTATTTATATTTTTATAACATTATTAAATAAATAAATATCATTAAAAATAATATTATTAAAAAAATAATAAAATTAAATTATAATATAATAATAATGTTAAATTAACTGTGTATTACGTAATAATATAAAAGGAATGCAAATAACGACTGTGTTTTAATTGGTTATATTAAGATAAAAGAAAAAGAAAGGTTCCCCCGAGTGGGGAAAGATATTTATTATATAAATGCGTGGGCTATGCGTGGGCGGTGTGTATAAGCATAACCCTGGTCATGTGGCGAGGTCACATGACCGTTATTTTAACAAATAATAATTTATAAAAATTATGTATTAAAATAAAGTTATAATTTAATATATATTATTAAAAATATAATATAAATATTATATATATTATTATAATAACATTTTTTTTAATTTTATTAATTTATATTATTATTATTTAATAATATTAATTAATATTAATAAATATATACGTTATAATAAAATAAATAATAAAATAAATAATAAAATAATAATTAAAAAATTAATAATATTAAAATAATATATTAAAAATATTTAAAAAAAATTATTTAAAAGATTATATCGAAAATATAATTTATTTATATATATATATTTTTTTAATAATAAAAATAAAAGTTTTTATAAATCATTATATAATCATTATTAAATAAAAAAGGTTTTAACTTTTTATTAAAAAAAACTTAAAATATTTAATTATAATTTTTCCGTATTAATAATTACCATTTTAACTTTTTATAATTATATAAAATTATTTAATATTTATTTTATAAATTAATATAAATAAATATAAATTTATTAAAAAATATATTTTATTTATATTTTATATAATTATAATATAATAAAATAAACCTTTTAATAAAACGTTTTAAAAATCGGATATATAAAAACGTTACGCCTTACGAAACCATTCCCCGGATAGAACTGTTCCCTAAAACCCCTCACCTCTGCTATGGTAGGTATACTATCTGTCTCACAATATTTAACCAAGTCATCAAGTAAAGAACACCTCAAGTACCTCGGTCGTTAAGACTTACATATATATGATACTCTTAGCTACCTCATTCACAAGGCTTGGTTGGTATGAAATATGCTTACGCTTGTGGTATGCTTCCACATTAACGCATCACAGGCCAAAGAGGAGTAGGATCGAACCAAACAAATACGATCAAGGCAAATAACAGACACTGGTTAAAATGCCTCAAAACGTTTACGACCGACAAGACTTCTTCGAGAACTATATCAAGCTAGATCGCCAAGTTAGAGGGCTCCAAGGTGCACCGGAATGGCCGCAACTAAAATCAATGCTTCCGAATCTTAATGGTCTCACCGTGCTTGACCTAGGCTGTGGGTTTGGTTGGTTCTCTCGGTTTGCGAGAGAGAGCGGCGCAGAATCTGTTCGCGCGATTGATATCTCTGAAAATATGCTTGAAAGAGCTCGAGAAATGACTACCGACGACAAGATCCAATACGAAAGGGCTAATTTGGAAGAGCTAAGATTGGCGGCAAGTCAATACGATGTCGTCTTTAGCTCACTTGCTTTTCACTATATCGTGAACATTGCTGGTTTGATTAAAGAGATTGGTATCGGACTGAAGTCGTCGGGACGCTTAGTATGTTCCATCGAGCACCCGATATATACAGCGCCGTCAAGACCTAGATTTATAGTGGATGAAGAGACGGGTAGCAAGTCATGGCCGTTAGATGACTATCAAAAAGAAGGATTGAGAACGACTGATTGGTTGGCGCCAGGGATCCAGAAGCAGCATAGAACGATCGGAACCTATATTAGTATCATGCTGAGAAATCATCTTCAGCTCACGGATTTTATAGAATGGTGTCCAACAGAAGAGGAATTAAAACGGTTTCCTACAAGAGAGAGCGAGGTAGTAAGGCCTACGTTTCTGTTACTAGGTGCAACAAAGTGACCTTGTAGGTTAGGTATAAAGGGAACAACTATGTATTCAATAGAAAGGAACAAGGGATTATGTTCAATACCTATGGACCTAAGCATTGCTTTGCGCCAGCTGTAAGTAGGTGACGGTAGGTGACACCAACTGTGATTAGATCGAATAAGCGGCTAAAGATCGGTATAACTTAAGTACCTAGGTATACATACCTAAAAGGGTAAGATACGCGGTGATCTTGCCTTAGGCAGGTACCTCCCAGCCTGTTATGTCTTGTATGTCAAGTCGCAACGACCTTGTGCCAGGGATCATAGGAAGCTTACCAGCCTACCTACCTACCTACATGTATGTATGTATTGTACCTACCTTGCGCCTGCGCTTGTCGTCATCCCTTATTGCGCAACATCCATCTCCATGGCCTATCTTACCTTCATACCTCTTTTTTTGAAATTGTAACGCGCCAGTTCGAACCCGAGTCGATTTTACGCCCAGCATCACGGATAGGATTTCGAGCCTCTTGCCCGCTTCATAACTCAAAAGCCCCCCTGCGCTAGACGAGACTCAATTTCGAAGCCCCTCAGCGCTTCATCTTTCACACCAACCAATTTACTTACCTAACTCCTGGCGCGAAGCTGGGAAGGAGACATGGTTAAGAGATTCCGGTAGACGAGACGATTGCTTGAATGCAACCCTTGAATCCCTTCCTAGCCGCCTTCTTCAAGCCCGGCAGTCCCATTGTCACTCAGTGCACTCCCGTTCATCACCACATTCTTCTAGTCCCGACAACCGAATTCTTCCTTACCTCCCGCGAAACCGAAAGCGGCCTATCTCTGTCAGACATTGTTGGGTCTGAAGATTTTCTGGGAAGCCATGTACTTCGTGTTCCCAGTCCGGCCACCGCTGCGGGAGGGAAGGACTCTGTCGGAAACTTGCGCGAGCAGAGGGGTAAGGCTAGGCAATACTCAACCTTGAATGGGCGTAGTGTTGTCGTTAAGGATGCTTTCATATATAGCAACAAAGGTAAGTGAAATTCGAGATAGCGACACTAGCTCTTCCTAATTATCTATCTAATTGCCAACTTGATAGGGTTCAAGACACTTTCCCAAGCACAATTACTAAATGACACTCTCTGGTATGCCGACAGCATCGAACTGCGGCAATGGTTAATATATTATATCTCGCGGCCTCTGGTCGGCGTCTGGGTGGACAGGGAGGTTCCGCGTGCTATTTTTATAGAAGGCATGGCAAAAGCTAAACTTGCAGAGGCCAAGCGAGCTGCTGCTGTTGAAAATGGCGAACCGAGTACACCGCGGAAGAAGGATATAAAGAGTTTTCATGATCTTCTCAACCATTTCCCAATGATTGCAAGGCAGATGCATCCTGGGTTAGAAAAGTTGTTCCGGGAATTCACGACAATTTTCGAGAGACCGCTTCCCCCTCCGCCGTCTGCGACACACATACCTGATCCTATCCCAGACGGTCCTATAGCGACAGCTATGAAGAAGGTGCGCTCGAATAGCCTATCTGTACGAAGAGCTAGCGTAGACGACGATGAAAGTACCCGAACAACTGAGAGTTTCTACGCCGAAGATGATGAGGATGTTATGAGAGCTTCACTTGAGACAGCAGTCACGAGCGCTATCGATCTGTTTCAAAGTGTTGATAAACAGCAGCTTTCTATGCTTGGGGCGACAACCGATCTCACTGGCCCGGTGGTTGAACGACTAATAGAACGGTACGTGGCTGAGAATGTTCATAACCTTATATGGCCTCGACTTGCTGCGATGCGACGACCAGAGGACCTCGAGCTTGAGGCAAAAATTCGACAAATAGAATTCATCGATATTTCGCAACTGGGAATCTTTATTGAAGGTGGTCCCAGAGCGAAGCATGGGCTTACAGTTAGACTCAGCCACGCTGTCGAAGAATTTCGCAGAATGTCCTCAGCGATGTGTCCACAGGAGATGATGGAAATCTTGTTATCGACAATGAAAGCCGCCGCACAATTGACCGAACAATCCAATCCAAATGCTGGACCTACTACGACAGAAAAATCTACTCTCACCGTCAACGCTGATACTCTAGTGTCATTGCTCCTCTTCGTTGTAATTCGGGCCGGTGTGAAATACCTCCAGGCCAGGTTACTTTATATAAAACACTTTGTCTTCATTGATGATGTAGATAGTGGCGAGTTAGGTTATGCCATTAGTACATTTGAAGGAGTACTCTCATACCTCTCCACGGACTCGAGTAGCCTACGAAGAGCGAGTCGCCGGAACAAAGGTCTCTGGGATGCAGCTGCGAAAGGCGATATGAATGAGCTTAAAAAGATGATGGACCCAGATCCAGATGCTATCGATTTCGATGTTGATGAAGAAGAACCCTCAATGCCTCCAGTTTCGAGTCGTTCGCCATCAATCAGCTGGAGTATGGTTAATGGCTCATCTAGGAGGTCTTCAACAGCATTTGCACCATCCGACTCATACTCCCGAGGATCGGGGCTGAGCCATGTATTTCCATTTCAGAATCAGGCCCTCGAAGATTCTCCAGTGCCCCCAATGAAGAAAATCAAGAGAGTTGCTATGGACACTAGGAGCATGTCAAGTGGCTCAGAGTTTTCGTATCATTCTAGGGCAGGTAGTATTATTACTCTGGGAAGTGGCCTCGAAGGCGATACGTCAATTGAACGGCTCTGTCAAACTGAAGATTCTCTTGGGGAATCTATTTTAATGATGGCGGTCCAAAATGGGCAGCCAGAGGTTCTTAGATACCTACTCTCACTCGAAGATTATTTCCCACCCAGCACCCTTTTGGACGACACTAATAACGAAGGCACCAGTCTTCTGAGCGCTGCTGTTCAGCTGGGTCACACCGAGTTAATTGATGCTATCCTAGACTTTGCGATGGCTTCAGCTTCTGAGCTGCAGATTCGGAATTACTTATCCCTGCAAGACACTCGGGGCCGCAGCGTCGCACACTACCTATTCCACGCACCGTCCCTAATCGGCCGCATTGGTAAGCTACTCCCTTGGCGACAAAAGGATAGAAATGGCCAAACACCATTGTTCGCGCTCTGTCGATCGTACGATCACCAGAATTACCACGATATGGTTGAGGCCGGTCTCGAAGCAGCGACGGGTGCACAGGGCGACGGCCAGCCACTTCACTTAGACGAGCATGTTGATTCAAAAGGGAACACTCTCTTGCATATCATCAATGATCACCAATTAGCGGTGAAAATCCTTATGCAGTGCGACGTCGACGTTAACGCCACAAATGATAGGAAATTCACTGCGCTAATGGTAGCTAGTAAATACGGTCGCTTCGAGATGGTTAGGGTGATGTACTCGGATCCAAGGGTGGATGTAGCCGCGAAGGAGCTACGTGGGCTTACTGCGGTAGAACTGGCAAAGGATGACGAGGTTCGGAATAGAATCGATGATCTGACACTCTTTACCATGCCACCTGCTGAGGACGGACGTATCACTGGCGTTGTTAGATCCTTCTTCGTGGAAGATGCTACTATTCGGCTGGTTCTCAAGTCGGGGGCCCCTGCAGATGACGACAGTTACACGGTTACTACATGCCGTCGCTCTTTTACAGACTTTGAGCGTCTAGCCCACTTGCTATCTCTCGAGAACCCAGCGTCGTGGATTCCGAAAGTCACAAGCCAACGGTCACCATTCCAGATCCCTTCAAAGCCCTCCAGAGCCGTCCTGAAGGACATACAAATACGAACTGATTCGTTTCTTAAGATACTTTTAGCTCATCCTACCTTTGCGACACACGAGATGCTATGGGAATTCTTTTTGGTGCCTGATTTACAAGCTGACATGATGGAACAACGCAGCAGACTAAAAGCTGAGACGAGAGCTGAGAAAGTGCGAGATGAGTTGGAACCTCTAGAAGATATTCGCGAAGTAGAACAGTTTGTGGAACACGCCCGAGATATGGTCCGTAGTGTCAATTATTCGACTAAGAGTGTTGCGCGAAGGACCAATGCTATTGGCGTCGTCACAAATGGTAATAACAACAGCACTTTCATATCTATTATCTAGTACTAATATGTCTACAGATTTCTATGATGCAGCGACTTTGGTTTCACGAAACGTTAATAATCTTGCCTTTTTACCTCAAACGCATATCTCTGCGTTTGACGCTTACGTTCAAGCTCTTGTTCCCCCGCAATCTAATCCGTCATATCTATTTCATAGTTCCTTTTCAGCTCTTCAATCTACTATACAAGCCATGCTCTCATCATTATCCCGGCCATTACAGCTTGTAACCCAAATAGTATCTTCTCGCAAGGCAATAGACCGCAACTATAGCTCCGTCTCGCGCTCGACAAGATGGCCACTCGGGCTACTTGATGAAACCCGCCAGCGTCTCAATGAGGAGAGGGAAGAAAAAGCAAGGCGTGCCCAGACAGAGGTAGACGTTCTAAGTAAGGAGCTTCGATACACACAGCAGACGGTAGCAAGCGAATTAGCGGGGTGGGAAGATATGCATGAGCGTATGGGCCGTAGGGCCATAAGGGAGTTCGCTAGAGGGATGCTCATCTTGGAGCGTGAGCGACTGCAGGCTCTTCGTAGGGCGCAGCGGAAACTGCAAGATTTAGGATCGACTTTTAGCAATGAGATTCATGAGTCGGAAATTGATCCCGATGATACGGCAGTAATGGAAAACGGCGTTGACGATGATGCCGCAGGCAGCGAGCCTAGCACAATGAGCGAGGCGTTCTAGAATAGACCAGGTATTTGGCAACGATCTGAGGTGTTAATCCGGGTCCTCTTAGATGGGTGGCCATTGAATAGCAAGCAAGGACTTAATGCAACTATCATAGCCATATTAGCCATACCCGCGTGCCATTCGGATGCTCATGTATCCGTTCTCATACTTCAAGCCAACCCTAATATCGGTACATCCATCGTACAGAGTCGACCGACCGACCATATAAGAAAAGGGAGGCAGCCCATTGTCATATTATATACAGCCTACGACGATTTAAAACTTGATTTCAGCTGCTTGAAGGCGGCCATGCTACTTGAAACGGACCGGATCATCGATGAGCGTTTCGCCTCGGCCGAGTCGATGGCCAGACAGCGCAGGCCTCTCTTATACGTGCGTGTAAGGCGCAGGTCAAGGGAAGCAGAAAAGTCTAAACACGGGCCGCAGAATAACGACCGCAGAAACGAAACAAAGCTTAGCATTGTCATGTGCTACATGTTGATACCATATTTACTATATCCCGGCATCTTGTGCTGAATAACCAATTGATCAAAAGGCAGGATTTCTCATAGCCTAGGTTGTTAATGTTTCTGAATATCCCACAAGTACCGAAGGGTCGGCAAAATCACAACTTGGATAAGCTAGGGTCAAGATCTAAGACAAACACATCGTGTGTAAAGGTCGCGAGGACAAGTCATTCCCAGCCACTTGATTTTCCACTTACATCGAGGATCAGAGACGGATCGTCGTCCCGCAAGCATCATAGATTTTACTAGATCAGCATTTTTCTCAATATCTCAATACACTAACCTAGGTATCTAGCCAAGCTTGTAGAGTCATAATCATACACCGATCATGATTATCGTGCAGAAAGCTAGACAGACGTATGATGCATCTGGATGTGAGAGCCGGGAAAGATGACTCACTCACTCGGGCGTGCAGATGCAGATAGACTAGACAGTGAACAGCAGCCGGGAGGGTCGCTATGAGCGAACGAGAATGGTCCCGGGAGTGTAGATGTGAAACAAAAGCCTGAAAGGGAAAAGACTTGAAACGAAACTTTTTTTCTGGGTTTGTTCTTCTAGCCCGCCCTTTGGTATGGCTTCTTCAACCTTCTGGCCAATAGACCATCTTGGACGCGGTTGAGAAGGTACTTCTCGTGGGGTAACAACATGTCGTGAGCCGATTGGTTGTAGCTATAAGTTTAGTTACAGTTTAGTTACAATGCACACGAGCGCGTTGGTGACCCGCAAATCAAGAAACTTTTTACTGTGCGCCATTCTTCTTTTGGAGCCGCGAGTCGCGGGGGCGGGGCCGTGGCTTTGGGCGTGGGCGTCCGGACTTTTTTTGGGGGGGGAAAGGGAAGGGACGTTTCCATTTCTTGCTATTTTGTGGCAGCCCGTGGCAGTGGCATTTTACGCGCCGGGCGGGAGGGGCTGTGCAATAGAAATTGCTCGTGTAACTTCGTACCTAACCCTTGCCTTTGACGCCTGACGATATCGGATCATGTTTAGGCGCGCCTCATTCTTTACGCTGGCGCTTACGGCTTTGCTCGGACGCCGAAGATCTTCGTCAAGGAATCTGACGGAATAATCGACAAATATCTACCTAAACTTCATCTCGTAGGGCGGAGCGATAAAGGCATAAGGAAGGAGGATCATCATACGTATGAAGACTTACACGATGGTGACCTGGCAGTGCCTATAGCCGCTGAGGCAGTAATAATCATTCAATACCTCTTCGCAAAAGTTCTGGAACACTTCTTGAAGCTGCTGTTTCAATTGATGCGATGTAGTGCTTCTTCATCTGATAACTGGTCTTATTTAATTAAGTGAGCCTATTAAGTCTACCTACCCCCAGTATATCAAGTCCAATAGGACCATCTTCGGCGGTCCTCTTGCCTTGCCTCGTCTCTGGTTATTGTGGTTTTGATTTCCAGGTTTGCAGATTTACACAGGTACACAAGTACACACACCCGACTATTACACAACTTGGGTAGGTACCTACCTGCCGCCTATTATACGGAAGACATATAGAAAAATGCATGTTCTCATATTCACCGTGCGCCATTTTGGCTCACCTTTAAAATTAAGCCCCACAATACGTACATACCTACATATGTATAATCGATAATCTCTAATTGCCGCCCAACCATCGATAGCCGCCCGCACTCCTACCAAAAAAGAAGATAAGATCGCTACCTAATCAGTCTTCTTCGGTCAGTGCTTCATTTTACTTCTACTATTTTTATCGGTTGGCAATTTAATCTTAGCGAGCGGCAAAACAGATCTATCTCGTTAATCAAGCGCAAGCGCGGAGTGGGAATGCCGTATACCCTGGATACCCTAGATCTATTATATGGTAGGTATGCAGAATTATTGCTGAAGAAGAAAAAGAGGAGTTCGGATCTTCAACGTTCCTGTGGCGGAGTGCGCGGTTGTGATATTGGGTAGCAGAAATTCATGCGCGCAGCCTCTTTTTGCCGTATCGCATTGAGAATGTCCTCTACTATGTCCCCTATTGGTATTGTCTAATGGCAGCAAGCCTAAGTGCATGCATCGCGAGGATGTCGTGGAAATAAGTAGAATCTTAGAACCGAGCTCTATAGCTCAGTAGAGTATCAGGGCAAGAAACAAGTGGCTGTGTGTTGTGATATTGTTCGCTATAGCAACGCATAGCAACGTAAAAGACACGGTCGTATGTAGTAGTAGACGTACAACCACGTCCATTCACGATCATGACGCCCTTCACGCGTCGAATGATAGATTGCAGACGCGTTCTAACGTCTTGCAGGTACATGCAGAGATTGTTCCCGGGGATGCATCTTGCTCCACACAATCGAAGGACCACAAGCCAAACTAATGCACGATGGGACATGTGTCTATTTCTGATATGAGTCACACTGTCGGGATTCGGATTAGTTTGTTCTTAATTTGCTCTAATATGGCCTTGCATTCAACTGCGAGCACAAGCGACTAGACTACGAAAACTACGAAAACTACGAAAACTACGAAAACTACGAGAACATAGAAAAGAATTCCCACATTCTATCCATAGGTTAGGTACCTAAGGAGGTATCTACGCAAATGGGCAATGGGGACATCTCAGAATGGAACGTTGTACCGACTTGACTTAACTACATGCCGTATAAAGTAGTAATATAGAAGAGCAAAAGAGACAATAGCTTTTTTGTCCACTCACAGTTGAGGATCTACGGTCCGTAAAGGGATCCCGGACTGTCAGATCTGATAGGCCTGTTTTCTGTAGCCACGATAAGCTCTTGGCTTTCTTTTGAGCAAGGGAAAAATAAGTTTAAATCTAATAAATACCTACACTGTGCTTAGCCGCCCATTCTACGCCGATCTAAACTGATCCTAACGTGTAAATTCGATTATCTTTTTACGGTATAATGTACTGTTTATTACTCCGCGCTAAGAGAGATTGGTGGTGCTAAGCCTGAGCCTGTACGCGCTGCGTTGCGCTGCACAGCGGTGCAAGGCGGGGCGGACTACTCGGGATCCACCCGTTAAGTATACCCACTTTGCTACTCTATTTTCGGTACGTACCGGCCCAACTTCACCTTGAGCCAAATCCACTTACACGCAGCCCATTCATCCAACCCGCCGCCAACCTACTAAGACCCTGACTAGGTATGGACCGACCAGGCTGTTCGATTTCCCACATACTACGCTACTTACATCCGAATTATATTCTCCTTCTCCATGTTTCAGGTTGGCCATTCTTGCATTTGAAAAATACATCATCGTTTAGCCCAAGGCTGGTTCTGCCGAGCTGATTGGCATCCCGGTTCATCGTGGCCCGGCCGTATCCATCTCGAGGATAAGAGGACCGGTCCTCCTCCTCCTTCCGTCTCTCTTCTGTTCTAGTTCTTCAGTATCAACTCTCTGGTCGGATAGGATCAGCTTTTCTTTTTCATCCTTATTTATTAGATATTTTTTTCGAGGCAGGCCGCTGGCTTCACGACCTGAATTTCCTCTCTTAGCTTCACAGCATCAAGCCTCCATTCACACCAGTGCTTTGCCCTCTACCAAATACTCAGGAGCCGGCTCTCCTATCCACCTTCACTTTATAATCTATAATCGTCTAGTTCTTGTCTAGGCAGACAAGAACACTCAAATCTAAATATCGACATGGCTACGTAAGTCTTAGGATCTCTGCTCTTATTATAGAGACGTAATAACTAATACTCCTTTACACAGTCTGGCAGGAGACATGTCTTTTGACTTTACATTCCCTTCATGCGAGCCCGTCACGCCACCGAGCTTCAATTTTGAACCATCTCTGCTTGAATTTTCTTATCATCCCGGACATGCTCGCTCAAGCTCGTATGGATCTTTTTGTTCTACTACCGAGACGTCGCCCTCCGACTCGGTTAGCACACGGGTCACCACACCGTCCCGCTCACCACCGCCAATCCGACAACATGGCCCCATTCTGCTGCCCAAGATTCGCTCCCAGGACCAGGCCATTGAATCGCCCGCCAAGCGTGTCAGGACATCGCCTACTCCCGCCCCAAAGCCTAGCCGCCGCCCAAGCTTCCGCCCTTCGCATACCCGGAGCTATACTAACCCGGAGACTTTAAATCACTTCTCAAACGCATTCTTTACTTCTCAGGACGAACAAAATACCATGTCTCAATCGCTTCTATGCTCTCCCATCACCTTCCCTCAGGATAGCATGAACCAGCCCCGCCGCGCCTCAGCCGTCAGCCTCGATGGTGCAACGCTTGAGAAGTATGGCTTTCCTACTTATCGCCAGATGCCATCATACGTTCCAGCTGTTCCCCAGCCCCAGAACGACCAGTTCTTCTATAGCTACGCGCCTCGCGCCCCTTCTCCATTAAACCTCTCTTCCACCCCTACACCTGATCCAACCCCATCCACTACTCTCATGAACTACCTCACAACATCCAACCCTGCTCCGTCTCTGGTGCGCACCATCTCATTCCCAATGCGTGACCCTCATACCAAGCATTTCTGGTGGGATGTTCGCCAAATCCGATCATGGACCAGCTTTAACTTGAGTACAATACTCTCCCTTCCCGGAGCATCTGGTCTCCTGAACTGCCCAGTCCCGCAGCCGCTTCTCCAGCAGCCCCCCACTGGTGCACGTCACCCCGAGACAGAAGCCGCACTCCATGCAATCTACGCCTCTTACTACATCCCTAAGCTTAACTCGGCCCTTGGGCTTTCTTCCCAGCGACCTGTCCAGCTCTCTGTTCCTTCGACCAAGGCTACCACAACTTCATCTAATGACCACGTTTTCGTGGCTAACATTGCTGGCGAGTCCTCTACCGCAGCAGCAATCTTCGGTGGTAAGCCTACAGCTCGCGTGGTTGGACTGGTCAAATCTTTCGACCGTTTTAACACGGGTATGCGTGTTGAGGGCAACATCAAGCGCGTCGAGTACCTACGAGGCCTAGCTCACTTACACCACGTAATGCGCGAGCACGGCACACGTTATGGATTTATCTTAACTGAAATCGAGCTAGTTGTCTGCCGCAACGGTGCTGAGGGCACCCCGCATTTTGGCTACCTAGAAGTCAGTAGTGTCCAGCTTGCTGCGACGGCCGACTCAGTTTCTGATGAGAGTGATGAGATCCCCCTAACTGCTTGTCTTGCACTCTGGGGCCTGTGCATCATGGCCAGTGATGATGGCGTCAATTCCCACGGCCTAGGTCTTAACGGCCAAGTCACCTGGAAGGCAGAAATAGGAGCTCCCGCTGAGGGGACGAGAAGAAAGGCGCTTCCAAGAGATGACTGGATGCCTCAACCGCAGCTCGCAGAGAAGCGCGAAGCGAAACGCGCCAGGGGGTGGGTCTTCCCAGAAGAGCCTGTAGGCAGGAAGGAGCTCGGAAAGAGAGGTGTCCGGTATGGTGGCTGTTAATTAATTATTATTTAGTTCTATTTTTTGGGGGGGTGAGCAGGTTTGGCTGGTTCCAATCCTTGTTCGTTGGATCTTGTGGAAGCAGTGTTTTAAGCGGATGAGAAATGAGGCATGATTGACGAACACTGGCTTTACGCGGGGGGTTGGGCTACTTGGTTGGTTAGATTACCAGCCCCAGATATCCAGGGAATGAAGCATTAGTTACTTCTAATACTGAAGCAAATCAGTTAAACTATCCGTCCAAGATCTCAAGTATAATGACTAGTTGAAGGGTTAAACAATAAGCTAATAGAGTATTAATAAATGTAAGGAATCAGCTGTAGTTTATAGGCGAAGCGTTTCCGCCCCGTTTTATATAGTTGAGGTCTCTCTATATTTCTCAGTTTAACTTCCAAGAAGTCGACTCCAATTCAAGTTCAAATTATTCCCATCTACATCAAGGACCCCTACTCTTCTTGGGGCTGTCGTGACCAGAATTAGGGACGAAACATAGCACATGGAGTGTTTGGGCAAGTTAATATGGTAAAAGACGTACTATTACACTCTGATCATTCGAGAAAGCCATCTTTGGTTGGCAGTTCCGATAAGTCGGCTGGAAGTACTTTTAACAGCATGACAGAACACAAACTACAGCGCAACGACCATGGGCTAGGTAGGTAGGTAGGTAGTTATCATGATACCTTTCACATAACACCTTCTATAATATATGCGGGAATATATACTAAGTAAACTTATAGATACTACAATTGCAATTTATACGAGTGGGATTTTGGCGTCTACCTATTCGCCGATGTAGACATGTATTGCTTTATATTACCCGGCATCCTGCATACCACTCGCCTCGCCTCGCTCGCACACTCGGGGCTATTCTCTCGGGACTATCTACCCGAGTTCGCGACTAATCAGCCAGGAGTTGGGGTAAGATGACGTCTGTGTGCCGTTTTTTTTTTCTCTCTATCCTCCTCACTCCTTTTATCCTCTGGAGCGGCTTGGTATTTCTTAACCCGGTCGTCGTGGGAGGCTGGATATACCCATGTCAACATGTGATGCTGGGCGCGTGGTTTTTGAAATAACCGTTGGTCCATGCTGGATCTAGATTGTTATCGTTAATATATCGCTGCCGCATGAGGTACGCGTCAGGAGATATGGGGTTGACCTCATAGTTGCAGCACGCGCTAGGAGGTAGGTAGTTTATACAACTTCGACGCAGGTTTGGGCTTCTTGTTAAAAATTCATTCGGTCAACTTTTAGTTGGAGAGTGTATGTAGCTTAAGTTGAATTCTAGAGTATATACATTATAAGCTATTCTAAAAAAGTATTTTCGATATCCCCAAGAATAAGCAAGTATGAACAGCCCGCTTACTGCTGCTGTTGGCGAATCGTAATGCCATCGGCGGAAACCGTTGTTTTGGAGTAGATCTGCCCGCTGGTGCCCTGGATCTCAAAGGTTCCGGCTCCTGTAGGCCCGACCCTGGTTCCGTTCGCGAGGGTCGCGCTACTCTTGGTGAAAGTGACTGTATCGAAACGTGGTACGCGGACTAGCTCCCCAGCCTCTTGGTAGGCCTGGACAAACCAGTCAGCGGCGAGTGCTGTCAGCGCGCTTGGGTCTTGTACTTTGGCGGGAATTGGCAATGTCTGAGTGGACTTCTTGTTCTGAGTCGTGTTCTCGACGATGACAGTGCCCGTAGACTCGTCCGGATCCGAGACTGACACTGTGACAGTGATCGAATCCCCAGCACTGACAGGCACAGCACTCGTGATGTCAGTCTCGTTGTCTGGGTACCAGGCGGCGAAGGATGCCAGGCCGTTAGAATAAGTGACACCGCCCTTGAGAACAACGTCTTGCTCGAGAGTGTCTCCAATGGCAACCCATATCGAAAGTTTGTTGGTTCCGCTTAGGTTGGGGACGGTGAAGGTTCCTGTGACAGAGGTAAAGGATTGGCCCTCAGGAGCTTTGAGAACGGCACCTCCGCGGTTCTGGTCGAATGCTGCAAAGGCAGCGGGGGTGAATAAGCCTGTGATGAGGGCACTGTAAGTAGGGAACCTCATAGCTGATAGAGTAACGTGGATATATGATAGAGTATATCCAGTGCGTATGTACGTGTCTGACAAGTCTCTAAAGAAATATGTTGCTGTGCGGTCTAACGGAGGGATCACAGAGATGGCCTTGCCCATTTATTATGTGATCGACATGCTCAAGACAAGGCGTCTACGAACTGGCCACGTTCAACAGATGATTCCACAAAATACCATGGGGGTCATCCCGCATCCATGGCTACGTCCACCATGATAAGAAAATGTTTAAAGGTTGGCTATAATATCTCGTGGATACGGTCAGACTCTATTCAGACGTTGGGACCGGACATCCCTTTTGGGAAACTGGAGACCTAAAGAAGCCAATCAGAAGACGATGTCTACCACATTCATTGGTTGGGTATATTGTCGACTTTTGCCGTAAGAAAAGGTTGTCATATACCCGGTGTATATAGAGCCAAGGTCTACGCCAATGTTATTAATAGATTACCGCCCTGTGTAATTACGGATGTATTAGAGTTACGCAAGGTTGGAAGCCTCAAGCAAGGTCAGTAAAATCCTTTCAACCTCTAAGGAAAGGATTTGCTATCATTTTCACATGGCCCCAGAAGTTAGGGGAATTGTCGATGTCCGTAGATTAATAGATCGACCATCGTTGCATATTATACCAGAAGTCTGGTAGGATACTATATACGGCTGAGGCAGTGTGTTATCTCGGGTTTCTAAACATCGTATAGTTCGGCGTCAACCGTAGTACCTAGCCAAGGGGTCGGGCCGTCAATGACAAATTCCATGGTCTTACATCTTATCAGTCTTGGATATTTCCCCGAAGAGGACACTTGCAATCGCCACGCATTCATGACCCAGTCGTTAGAAGCCCAACTTGGAGAAACGGGTCCCAGCACTTATACATCCTTGTCATCAGGCTTTCTCGAGCCCTTATAAAAGATGCTGTATCAACACCCGTCCTCTTGTTACACTGACTACCTCGCTGCAACTAACAGAAAATCATCTTAACTCCTTGTAGCTGAAGCGCCAAGATGAAGTGGCTCTCTCTTACCACGCTGGCGCTCTTCGCGCCCAGCCATGCTCTCATCCGTTTCCCTTGCGCCCAGTTGGTTGTTGACCGTCTTGATCCATTAGTTAATCCCGGGTTGATTCCTTCGCCGCATCTTCACCAGATTGTAGGAGGCGTAAGTACCTACTCCTAGTCCATAACATTGGCTCTAGTTTGTTAAGTGGTGCTGTTGGGTAACTAACACCTCGCTAGAATTCCTTCAACGCAAGCATGGACCCGGCTAAGGATATGCCTGGCGAGTCTACCTGCACTACATGCCAGTTCAGCGAAGATTTTTCAAACTACTGGACGGCAGTGTTGTATTTCAAGGCTCGAAATGGAACTTACAAGCGAGTTCCTCAGATGGCTAACTCTGGGTTTGACGGTGTCAATGCCGGCATGACTGTTTACTACATGCAAGATGGCCTTTACAACTTCCAACAGACCTCTAAAGTTACAGCTTTCCAGCCTGTTAGTAACATCATATATCTTTAGGGAGAGGAGACACTCTATTTTCTAATACTCTGCTTCTAGGGTTTCCGTATGTACATCGGCAACGTCAACGCTCGTTCCCGCGAAGAGATGGAGCGTTTCCGTCAGCTTACCTACACTTGTCTGCAGGACATTAACACTCGCGACCCCCAGATCCTTGACTTCCCTAACGAGCCTTGCCCGTACGGAATAATGACGGCGCTAAGGTTCCCCACGTGTTGGGATGGAAAGAATCTTGACTCTGCCGATCACATGGCGCATATGGCCTATCCCGAGAGCGGTACCTTCGAGACAGGCGGACCTTGCCCGGCATCGCACCCCGTTCGCATGAGCCAGCTCTTTTACGAGGTCAACTGGGACACTCGACAGTTCAACAACAAGGAAGACTGGCCTGAGGATGGATCTCAGCCTTTTGTCTGGTCCTTTGGTGATGTGTAGGTTGCTAACTAACCCCCCTAGGAGTTAGAGCCAGTCTAACATTATACTTCTTAAACAGGACCGGTTATGGCAACCACGGTGACTATGTCTTCGGATGGCAGGGTGATGCGCTCCAGCGTGCTCTAGACCAGCCTTGTTACATCAACTGCTCTACGCTCAAGACCCAAAATACTCAGGCGATGAACGCATGCAGCAAGGAAAGAGTTGTTACCGATGACAACATCGACGATTGTAAGTAATTTTAATACATGTGTTTTATCACTGAACTAACAATGTACTAGGGGTTGAGACTCTACCTGGTGGGATGGTTGCGGGCATGTAACTGGATTAACCCTGTCTGTTCCCGGATGCTTCTTCTAAGGGGGGAAACTAGCATTTCAACAGGAGGTTATGTCGTTAATTACGATGATGAATTGGCCTGGTACTCGTGTCATATGAGTCTATGTTTTTGCATTTCCCTCAATACTCCCCCAATGACCAGATCATTAGATTTGCACATACATTATAATTTTGTGGTTGCGTAACGTTTTGCCGCCAATTGGAGAAACTCGGTTGTGAATGCTAATATATGGCGTATATAGAATAGTACATACGATAACCCTCAGCAACCATAATTCACAATCACAATCTAGGTAGGTACTTTTATTAAGTATTTCTAACTACCTTAATTAAAGTAAAATTGCAGCTTAGCACGACTGTGGGCGGGGATTACACCGGAGTAGTTAATGGGACAATAGGAAGTGAGAACACAGGGTCTAATATGCTAGAAGCATGGAACATTTTCTTTACCACGCGATGCTTAATACAGGTAGTGTAGCTATAAAAAATAGACTGATTTACATAATATGAACTATATTGCGTGGTCTAATGATACCAAGTGGATGGTGAAGTAAGGGGTAACGAATGCATTTTCCAAACGGAGACATTCCAAATTTAAAAGTTGAGGCACGCGTAGGACATTGCATTCCTGTAAAAGAATGACTTGGGATCTTTCGAATGCGTATCCCGCCACATACTAGTGGGGTTCCAGCAACCGTAGGCAAGAATCGTAATGAAGTCAAAGAATCCTACCGTTTTCAGACAAAGAACAGACAGTAGGCAGTTACTCATGTATATATGAGTATCACGTCCAATCTCTCAATCGAGAAGCATACTCTTTCACAAAGTCAGGACAAAGAGTTTCTCTACATCTCAAGCTCACTCGTACCTCCCACTCTAGACCCGCGAAGAGAACTCGTAACCATCGCCCTAATATAATTATAATCATCATGTCGCTAGCACGTAAATTCCACAAGCGCGCTCGTGTTGCTACAGACACAGGTAGCAAGGCATCTACCGCGGATAATCCCGTGCCCTCCGTCGAGAAAGAAAAGGGATATCCCGAAGTCAACTACACGCCAATAAACCCCAGAGACTACAACGACAATGAATTCTGTTATGAAACCCCGTCTCCGAACACGCCGCCCCTGAAAGTCCCACCCTACGTCCCCGACCAGCCCGTCAACCACATCCCCGACTTCTCCGACTCTGACGAGGAGGCCGAGTTCGCCGCGAAAGTTGAGGCGTACTACCAGACGATGGAGGCGGAGAAGGGGAAAAAAGAGTCGGTGCGGCTGACTGCACCCAAGCGGAAAATCACCGAACTCCTCTCTGACGACGATGTCTCCGACGATGATGTCTCTAACGACGAGAAGGTAGACGTTAAGGAAGAGGAGGAACAGCAAGAAGACGGAGACGAGGCCGAAGAAGACGAAGAAGGCGAAGAAGTGCCGATCGCGCGGTCCGAGATGATAAACAACTTGGTAGACCTCTTGGAGATGACCGGGGTCACGCTAAACTTCGTCGTCAAGTTACGAGGAGTCGATATTGACCCGACGGACCCGAAGAAGGTCAGGGAGGCGCTTAATGAATACCTTGAGAACGAAAACAAGCCGTTAGAAACGTCTGTTGAGGACGCACCCGAGCACGCCGCGGCTATGATTGAGCGGTTATTTGACATGCCGCTCCGCGAGTTCCTGCCCCTGGCATACGATATTGCCGAGTTCAGGGACGACTTGGAAGCGCAGGGAATTTCTCTGAATCAAGGGTAATTTGTATCTTCACATTTGAATGTATAGTTCGGTTTGGCGTGAAGAATTCCGGTAACTTGTGCAGAAGATTATTCTATTAGGTTCGTAGGTCAGGGGAGGAAATGAGAGGAAATGGTAAATGGAGGCGTTCATCTCAGATGTGGTATCGCTTATTTTTGCAACCTTGCTCGATAGCAATAGATTTTATACTCATTGGATATATCTATATTCGCTCTCTAGCCCTTGGCAGCGCCGGCCTTGATCAATAAAATATCGCCGTCTTCTACTACGTAGTCTTTGCCCTTGGTCATAATCTTACCCTTAGCCTTGACTTCGGCCTCGTCACCTAATTCCTTGAGTGTGTTGAAATTGTATACTACAGCCTGAATAAAGGTCTTTTCGAAATCCGTGTGGATAACACCGGCAGCCTGTGGAGCCTTGGTACCAAGCCGGATGGTCCATTGCCTTACCTCGTCGGTACCGGTCGTGAAGAAGCTACCAAGATTCATTGCCTTTCGCATCGTTGTGATGATTTTAGGCAATGCCGACTCAATACCGAGCTTCTTGCATTCTTCGGCAGCTTCTTCATCAGAGCCGAAGTGCGTGAGACGCTCCTCAAATGATACCGAGATGGGTAGAATAGGATCGCCCGCGGCGTGCTCCTTCATCCACTCAGCAATCTTGGCGAGATGCTTGTTCTTCTTGCGAGTATAGTCCTTCTCTGACAAGTTGACTAGGTATACTACTGGTTTTGCGGAAAGAAGAAAAAGGGTGTTGATGACCTCGACCTATTGACATATGTCAGCTATGCTTTCCTGCAGGTATAGTGATAATATTTGAAGAGGTTTAGGTTATCAGAGAATTCTTTTATCACAGTATGCGCTCTGCGTTGTATTGTTGAGGCATTCGAAGAGCTGGGATTAGATCAGGCGCTATGGCCCTTGTTCATCATGGTAAATGGGAGAAATATGGGGAATAAAAATTCATCTTACCTCCTTCGGAGTCCAGGTGCCTTTCCGGACGTCTTTCCCGTCCTTTAGCCACGCGAGGATTTTTTCTATAGTGGCTTCTTCCTCTTTAGCCTTCTTCAATTCCAAGCTCTGACCACCCACGCGGGTCTTCTTCTTGGAGTTTTCTATAGCTTTCTCGACGAACTCGATATCCTTTAGTCGCAGCTCCTCTGCGATGATATCTAAATCTCTGACGGGGTTAACGTCGCCCTCGACGTGAATGATCTCGGCATCATCGAAGCATCGGACGACTTGGAAAATAGCGTCGACAGCTCGAATGTGTGACAGAAAAGCGTTACCCAGACCTGCACCGGTTGAGGCGCCTCTCGTCAGACCAGCAATGTCGTAGATGGTCAAATGCGCGGGTACTCGCGACTTGGGATTGTACTTCTTGCACAACCAGTCATACCGCTCGTCTGGAACCAAGACACGGGATTCTTCTGGGTCAATGGTGGCATAAGGGAAGTTCTACTCGTACCCGGTTAGCTGGATTATGAGATATACGAGAGCCCCAACTTACGGCAGGGTTACCAAGACTACACTTGGTGATAGCCTGGAACAGGGTCGACTTGCCAACATTGGCAAGACCGACGATACCACTCTTCAAATTGTTCCCCGGACGACCGAGGAGGATCTTCTCCTCTACAACTTGCTTCTTGGGAGGCATTTTTCGTCGCTTGGCGTAGGTACGAGTGGAGATATAGACTGTGGTGCAACTAGGCACGCGGTATGGAAGAAACGCAGAGCTAGCTGCGATAGGTCGAAAGGTGCGGAGTAGAGAAGTGAATGGAAGGGTAAAGGAAAGGGAGGAAGACACGATGGATATAGGCTGACGATCAATCAGCCTCGATATCAGATCAAACAAATATTTGAAGATATCTGTCTAACTCCTGATGACCATCGATTTAAGGTATTGTTGGCACTGGACGGCTGACCTCGTCAGGTTTTTTTGTCGCGCGGTTTGGCACAGCTGTCCTGTCCTCTTCCTGTCCTCTTGGAGGGGCAGTTGGGAGAGAAGAGAAAAAAAAAAAGCTTGCCCTTGTGGATTCCCAATCAAAATTGAATTTAGGTAGCGTATGGTTTCGGAATCCGGAAGTCCTGTTATGCCGAGACTTGGTTCAACCCCACCTTCCATGTAGGTTAGGTACCTAAGGTACCTAAGGTAGCAACCTGGCAGCTGCAAACAGTAGATTGCCATTTGTATTGTCAGCTCGCCTCAGGTCTTGCCTTCCAGCGCGGAGCGAGAATCGGGCAGTCGGGACTGCGGGGAGGCAATGCTTTTCAGCAGACCCTGATCGGATTCGTCATATGATTGGTCTACGTATCAGCTGGATATGGCTAACCTCTCAGCCCGTTAGCTCATTCCTCCTTACCTAAATGCATGCACATACGGAGTACCTAACATGGATGGTATGAAGTATGAAACTGTATTGTCTTTTGTAGTTGCCTCGAGGTAACGTAATCTGCCTTGCGTCAACTTCCCGACTTTATTCATGGCTTTTCTCTTGTTATTCACGATGATTCTCCGAACCTCCATCATATAGTAATACAAACGACAATATAGCAATATTCTCGTCTCGTCCATTATTTTTCTGTACAGCATACAGCAAACCGTCTTTGGACGTAAATGATCCCCCCCCCGCTGCATTGGGATTCCTCCTCTCCATACTAGGCGTAGCCGTACTTCCGCTTATCCTCTCACAATCGTAACTCAGACTAAACGCAAAGATGTCCTCTAAGAAGTCAACGTCCAGCAGGACGTCAAGACAATCCCATCGATCAACGCTGTCGCTATCAAGAACCGAAATTGTGATTAATGTCTATGATCTGTTACCTGTAAGTGATTACACTATACAGTGTCGTCTGGCAATGGCTACTAACAAAATGTCCATTATTAATAGCCCAGCCGCCTCTCCTCCGTTCTTTGGACATTTGGTGCCTCACTGCTACATTCGGGTGTCGTGATAAACGGGAAAGAGTATGCCTACGGTGGTCACGATCGGCCTGGGTTGACGGGTGTGTATTGGACACCACCCAAGACAGAACCACCTGGAGGTACTTTTAAGACCGAAATTCTACACGGTTTCTCGTTTGCGACTCAGGCCGAAATCGACACCATTATTCGACATGCCTCCGATGAGTTTCAAGGCACATCCTATAATCTACTTACCCGAAACTGCAACCACTTTACTAGCCACCTCTGCAAGAAGCTCACTGGTAGACCTGGCCCCGGATGGCTTAATCGTGCCGCCAGCATCGGCGTTGCTTTTCCGTGTATCGTCCCTCGAGACTGGATCGAACCGCCTGATTTCGAGACGGCAGATGGCGCGCTGCTAGACGAAGAGGGACTCGACGATCATGAGAGAACTAGAATGCTTAGGGAGGATAGTTCTAGGAGACTAGCAACACAAGAGAGCGATGACGACGGAGAACACTCGAGCCGGGCCAGCGAAGAAGCGCGCCGTTATAGCAGGAGTGGCAAAGGAAAAGGCCGAGCCAAGGACACAAGCGGAAGAACATTACCACCTGCCGAGAGGGCACCTTCGTCTGGTAGACCAAGCATGTCTTAAGTGGAGGGGCGATCTGATAACACTGGATTACACTGTCTGCATTATAAGGCGTTGGCAACGAGTATGATAGCAATTTGGCTTGGTGGCGTTACATGAGGTTTGATTGATACCAAAGGCATGCTCCGTCGTTATGTAAAGCGCATTTAGCGCTCTTTTGACTATTTATATGCACAATGAACTTGCTGGATGATATTATCCACTGATGCATATGGCAATGATGTTATATACACCGGTCGTATAGTTAATTGTTCCACTCTTACTCTCGTAGTTATTTAGCCTAATCTCCTCGGTTTAGGGCTCCTCGTGCCACCGAACTTGAGCCTTGTAGAATCCGATACCTTCACGATCTTATCTCTTAGCATACGACCTTCGGTTCCTAGAAGAACCTTAGTGGCGGCCTCCCGTCCAGCACCGAAGCCTCGTAGAACAACCTCCATGGTCGTGATGTTTTTGTGCCAATTTCCCTGGTGAAGTTTATCTATAATGTACGCCGTCAGCTGGTAGGCAGCGTCGTAGGTGCTACGTTTAGCCTTCTTGAATCCAATATCGCCGGCCGACTTGCTGATAATTGCGCCGCGGTTGGGCTTCGTTACCGTGATGTGGCAGTTGTGCTTATGTGCGAATATGTGGAAATGAAAGGGCTCGGTCGCAGGTCCCCAGTCCTCCTTTTCCTCATTTTCATCGGCTCCTAGAATCTGTTCGGTTATTGTAGGCTGGTTTCGCGCTCTCGAAACGGCGTCTTGCGCCAATATTCTTTGCAGAGCAGACATATCGCCTCCAGTTCCTAGACGCGGAGGCCCTGTCGGTTGTGATGACTGCGCACTTCGTGGCAGCATGCTGAGGAGCGAAGGTGTGCGTTTGGGTTCATCATGCCGCGAGCATGTTTGAGAGAAAGGGCGGATATATTGGTGGGTAGTTTGGGAGTAGGATATGGGAGTGCGGGCGGTCGCCAATAGGCGATTTTGTATTCGACTCATCGTAGAAGCATTAGGTTGAGTGGTCTGTCGGTGCTATATCGGGAAGCCCTGAGATATTGCTCAGGAGGCAAAACCGACGTCAATTGACCAATGTTGAGATGTCGCCGTGTGCCGTGTGCCGTGACTCGCGGCTGGTAAAAACCTAGAAATCTTGACGGCACGGGATAAAGAGAATTGCATCTCGGACCGGCCGAATTGTAGAATTCTGGCACTAGTCCTGTTGGGTCGGAATATGATTGGCCAATTTATTCAGTAAAGTGCTACTTCTTCGGGTCAAGCTGTAGGTATCTTAGGTACAATACCTAGGTAATCTACATGTGCTCCAGGTACAATATGGAAGTACCTAAAAGTGCCTTAGTTTAGGTAATTTTTTTTTTTAATTTTCTATTTGCCGGCTTCGCCCGCCTTCATACATCAGTTGCGAAGAATTTCCTTGCCGGTTTTATATCATTCCATTCCTCCCCAGACCGGAGGTCTTTTTTGCGACGCTTTCTCACAGCGCGAAATGACTTCACTAAGACAAGTTACCAGGAGCGCACCCCCGCCGGCCTTCCTGAGGGCGCCTTCGTTCGCAACTCACTCTTATGGTAGAGCTCCAGCATATAGACGGTTACTGTCCAACACCGAGAGCTCTAAATTCGCAAGCAATAATGTAGCACCACTCACCTCTTCTCGACTACCTTTTTCGCCACTTTCTCAGCTACGGTCACCCTTCATTCCCGAAACTATAGCTGACTTACAGTCCCGTCCTTTCCACCAAACGTCGAGATGGTACCAGGAACAACCCCAGCAAGCCCCGCAATCCGCTAAACCAGACCCTAAGTCTGCGGAACCAAAAGAAAAAGCCGAGCAGAAAGCCTCAGATAGCGAATCCGAAGCGAAATCCAGCTCAGAGGAGAAGGCCGATCAACAAGAGGAGCAGGGCAAAAAGGAGGAGAAAAAGGAAGATCTGCCGCCGCCTCCTCCCCACGGTGACAAGACGCCATGGCAAGTCTTCATGGAAACAATGCAGACCGAGTTCAAGGCTTCGAAAGAATGGAACGAGTCGACCAAGCAACTAGCTGACTCGGCTCATTCCTTTACCGAGAGCGAATCTGTCCGCCGTGCGAGACAGGCTTACGAAAATACCACGGGCGCCGTTTCGTCAACAGCAGGAAAAGTACTGAAGACTTCGGCTACTGCGGTTGGAAAGGGTGCGGCATGGACATGGGAGACGCCGGTAATGAAAGGCGTCCGGAAAGGAGCCAATTTAACTGGAGATATATTGGATAAAGCGACGAAGCCGATAAGGGAGACCGAGGCGTTCAAAAATGTCAAGGACGTAATCGACGACGGAAGTAGTTCAAGATATGGTGGTTGGGTTGAAAAGGAAGAGCGGAGGAAAGCTAGGGAACTTCGGGAGAAGCAAGCTCGTTCTATCCACGGCAAGGCAGAAGATGCGGTCGAAGATCCAAAGTAAGTTCAACGAGGGCATTGGTTAATTGCAATTGATACTAACGATTCTTCAGCGCCGGTACGAATATCACATTGCATAAAGATGCAGCTTGGAAGGAGGCGTGGCGAGATTTCCGGGATCAAAACAAATTTGTCCAAGGGATATTCAATATGAAGAGTGTCTACAACGAATCTGAGAACCCCTTAATAACGACGGCACGGAGCATCACTGACCGCGTGGCTGGATTCTTCGCGGAGAACGAAACAGCTATGGTAATTCGAAAGTTTCGCTCTATGGACCCTAATTTTCAGATTGAACCGTTCCTCCAGGAGCTGAGAGAGTACATCTTACCCGAAGTACTCGACGCTTACGTCAAGGGCGATACTGAGACGCTGAAGCTTTGGCTTTCGGCTGCTCAGTATTCGGTGTACGAAGCTTTGACCAAGCAGTACCTTCAAGCTGGCTTGAAATCAGATGGTCGGATTCTTGATATAAGGCATGTAGACATCCTAAAAGCCCGCATGCTCGATCCTGGTGAAATCCCCGTCTTCATCATTACCTGCCGGACGCAGGAAGTTCACGTCTACCGAAACGCCAAGACGAATGAGCTTGCCGCGGGGATGGAAGACAGAGTTCAACTTGTCACGTATGCGATTGGCATTACACGGACACCTGAGGATGTCAACAACCCGGAAACGAGGGGATGGAGATTGATCGAAATGCAAAAGAGCGGAAGGGACTATATATAAACCAGATACTTTGTCCTATCTACACGCAGATACCCCCCAACTCTGATATAATACTGTACACTATCGACTAGAGACGACGGAATAAAGGCCGTGGAGGGCGGTCTTATCACACCACTCCAAGTTGGCGGCCTTGGACTAAGGCAGGCAAGGCGTTCGGGGTCAACATGGTCAAATGTATGATAGACAAAAAGGTGCATATATGGACACACATGGAACACTGCAATATACTAACTCTAAGCAGTAATCATGCCTCAATACATTGAACAACAAGTCAAGCTCGACCTAAGTGTTTCGGCTTTATTCCGTTCTGTTTGCCCGGAGACCCCTATAAAGTCATAATCTTGTAAACCTCGTTTTAGTCGGACTGTCGAAATCGAAGACAATATGTCAGCGAAGCCTCAGAGGACTCCTAGTCTTCGAAGCTCTTCATCATCATTTTTATTTCCTCCTCACGTCGAATACGGTCTCGCAGTTGCATAAGGATTATTCCTTGAAGATTGAGGCCCCACCTATGGCGTCGTTTCCATGATACTTTCCACCAATATCCGTTGCCCCAAACGTAGTCCAACGGTGATACCTGAACAATCTGCCGGTTACCTGTCTCTAGCAGAGCTTCCTTCAACCGTTTCGAATGCTTTAATGCCTCGGCGGAAATATCAAACCATAGCTCATAGGTATCGGGGAGGGTGTCACGGGGGATATATGGTGCCGTGAACTTATGCCAGTTTGCCTCGTAAAGGATGCGCTCACGATGGGTTTCCCAGATGGCCTGGTCATAGTTCTTAAGCTTCTTCGTTAATTCTTTAGCTCTGTGTGGAGAGGTACAATCAAGAACATCGGCGGCGATTTCAGGGTCGTCGAATAAGAGCGCTTTGTGGTGCAAGTAGTAGTGCTCAGCCGTTGGGTAAACTTTGGACGGGTCGTAACTGTCACGGAACGGCGATGGGTACCACATCGACATAAAACCGTACTTTTTCTCGAAGGGTTTCCAGTAGTAGATAATGTCTGGCTCTGGTTCTGGATTGGGTTCATATGAAGCCTCTCCTATTCGGCCGACTCGGCCAAATTTGGGCAATGCGATCTTCATCTTGAAGGGCGGCATTGCTAAGGTGTATCTTGGATACGATAGGATGATGATATGGCAGTATGGCAGTATGGCAGTATGCCGGTATGCTGGTATGCTATGTAGTATACTGGCTGACAAACTGTTAAAGGGGTAGATAGATGAGACTAGCAAGAGAGTTGAAATGTAATGTGATTTAGATACGATGTTTCAAAGACTTGGTTACCTGAGATATTTTCCCACGCGAATGTGATTGACGTATATATACACCCGATCCTTCCTGTTGAATTAGTTGGCTTTGATACCAGTAAAAACTATAAGCTCCGTGCCAACCACGACCAACTATCTTATAGTGTTAAGGTTTTTTCAAGATGCTCCTCGTGCGGCTTAGACTCCACGACTTGGGACGAGATGATGAATACGCCCATTCTACGACAGGAAATCTTTACGAAGACGGCAAGACCGCCTGTTCGCCACTTAAATCATACACCCATTACCTAGGATGATGAAAGACAAGGAATTTAGTCGAGCATAAATGGTAGATATCTCAGATGGTATCATAAGAGGAGGCCCCTTTATATTCGTCTTTCGGGATATACCTAGCTAGAACAGGTGAACTCTTAAACAATAAACCATATGTAATTACTGTCAAGTTCCGTGCACATGTAGCTTACATTTTGTAGTTCATCCATCTCTACCTCCTGGCGAAAAGCTGGCAAGGCCAATAGCGTATTATGGCATGATCAAAAAGTACATATGTATACCTAGGTAGATATACGAATTAAAACGGGCTGTTTGAGTTTATGAGAACTCGGATGGTTTATTTTTAGCCATTAGACATTTATACAGAGGTACATTAGGTATTGTACCTAAGTGTACGGATTAAGTCACCAGCATGTTAAGAACTAAAGAGCTAACCTAACCTACACTAAAAGAACCTTATATTTCATGGTCCGTGCACTATGCCTCTTCTAGGTCTAGCTGGTCTAGGTAGCATTTTAACATTTTAGCGTTCCTAGAATAGAACATAGCAGCAATCATATCGTATCGTCAACAATGCCTTTACAAACTCTAGCAACCATCATCATTAAGCCATTTGGCTCAATAATCAAATTGGTTTTTGGATGAGAGCATGACGATCAAAGCGGCAAGGTGTCTTGCTCAATGATCTGCCGACCTCGAATTACGAGAGATGCTCTCAGCCAGCCTGGCATTCGCGCCTTGCTTTTTCTCCTAACCTTCGTTTCGCTATACTCGATATACGGCTCCCTCTACTTTTACCGCGATCCTCTCTCCATCTTCTTCTCCGAGGAACATGGGTTCGATCGTTTCTACTCGGCCACGCGCCAGGCCGAATCTGATGAATTCCTCGACACCGTTATGGCGGACCCCGACTTGGCGCAATCCAAACTAGGCAATGCCGGTCCCACACCCCAGATTTGCGCCGTCTTTATAACGGTGGGAAGGAATGTAGATGGTCGGCAGTACATAGACAGCGCTGTAGGCTCATTCTTGGCTAACATGTCCCGCGCCGAGAGGCAGACCGTGCACTTGAAACTCTTCTTTGCCGATGTACCGAACCCTACTACCCAGCATAAGAGTTATGCCCACCTAACGGCTGCTGGCATCGCCGACGAAGTATTCACTTACAACTCCACCTTACCACCGAAGCAAAAGGACGACAAGATTCGCGAGTTTATAGAATATACCAAGGATCGTCAGGATAAACATGCACTAGAAAAGAAAACTGTATATGATTACGCATACGCTCTAGATCGTTGTGTTCTGACTACCGAGGCTCCTTACATTGCAATTTTTGAGGAAGATATCCTTCTTGCTGATGGATGGGCGGCGAAGACCCTGAGGAACCTGCGGATTGTCGAAGAAATGATGAAAGACCCCCGCCGGCGCGATCCTAAGAAGGGCAAAATTGATCCAGGCGTGCCAAATACATGGTTATATTTACGTCTCTTTAATCAAGAACGAAGCTTTGGATGGTCGGGCGGGCCCGGATTTAGAAGCAACAATCTTCACGTCATATCAGTTGCGGTGGCCATTCCGCTCCTCTTAGTTCTGCTCTTGGCACGGAGAAAGCTACCGCGTCACCTAGCTCGACATCTGGACGGGTGGACGTTACTAGTGGTTTGTGGCGTCGCAGTACCGCTCATATTATGGCTATTCTATGCCTCTGGTAAAGCTGCCCTCATTGGTTCACCACCAGGGGTTCGCGAGGAATTCTTCGGGTGTTGCAACCAGGCATTGATTTACAACCGTGAACACGCGGCAGAATTATCAGAATTCTTGATGACTGCTTCTAAGCGAGCCGTCCCTGGTAGGAGCGATATGCTTCCAAAGAAGTTCGCTTATGACCACGGTTTTGCGAGAATTAGTGCTTATCCGATGTTGGCGCAACATGCAGGTAGAGTGAGCGCGATCGATACGAGTAATGACGAGGCGAAGCGCGTATGGAGTATGGCTTTCGAGGACTTGAAGCCGTCTAAGTTGGCAAAGGAGCACGTTAAAGATGTACAGGCGCTGTTTGGAGATGAGGCAGCCGAGCAGATGAGAAGACAGTGGGCTCAAGCGCCAAATGTAGCGTGAACAGTCACCGGTATGATTCATGAAATGAAGTTACATCAACCATCGTCTTTATGAACGCCTCAGTCAATTATTCTACGCATATGATAGACACATGAAAAAATCCAAATCACTAAGTTAATCAGTCCGACATGGGAGGTGCCTTATTGGATTCTTATGGTCGAGACCAGGCGTTAATTTTCAAGGAGCTTAGCCAAGAGACTGTGCCGCTTTGAGAGATCCCAAGAAGTGAGTAAGAAATACGATGAAAGTAAGGCATATTTATCTACGAATCCTCATCAGAACCACCCCAAACCACGGAATTCACATTATAAAGTACATATTCAATATTGTTAACAAGACATCGCTCAACGCAATGACTGGAATAATATTCCAGGAGGGTCTACCACTTGAGCACGCTTCTGGGAGTAACAGCGGCTCCTTTAGACTCCTTGACCTCCCCCTAGAACTTCGAAATGAGATTTACGCGCACCTACTTGTCCAGGCGAAACCAGTCGACTGCTTACGAGTATGGTTCTCGACAGCAGCTCGACACCTACGTCGGCTTGCGAAGGAAAATGCGCCTGATTGCTGTAGCCAGAATTACGCATGTACGCACTACGATGCGCGGCTGCGCCCGCGAACAGGCCTTCTGCGGGCGTGCCGCCAGGTGAGCAACGAGGCGCTGGAGGTATTGTATACCCAAAGCGTGTTCCGTGTCAGCCTCGAGAGCCGCTCTACGATCCTACGATTCTTCACCATCGGCGAGGCGAATCTACGCCGCGTGCGCCATCTACGCCTCAGTGCCTTTACCGACTATTATCGGTACCACATAGCTGGGCCCGGCGAGAAGCAGTGGCAGTTCTTCCGTCCCGCAGCCCTCGACGCGGCGTTCTGGACGGCACTGCTCGATGGCTTACTTACTCTTGAGTTTGTTATGAAAGTACCTACCCGGGGCCAGCATAATGGATGGCCGGTGTGGATTGAGCAGCTTGAGACCGTACTAAGTTTCGTGGGCGAACGTATCGACGAGAGCACGGACGTTACTATTGACGATAATTACTCGATGTTCCTGTGCGAGGCTGTTGATCGGTGTTTCCGGAAGCCTTTCCGCAGGGTGAGGACTAAGGAGGGCGATCTATATTCTATTTATTATGAGGCCCGGTTTGATCCGGATAATATCGCCGGTCCTGTGGCTAGTTATGAGGGCTAGGCGGGTGGACTTTTCGCTTTGACTTTTATAATACCCTATTCTAGCGAAAATCGGTATGGGTGTGATCTTGAGTTCTTTCTATAATTTACATGCCTTGATTTCCTAAGTGTCTACCTACCTATACGTAGACCTCATCAAAAACTACAATACTATATTTGACACCTACGGTTATGGCACTATACCTTTGTCAAACTACCGGTCATACATGATAGTGGCTAAGAAGCTCCGGGCTAGCACGTCCAACCACGTTCTAAACTTCCGGGACACCAAGATATCAATCTGAGCACCTAGGAACACTGGAATAAGACAACTTTCGGTGTGTACGCTTTGATTCTGCCTACAACTAGTATTGGTATACTTCTTGAATGATCATATCATCTGATCATATATTGGTTGGGGCGCTGGCTTGGCTGGTTCTCCAATTGTCATCCGTGTCTCATCAGCGAAACAAACACTAACGAAAAGGGGTCTACGGATGTTCTCGTCTACGAGCACGTGCGGAACGCCGTCGTGGCGGATGTCACATCTTGTACTACAACTAGGTTCTTAGGAACTTGACGGGCACAGCATCGAGACTGTCTCTGGCTAACGTACCTATTAGGTATCTTAATAACTTTGTTACTTAGCTCTAATAGTCGCGGATGATTTGGTGTATTCCTGCTCTGCTGAATATTGCATTATAGGATTATTGATACTTAGGATGCCAACCGAAGATCGCCAAGACCAAGTGCCACCTACTGTAGCTCTTCAGTTTTAGCGCTTCGTGCAGCACAGCAGATCCGAATCGTGCTTTTCCAGACAGGAGTAGTAAATCTGAAATCCTTCGGCTTTTCCGTGTCATTAAGTATGTTGAGTCGGCGTACAGGACCGGGACATTCGAGTTATAAGGAGAGTTATAAGGAAGAATAATGGTTGAAGATGTCTTTCAGCTATGTGGTTTCTCACCGAGCTTCCTTCTTAAGATGTGTTAATTTGTGGCCCCTGAATACCTACCTATGTATTCACATGCTTAGACCTACCGTATTATGAATGAAAATCAATCGCGAATCGAACAAGTTTATCCTGATTCGACTTAAATATATTTTCACCGAATCCTGTCTACACGAGTCAGATTTACACGCAAGGATATAATTACATGCAAAGTCGGTATATCCGGCCAATTCACATGAGCCTATCCCGGGTCTCAGCTTTAGATGTGGGGGCCGACCGGGGAGAACACGCGGTAATCTCCTTTAAGAAGGTGTTATTTACCAAGGATCTCCGAACGGCACACGGGCTGGGAATCCGCCCCTTTATTGGTCCATACAGCGTAGAAAGCTAATTTGTTTACTGCCTCTAGTGTTTTCTATAGTTATAATAAAAGCTACATGTCGGACCCGTAGACTTTACGAAGATCGTTGCGGATCTGAGATTTTGCCTTTCAAGCATTCTTGGTCGCCTCGCTCTCGAAGCTCACTGCAACATGGAGCTCACCCTGCTCGCGGTCGCGGTCGCGGTCGCAGGACTATCCGTTAAGTTCCCGATGGCCCTATTCGCAATCATAGGTAGCTAACAAAGACTTAGTATATCCCACTCGTTCAGTGTGAGAAGCAGGTCATAGATGGAATATCCAGCTGTGGAAATGCATGGATGCCCAGAGATAACGTCACTATTGCGCAAGGAACAGACACGCGTAGGGGATACAGTACGGCGGTGCAAGCCTTTTGTAGCGCAGCGAATGGGCAAACAGTAAAGCCTAGCGGATATCTCTCCCTCGCAACGGAAGTCTTCCTTAACGACGGGAAGGATCCCGCTACTCACGGTGTTCTAGGATTTGTATACTGTAAGTTTGTTGTGTAGCAGTCTTCACCAGAGTCTAATATTCATTTGTGTAGTCGAGGTTCACAATAAACAAAGCTCGGATCATACTATTTCAGGTCAGTACTGCAGCCGGGATGTATGAGATGGGCTCGACTACTAACACTAGCTAGTCGAGGATTGTGAGAAATACCTCTTGGCACTTAGCGCCGACGGTGGCCAATGTTCTGGAGAGCAAAACCACGATACCAAAGGTGGCACTTGGCAAGTTGGGAATAATGGCGTCTCGTACCATGCTCTGGGAAACGAGATACCGCCCAAACAAGACGCCGTCAACAAATTGTTTTCCGGCTCGGCTTTGGGAGCGCAAAGTGTTAATAAAGGATCTGGCCCACCCCTGAACCCCTGGCCGCTAGATTCTGTGAATAGCGTCAAGCCTACAAACTGCCATAGCCATAACGACTATACGCGAAACATCCCCATATATTCGGCTTTGAGTGCGGGGTGTATTGGGATCGAAGCCGATGTCTGGTATTCTAACGGAGACGTTATTATCGGCCATATCCTTCCAACTCCTGGAAGGACTTTAACAGTGCAGTACACCCAGCCGCTGCGAGCAATACTAGACCACAACAATGGCGGCTCGCCTGGAGATGTTGGCCTGTATAAGGCCAGCCCTGAACAGAGCGTTACGCTGCTTGTAGATTTCAAGACCTCCGATACCCAGACTCTGGATGCTGTCGTCAAGGCACTCCAACCCCTCCGAGATGGCGGATACCTCAGTCACCTCGATGGGGGCAAGTTCGTTGAGAGACAGATCACAGTTGTCGCTAGCGGGAGTGCTCCGTTTGACCGCATCAACTCAGGCGACGGTATCCCCAACCGAGACGTATTTTTCGATGCTTACGTGGATCATTGGGACAGCAAATTCACCAACCAGAATTCCTACTACGCCTCGGCCGATTTCGAAGACGCCGTTGGAAGCCCAGGCAGCGTAAATGACTTCAGTCAGGACCAAAAGAGTACAGTCCAATCGCAGGCTGACAAAGCTCATTCGGCAGGTCTTAAAGTGCGATACTGTAAGTTGAACTCTGCTATACTTTCGGTTTAGACATAAACTAGTTAGCTAATATACCTTATAGACAATTTGCCGGGAGATTATCTTTGGGAGCCCCTCGCAGCTCTTGGTGTAGATCGGTTAAATGCCGATGATATGTATGACACGGCTAGGCTTCCACGGGCATAGCATGATTTAGGATTTATGAATCTCTGTAAATAGTTACCTATACGATATGATTTTGGATAAGAGAAATCTTCGGGGGTAGGGTATATAGGTTAATGGAGGGGAATCTCCAGATTGGTCCCGACGAAACGGAACCCGATTCGAATCCCAGCAACACTAGACTTTTTCCGGTTTATTCAATCCTATTTATAATCCTACCTATTTACCCCCTTTAGAGGATGGGATTCTGATATGTGACTGACGATAAATTGCTCATCCGGAGATTTGTAAATATTTTGACCTGATGCTACCATACGAGTGGCCTCGATAAAGGGCCATCAGTTGGTTCAACGAGAAAGGCTATAGGTCGAGATGCACGCGCCTTATAACAAACACCATGAGCCAACCGGATTCGGGGTTCCATCCAAGCACCCCACGACACAAAGACGCCTGCAGCTAGCCTATCAAGAAGCGCTTCTCTAGGCCGAACGAATAGATAGCTCCAGAATCCCTGAACGATGGGTTATATCGCCGAACACTACTTCTATGAGGAGATGGACTGTCCGTAATTCTAGGCTTGTGACCATATCGGGCTCTTGTGATAGGCAACTCAAAGCCTTTAGCTTGTCTGACTCCAACGCGAAAGCTCAAAAAGTCACTATCGTGAGCGTACTCAATGTCTTCTCATCGGCTCATATCGGTGCCTTCACGGCGTCGCGTACGGCCCGAAACCCCACCACCGGCATATTCAGAATACGACATGCACGAAATGTCCCAGCTAGCTCCCTACGAACAAGATATCCGGAGCACACTAGAGTTAGAGTACCACACCCCGGGTATATCACCACAACCTGCCGCAACCGGTCCCCGTTGCCAATCCACTTTCTGCTATAGAGCCGTGGCGGGGATAGGCCACTACTGCCGAAAGCACAAATGTAATGTAGCCGGCTGTGTTGGCCGTAGAGAAAAGGGGCATGGCAAGCGCTATTGCACAGTACACGAGTGTTTCTGGAGAGGATGCCACAGCTCTAAAGCCGGGCGTTCGAATTATTGCGACCAACATACTTGTCAACTAGAAGGCTGTCACGAACCAAGTCCGGAGGAATACTATCGTTACTGCAATGTCCACACTTGTCGCGTCCAGCGCTGTGCTAGTCGGCGCGAATCTCCCTCGAGGTACTGTTCCAAGCACAGATGCCGCGCCAACCACTGTTCCCGCGCATTTTCAAAATCAAGCGAATTTTGTACGGATCATAGATGCGAAGTAGACCGATGCGGAGCAGCGCGGCGCGACGGTAGCAATCTCTGCAGCCGTCACGAGTGTTCAGTCGAAGACTGCAACGGGAGGAGGGTTGAGAAGAGTCAATTCTGCGGCGCGCATAAGTGCGTTACTAAGGGATGCGCAGATGTTCAAATCGAAGGATTCCGCCATTGCGCCCAGCACAAGTGCCTTTCGTGCGAGAGGCCTTGCATACCCGAGAGTAGCTTTTGTCGTCGACACAAGTGTCGGGAGCCGAGATGTCCGCAAGCACGGGCGAGTGGCACCACCCGGTGTCTAAGGCACGTCTGTCAATGGGTAGGGTGTGCCGAGCCTGCGCTCCAACGTGACGGGTATTGTGGTGACCATACATGCTCTGCCGGAGATTGCACCGAGGGCGTAGTCCAGGGAGAGGACGCCATTGGCTTCTGCTGTCGTCATCATACTTGCGCCGAGCAGGACTGCCTCCAGGAGATATCGAGAATCGCGTACTGTGCCGAACACGAATGCCCACGACGCACATGCCTCAACTCTCGATTCTGGGGTGATAATAAGCAGGACGAGAAAGAGCACCAGTGCTGCAGGAATCATACTTGCGCCCAAGAAACCTGCTACGCTCCCACGGTGCGCAACAGGGCGTTTTGCGACCAACATGTATGTTCTTATGCCGGGGGTTGCATGTCGTCTAAAGTCCCGAACCTCGAATGCTGTGAGGCACATAGATGCAACCAGGGTTCGTGTCAAAACCCCTGTATCCCAAGTAGTTTATTCTGCAGCGATCACGTCTGTGCTTGGGAGACGGGGTGCTTACGCGGTCGTGGTGGTCCAAACCAGATCTACTGCGACTCTCACACATGTACCGAACCGAGTTGCCGACAGAGATGTAAAGGATCGCACGGTCTTTGCTCCGTGCATGCCTGTCGATGGAGTCCGTCGTGCTTGAACGCGCCCTCGAATTCTGGAGAATATTGCCAGCGTCATTCGTGTATTAAAAACGAATGTACCAGGGCAAGTTTAGTCGAAGAGAGTCTGTGCCGCCATCACGCCTGTTCGTGGAGTTCGTCCGTCTGTCTCAAGCCTCGCTGGAAAAGAAGTAGCTACTGCGGAGACCATACCTGCGGAGAGATGGGCTGCGGCTTTTCTCGAGTTGCGGGCGGGTCATATTGCTCTGATCATTCCTGTCAGGCATCTAAGTCTTGCGCCGGGCAGGCGGAAGTAGGAAGCGACTATTGCATCGAGCACAAGTGCGGTAGACCGAACTGTAGATTGAAGAGCACACGGGGTACACGGTTTTGCAAGAACCATAAATCCTTATATCGTCCAATCGGGGCTCATGAACTGACAAGCCTACAGAGGTAAGGAGCAACATCCATCGTCCCTAAAGCGTCATGTTTAACTTACTTGTGTAGTTTCCGGTCGCGTGCGGGATACGGTGTAATTGACCCCTTACTTACGGCATCGCTTACACATGTGGACTCGCCACGGAAGTTTCCGAAAAGGCTTCCTAGGCAACGCCAATGGGCCTGAGGGAATAAACGATGTTCGTAGTGACTACCTAGGTAACCTTGTTGAGCTTTGACGTGACTAGATTGTACTTATATGAATCTATCGTCAGATTGGATTGATGTTAGTACATACCTGCTACGAGATATTGATTGTATGATTCTTCTTATGATGTATATGGCAAGCCTATAGAATTGATACCGGGAGAATGTATATCCTCAGGTTAGATTATTATGAACTATTTATAGCTGACAGCTCTTATTCAAAACGAGTTATAAGGCTTTTACACATTGCAAGGTTGCTTGTACATAGGGAATTTGTATGTGGGTCGAGTATACTAGAATTCCTACAATTGATATGAGAACATGCCCTATGCCTCTTGAAAATATACGCCGGACCTTTCAAGAATGAACCACAACCAAAGTCACCTTTGTCCATGGCCTATCTACGTCATAGGCTGAATACACTGTCAGCGTGAATAACCCTGGTAAGGACGCAATGACCGGTATTTCCTGCTGGCGTCCATCGAAAGTCATACATGCCATTAAACGGGCGAACGCCGATATTTCCTCCCATTTCTATATCTCCACGAGACTTGAAGGACAGTTCGGTTTGCAAAGCATCTGTATCAGGATTGCACCCGTACACGACATCATAAATAGCACGCGGATCTCCACGTTCTGTCATGAACATCTTGGTCGTGTTATCTTTCACCTCATACTACGTATTTATGATTTGTCAGCGGCTAGTTATCTAAATATGTAACTAGGAAACATTGAATATCTGGCAGATTTACCTCCCCGTTGATAACCGCGCGGCGTGGCGGATCCCACGGCAGAGTGATCACACCGTCGACAAGTGTGAGCTGGTTTGTGGAATTCCCGGCGGGACTAACGAAAAGATGTTGGTCACCGCCACCCCAGTCCCAGATATTCATGAAATGGTTATGGATGTCTGGAAACGACGCATTCTGTATCTGAATTGAGAACCCCGCGGTAATATTGTTCGAGAGTGGGCTTGTAGGAACATCACATGCCAGGATAGGGGCAGCTAAGATGAGGACAAGAGAGGTTGGCAGCATCATCTTAGGGATTTGCTTTAAAGCAGACGTTAAAGCTACTATGTCTTAATATCTCTCTTACCCGTCCTGGTTGTGCTATAATATATAAGCGAGTTCCAAGAGTCTCAAGAAGCCAGCTGAAGATGAGCAAAATGTTATTCGTCTTTGCCAAGACTTTATACGAGGTTATGCATCAAGTTGTACAGAGAGGTTGTATTATTGCTATGCCATTATTCTGCAGCATCGGATCTAGACGCTCGGTAAATCTTACATGCAGAAAGCAAGGAGGTTAATATGTACATGTTGTTATTTTTAACCGCTTACCTCATGTACTTAATTGCCGTCAACCTGTCACCTGAGTATAAACTTCCGGTAAATGGTTGCTTCATCGATCCCGGCCATCCGCCACAGGGGTCAAATTTGTACCGTATTACGTTTCATGTGATATTGGATCAATAATGGTACGTCTTTAATGGGAAAATGCTTTTCGCTGTATAATGTAGAAGCATGTACATACGGATTGAGTAGCCTAAAGTAACCTTTTAAGTATTCTCTTCGCCGCCCAGATATTAATAAAAGCGGCCTACTAATGAATTATTACATAGGTAGTAATAAGTGGTTAGCTTTCTAGGAGTCAATTCTTTTATACCTGTACATAATTGCTTTCATATTCTCTTAATATCATTTGCAATTAATATCTTAGCGCTGTCTATCGAGTCTCGCTCGCTTCGAGCACTGCGCATTAATTTAGGAAACGTGCAAGAACAAGGAATATCTCCGAGCTAATAAAAAAGATGATACGAGGCGCAAAAACTACCAGAAAAAGCAAAAGACTTGTGATTCTTTATAAAAGGTTGAAGATACATAAAAACAGGTGGAAAACGCGTTAGTGCGGAAGTATTCGGATCAATCTTTAATTATTGGCTGATTCCTTAATCACCTAGGTTAGGTAAGTAATGCGTAGCGCTTAACAGGCGTGGGATTCGATAGACAGCGCTAATAGTAGCAATAAGATCTAATTGCTGCTTGCTTGCTCTTTTATAATACGGCAACTTAAACATAGACAGGTAAGCACCTACCTAGGCAGGTAATGTTACAGATGTAGTTATATTAAAGTAAGATCTTGGTATTACCTAATATGCCGTTTGTTTATGCATATAGTTACCTACCTAAGGTTAAGGAGTTATCTTTACGGAAGTCCCCATCAAAAGTTTTGTCCCAAAAAGCCGGCCCTTGTCAACTTTAACTGGGCTTGGCACTACATAGCTGTAAGCTATGGTACATGTACTATCCAAGTTACTCAATCTTTAATTTTTTAAGATATAATAAGTTAAATCATTACTTTGAAATAATAAAAGTTAACTATATAAAAATATAAGAATATTTTCAAGTTTATATCAAGTTTATTTTTATTTTCATTTTTGTATATCAAAGGTGTAACTTAGGTACTCAGTTCTATTAATCAAGGTTATACTTGTATGTACACTTTAAATCTGCATTGCTAGATAGCGGTGTATGGACAAAACTTTTGATGGGGACTTCTGTACTATATCCTATTAAAACTTTAATCAGTACAATGCCATTCATACTTGGTATCTACGGCACCGGTACGTGACGGTATCAATTGGCTTTAGCTTCATGATGGCTTCTGCAATAAAGCTCCGCATTCTTAGAATGATTGCTCTCAAACTCCTACTCCAGGACATATTTAAACCAATAAGCGCAATGTCAGATCTTTTATCTATTGCAATTTTGCCACTTACTTTTAGAATTGCATTCAAGTGTCACTTACAGTAGCCCACATAGTTAGCAGGTTCCTCTTTAGCTATTACCATGCTCGGTATTTTACCCAATATAGCCATATACCCAAGTAGGTACCTAAATGCATAGATGCCTTATGGTTGTTAAAGAACCTAGTCTGGACCTTGGTGTCGGTATATAATAGGGCTACCCCGCAGGATAGTCGCTAGATACTAGGTCTATAAAGAGACTACGCATTCCCCCTGTTCTTCTCGGAAGGGTATCGGTCAAGACAGTTACTAATAGTATACCACTATACTAGTGGCTACATAGTAGATCCTCACTTCTTCCTCCGCGCCACACGACCCGTGACACTTTATAAGTAAATGCATCATCTTTTAGTTTCCTACAGATGCAGACAGCTAATCAAACGCCTGTAATAGGCGCTTCGGCCCCATGACAAACGCTACCGCACTAGGGATACCGTACTTACATACTAGTATAGTTATGTAGCTTGTGAATCTCAAAGCCATTGGTGTAAACTAACAAAGTCCCGAATTACTTGGTTTAGTAATCAAAACCGGATTTTTTCATGGCCAATGCCTCGTTTAAGAAATACCCAAGTTCGGTTAGGGAGCCCCAGCTTCTGAAACGGGCTTGAAAGGGCAAACGGGACTCCGAGGCAATCTTGGCAGAGGTTGCCCCACGGTGGGCGGTCGGAAGCTAGAATGGAGGTATCATGTCTTGGTAAAGAATGTCGCTTAAATGAAAGGAGACGGCTAAATTCTTTAAAGAACTATATTAGGAACATCCCGTCTCTTTACATACAACTTAAGAAAAGGTTCTGTTTTAATAGTGGGGCATTTATACTCACCTGGATTACATTATATAACTATAGTTTATATCTTGAAGCTATCGAGTTGATTTGGAACTTGTATAATACTGGGTAAATGATGCTAGCGGGATACCCGGAAACCCGGGATACCAGGATAGTCTAACCTAGCTAATTTACCAAGCCTGATGCGAAGGCGGCCATCTTCCCCTTGATCGGGTAAAATGTGATCTTGGAAGTCCACTTCGTATTACGTAGTCTACGATATCTAGCTCAGCTTAGTTGACTAGCCCCTAGCATTCGCTACGTTACGTAGAAGATACAGAACATAAGCTCGACAGTGCATATGATAATGTGATCATACGACGAGTGAACGAGTTTATTGCTACGCAAAGAACCACAACTTTATCTTATACCTACCTAGGTACTCTGTCGCTGATATAATAAACAACTCTTCGTTTTGAACTTCTGCCTACCTAGGTACCTAACCTAGGTGTCTTGATATTTTGAGGACGAGCCTTTCGTCAGGGAACACACTCCTATATCATATTATCAAGCACTGCAGAAGTATATACCCCATCTTGCGCCAAGTACGCCCAAAGGTTCCGGGACTGTTTTAAAGTTCGATCAGACCACTTAAAGGTTAAACTTTCCACATGAACTTGTAGTTTCCACTATAACTATGTCCTATGAGAGAGTTAACTAGATACGTGATAGTTCGGAGGCCTAGTTTCTTTTAGGGGACAAGGATGGGGACTGCCTGGATGTCTCACTCACTATGACTGTTTCTCTTTCCCCATACTGACGTATGTATGCCTATATATAAGACCGTTGGAGGTATCGGCTTTCTCTAGTCAATGACATCCTATCTACTCCTGTTAGCTTCTATATATCTTTACATCTTCATCTAAAATAGAGGATACCCTATACCATTCCTATACTATCCAACGAGTTCTCCTTTACTAAATACCTACAATACGCTGCCATGGTTCAGCAACAAGTGTTCCACCTTCATCCACATGGCTGGGAGGATGACCCAGAGGAAGAGAGATATAAGGTTTCGACACTTGATTACCTATCCGGTCTCCGTTATAACAATTATGCCCTATTCTTCAGACTAGACGACGATGCCAAAAGGCGAGTGGCTAGTATTCTAAAAGAAGGCCTCGAACGTACTATTAGTCAAGCCCGACATGTGTGTGGAACGATCGAAAAGGACTCGGAAGGGGGTCATTCGTTTGTGAAGAAGAGAGACAGTACAGTACAGTTTGTTGTCCAATGGCTCGACTCGTCTGCGGACAACTATCCATCGTTCGATGATCTCTATGATTCACATTTTAGCACAACCACACTAGGGCCACTAGAGACCTGGAGTGTCTATCCGATGACGGCTGGAGATAAGCCTGAAGCGCATCCAGATAACAGTCCCGCCATCTCGGCTTTCAAAGCAAACTTCATCCGAGGTGGGCTTGTTTTCAACATGCATCACCACCATTACGCCAATGATGTTCTTGGCTGGACTGCCTTCACCCATCAACTAGCCGAGAACTGCTACGCTCTTGTTAATGGGACTCCATTTCCTGCATGGGATCCTATATATCTGGACCGCTCGCGAGTAACCAAGAAGGAATTCCCTGAATCAGCTAAGGTCGACGGGCCTGTCCAGCAAGAACGTCACCCTGCCCATACTATGGGCATAGTGCTCCTCTTCCATTTGCCCAAGAGCAAAGCTGCTGAACTGAAGAAATTGGCAATGCCAGCCAACGGCTCTCAGATATCAACCTATGACGCTTTTTCTGCCTTTATATGGCGCACATTTTCTCGACTTCGGGCCCCCGTGTTCAATCCTGATCCCTCATCCAACTTGTTCTGGGCCGAAGCTGTTGATATGCGCCGACGCTTCCACAGCCCCGAATGCCCAGAGCGTACGCAGGGCAATATTATGTTTGCAGTCCGGTCCACAGCAGCCCCGGTTCAGCAACCCACAATAGCTGAAATTATTTCAGAGTGGCCACTACCCAAATTGGCATCGTATATTCGCAAACTCACAAACTGCGTTACGCAAGATAATCTTGACAAGACACTGGATATAGTGGCGCTTATTCGGGACAAGACAGCGCTGAATGCTCGTGTTGACTCCCATCCGCCCATGTCAATCCTGCAAACTGATCATCGTCGTGCAAATGTTGCTGCAGCCGACTTTGGTTTTGGGAAGCCAATCACATATCGACACCTATGGGATGATATATCCGTAGGAGTGATCCTTATTTACCCACCACGTTCAACAGACCCTGACTCAGATGAGGGCTGTGAGTTTGCTGTTATGTATGAGAAGAACCTGGCTCAAACATTGATTGAAGACCCCGAGTGGAATAGATATTTCGAGTATAGGGGGGTCACTGCCGAGCACCGCTGTGGCTAACCTGTTTTATGTTATGTAACCATTAAGAGATAATCGAAAACATCGCATTCCAGTGCTAAATGTATTGGGTATTGAAAAGCTTAGAAGGTATCAGCTCTCCAATATAGCAATCCGATGTGCTACCCCCGCTGTGTTGCCCAGATATTTTGTTATTAGCCATGTAATGGATTCTCGCATTGGAGAAAGGCCCTCCAACTATGAGACCCATTTTATTGTGACTCACCGGGGAGCCTTTGATGTAGGACAGAAAGTGTTTCAATAAAATTTGGAGGTTGGAGGTTGGAATTTCAAATTTGAAATGTTGCATTCCAAGTGCTTCAAAGTTAGGAATGAAAATGAGCCAAGCCAACGTACCTAAAGACGTCAAAGAGCGCATCAAAGCGTCCTACGACGTTATAGCATCAAAATATAACGAATGGACGGTGAAACACAGTCCTCTACGGCAGGAGTATACCGCAAAGGTCTTTGAGTTTCTGTCTGCTTCAGGTTCTTCGCAACAACCCCGCTTCCTTGAGCTCGGCTGCGGGGCTGGACTGCCCATTACACAAAAGCTTTTATCATGCCCAGAAGCTCATGTTATTGCCAATGACATATCGACCACCCAGATCGGACTTGCAAGAAATACTCTGCTCGGGGCTGCAGAAGAAAATGCTGGAAACTCGGGACGCTTGACTCTCATCGAGGGGGATATGACAAAGCTCTCCTTTACCGACCAATCCTTCGACGCTGTATTCGCCTTCTACAGCTTGATACACCTCCCTCGCACAGAGCAGACCGAGATGGTTGGAAAGATTGCGCGGTGGTTGAAGCCCGGCGGCTACCTCGTTGCCAACTTTGCTGATAGTGACACGGAGGCAGTTGTAATGGATAAATGGCTTGATAAGAACGACTGGATGTTTTGGAGTAGTTGGGGTAGAGACGAGACGTTGAAGATAATAGAGGAGGCCGGAATTAAAGTCGTAGTCGGCGACGTAAGGAAGGATGAGGTTAATTCTTCGTTTCTTTGGGTCGTCGGGAAGCGATGATGTGATTGAATGATGATATTGCTCTTATATATTGGCGGCTTCTCGGTCTGTAACTTGGTGGGAAGTTTCGCGCTGCACTTAATCATCCGATGTACCCAACGAAAGAACATGGTTAGTGATGATTATAATATTGACCAATCTCCTATGAATCAGTTGTGAAACTTTGAAATTCAAACTTTGAAATTCAGACCGTGTCCAGTCGCCCATATTCCTGTATTTTTTTTTCTTCACGGCATGGAAGCTCATGGAGGATAACTTTGTTTGAGGAGAAGAAAAGGGGCGTTGTTAGTTATCGTATATCTCACGTCGTAGAGATAGTACCGGAATCGTAATCATATGTTGGCGGGAAAGGAACCCACGTCTTTACTGACCCCATGGTTTTGATACCGAACCTAATGAGAAGTATCTCAGCTCCTCGGGTGAGAATTTATCGTATGGCTTTTGAGAGCATATGTGTTCCATGGAGCTGAAGCCGGTGCTCTCAGAAAAAGGCCAAAATTCTATCATAGGAGAAATGGTATTAGGAAGAGGACTCCAGTCTACTCCTATACATAATCAGTAATAATCAACCGCTTTTTGGAGAACATACATTTATTTGTTTGTGAGTTGAGCCCGCTTAATACGCCGAGCCCACCAGAATTCTGCTTGTAATTGCTTGGACTATCGAAACCAAACATCTTAGGCCCTTTAGATGGTAGCTCGGTGGGGGTTTTAAATAGCGAGCTTTGGGTAGTAGGTAGCGGTCCTAGATGATCAAAGGGGTTGGTAAATGGGTTTCTAAGTGAAGCAGTAGAAGAATTTAGTGAGGAGCTTGAAATCCCAGTATTGTTTGGCCCAGCCGAGAATAGTGAAGAGGAATTTGCAGGCTTATTATCACTAGAACTGGTGCTACTAAATAGCACACTCTGCTTTTGGGTGATAATTGGAATTCCTTTAGGCGCGGGTGTATCTTTTGAAGTATTTGCGGCTCTTAGAGCCCTCGGCTTGGCTGAGACCGAAGGCATAGCTGACGTTCCAAATATTAGTATTCAAAGCTAATATTTGTAAAGGTTCGAATACTTACTAGTTGGTTTGCGCTCCTTAAACTTGTTACATATCTGCAATCCCTTCTTAAGAGCGTCATATTCCGCCTGCAACTCCTTGCGCTCCGTTTGAACTTCTGGCGACTCTGATGCAAGTCGCTCAAGTTCATTATCCTCCATCCCATTGACTCTAGTTGTGGTGAATATTGAAGGGAGATCTCTCATGAGACAGTTCTCGACAGCTAAAACAACTACGTTATCGGTGAAGGTCCGAAGCGACATCTATAGGTATCTAATGTTAGCACTAGTATTAAATTGAAAACATAGCTTTACCTCGTAATAAGTTTCAGACTTGTCAATCAAATTGTCCACCCCAAACTCGCTCACAGGGTTTAAAAATTTTGCTCTCTCAAGTTCCTTACGCGCCTCTTCTGTGAAGAACTCGGGTCGACTTGCCATCAAGTCTTGGAGGACATTAACTCCGACGTTTTTCTGGCGTCTCTGCGCAAGAAGAACCCTAAACTCGGCATCAAGAGGTTGCGGGTGGCCGCTTTTGTAGTGACGGAGAAGTTCCTGGAGTTTAGATTCAAGTACATCAGACTTTTCTTCAAAGAATGGATCTACTATTTCGGTGAGAATTGCTGAGCAAGTCCTTTTGTCTGGATTTATAATATGTCCCACGAGTTTCTCAACGAATTCTTTGGCCATGTCTAGCACGAGCCGTAGGTGACAACGTGCGATTTCCTCCCAAGGTTGAGACTGGTCCTGGAAAAGCTTTACGGCTAAGCGGTCGTTTGAGGTACCAGGGAACTCATTGCCCTGGTTGGCTGACGAAAGTGACTCTAGATCAAATGAAATCAAATTGAACGTGATCTTTTCTGGATCTTTGAATGTGTATTGATCGGCTAATGGCTGAAGGAACGTCGGTAAGGTTAATTTCTTCGCCAATTCCTCGGATTGCCCAGAAGCGTATGTAGTATTACTAGTGTCATGGTGTTGAGCGAATGGTTTCGTACCATTCAAGCTCCTAGGGAGAATGATTCGTCTTGAACCTTTGGTTTCTAACATGTAAGCGAATGTCCGATTTAAATCGCGTACAAGTGCTCGGAATTTTCTGACCCTGCTGTCATCAATTGTAGATGAGTCGAATGTGGGATAGAGACCCCCGAAAAACTCATCAGTGTAGTTCCCTTCCACGGCATGTAGACACAGGATCTGGAACTTGGAGGCGATTTTATCTAGGTGCTTCCGTAGTTCTTTTGGAGTTGACCTCGACTCTCCTAAACGTTCGAGTTGAACTTTGCGATCATTGATATTTTTCTCAATACTCTCAATGAGACCTTGAAGATTGTTCTTGATATGCTGCAGGAGAATACCGCTCAGCTTTTTGCGAAGAGCTGCCACGCCTCGATTCTTTGAGGGCACACTAGACCATAGACCCGATCCAAAGAAATTCTTTTCTTTCTCGTCTCTCTGCTCATCAGTGTCCAAAGTTTCCATTTCACCTCTATTACGGAGAACGTGCCACCCCAAATATAGCTCATGCGACTTATCAAGATTTTTGGCCAATCGAATAAAATTATTCTCATCCTGAGTGTCAGGAGTAAGAACATCTGGCTTTGTAATAATTCCGATAGTCCGTTTCTTGAACTTGTCGTGCTGCTTGACTTTAGATAGTACCTTCTGCAATATGATCTGATTGCGCGCCGAGATTACAGCTAGTATAATGCTGTTCTTGCGAGCCATGTAACTCTCCACCAGACGGTCCACAATCTTCCGGCCAGCAGCCGACTGATTCTCATCCTCTGAGTGGTAGAAGCCGGGAAGATCAACCAGTGTCAAGTGTGGGACATCGGGACTCCTTATCTCGATTCTAAGAACGTCCTCGGAGAAGCCAGAATCATCCTCGAGAAGTTTCTTCTTGGCTTCTTCAACAATACGAGGTAGGTCATCTTTATTAAAAGATTTCTCATCAAATGGAAGCGTATATTTACCGAAAACCGAATATGGTAGAACGCGTACATCGACCTTAGTTTGACTGTCTGTACGAAGAACTAGTTCCGTTGCGAATCTTGTACACAGCCCATCTTTGACAGGAAAGCGTACTCTAGAGATGGCTTCAAGAACGGAGCTCTTTCCTGACGATTGATCTCCAACGACGATTATCTGGGGAAGATTAACAAAACGATCGATGCCATGTTTGCGAAGGTCATCGATGGCATCGAGGAGAGCCTTTTGCTCCCCGTGGAGCTGTTCGAGGGCCACCGAGTCTAAAGAGATAACATCCATTGTAAAATCTGGGGTATTTCGTAATTGGTGGATGCGAATGCGAATGAATAAGTGAGCGGTTAACTCAGCTTTCCTATAGATGGGGACAAAGGCCTAGCTTTATATTCATTGACAAGATTGCGTCTCATGCGTGTGATATGTATCTGCAAGGTTCTTCTCCGGACAAACAGCCCCTTCGTTTTAGATAACGTTGCAATGCATTTTATGGGTTTAACTTAGGTACATTACAGTTTCATCAAGCAAACCAACGTCGTTCGAGGTAGGTCCGGATCAATTCCTGGTTGGACCCTTGTGGGGGTACCCGAATCCTCTCTTCGGGCCGCATCTTGGCTTCGGGAAACTCCTCTCGGCTCATAATTGTCGGGCACTTCAGGGGCTCTTATTATTGGTCTTCTGGTTCCTATTACGCGAATGGAACCTATATCACAGCGCCAATTCAATCGGATTGCATATCTACAGAAATGAAGCAAGTTAATACCAATGATCACATCTCTGTCAACATAATGTAGCAGTGGGGAAAGATGGATGGATATCAGCCTTGCCTTTGCACAAAAAAAAATCATAAACTCATTTGTGACGAAACTATCGAGATACCTATAAGTTATTCATTTTTAGAACTATATTAATAATCCCGACGCAAACTGCTTAATACGTAAAACTACCACCTAACCTATAAGTACCTGTCATATATAGGTACGTAAAATCTATCAAAAGCTCAACTATGCTAAATATAAAATATATTTACTTTACTTAACACGAAGAATATCCTTGATTAGGTAGGTTAGGTACTTATGACGTTAACAAAATGTCTCACATAACTCAATATACTTCAATGGTTCAAACTATGCTGTGTTGACCCGATTAAGAGAGGAGCTTGATGAGTAAGAGGGCACCACGAGAGAGAATTATCATAACTAGGTAGTTTAGAACACATTTAGTTATATTCAGTTGTACTAACTTAACCTCAACTTCCTACCGATAGAACAACGGTGATGGTATTTCAGGTGAGACAACCGAGGAACAACGATGCACTCAGTGTGCATCGTAAGTTAGCCGGCCTCCACAGTCTACTTAGGGTTAAAGTTCCTTGCGGAACAGCCAACTAGGTTAAGTTGTCTCCATAACTTCTAGGTCCGCTTTTTGGAAGACGGAGCTTACTGATTTATCTCGGCATTAGCTTGGTTCGCCTTTCTTCCGGGATCCCTCGGGCCAGGTGCACTTTCCTTGGAGCACTTCACATAATTAATATCGGAGGAAGGATTTTTACTATGATGAAAGCACGATATATAAGGAGCCACTGAAAAAAAAAACAATTTATTGGGGAGGAGAAATTGCCTAGGGTTAGATTCTTAATTACCTACTTCCGGTCAGTCTAGTAAAGATTTAAATATCAATGCTGTCAACTGAGTACAGCGACTATATCTAAAAACTACTTAGAGTATGCTCATAAGATCTAACATCAGTACTATCATCGCTGTTAGATAGTCTAAGTACCTACGTACGTAACTACCACATATATCATTTCTCTACCTATAATGTCTGGGGATAGCCTCAGTATAGGCTTTTAGCCTCCACTATATTTTCCAACATTCCGTAGTATTTATTGGGTTGATCAGCCCAGTCTTTTTGTCACGGCGTGGAACCAAGAAGTACGGAAACAACTTCGTTGCTCCGCGAGGAACCTATGGCTATACATACCTAACTACCTAAGTATGTCCTTTGGTCTAGATGTCTCATCTGGAATCCTGACACTTTTGGTGAGATGAATGATTTCTAAGAGTGGTGAAAGTGTGGAAACTTTGGGAGAAGCGAAATTTGAGATCGGTGAGGGGGTGTCGTGTTGTCTCTCAACAAGATACTGCTGTAAGCAAATCAGTTTCGTATTATTCTTGATCAAGTATCTAGCACCAACTGATATTCAGAATTGGCTGCCTACAGGTAGGTAGATGCCTAGGTAGCCAATCATGTTGGGCATTTCAGATTGGTAGTTTACCCCTGGATATTCTTACTTCTAGAATTGTAGTTGTGGGTACGTACCTACTTAACGAACTCGAATACGAGAATGTCTTGGCATTATATTGCGGTTGACTTACACATACAGACATGAACGTACATAAGCTATCTACGTATCTCACAGCAAATTCAGAAGTAAGTATTTATAGAGATCAAATATCATCTTCATCTGGGCTGATTATCTTCCATTAGCAACTTCAGATACAAATACGATGAAATCAAGTTTTATTGCACCATGATAGACCTCAACTCTCCTCTACATAATGTGGCCTATGCCATTGCCACCTTGATTCTTACGATTGCCATCAACGTACTTTGGCAACTATTGCCTCGAAGAAAATCAGAACCGCCATTGGTATTTCACTGGATCCCGTTTGTCGGCAGTGCTATTTCGTATGGATTGAATCCCTTCGAATTCTTCACGAATTGTCGAAAACATCATGGCGACATTTTTACCTTCGTACTCTTTGGCAAGAAAATTACTGTCTACCTTGGAGTCGACGGTAACGAGTTTATCTTAAACGGAAAGTTACGAGACGTCAATGCCGAAGATATCTACGGCGCGCTTACTACCCCCGTGTTCGGCAAGGATATCATCTATGACTGTCCCAACGAAAAGCTGATGGAACAGAAGAAATTTGTTAAATTTGGCCTTACACAGAAGGCCCTGGAGTCATATGTACCATTAATACAACAGGAAGTTCTTGAATATATAAAAGCCTCTCCTAGTTTCAAAGGTTCGTCCGGGATAGTCGATATATCGGCCGCTATGGCAGAAATCACCCTCTTCACTGCCAGCCGCGCCCTCCAGGGAGCAGAAGTACGAAAGAAACTGACGGCTGAATTTGCCGATCTATACCACGACCTCGACCAAGGTTTCCAGCCGATTAACTTCCTCGTGCCATGGGCGCCTCTTCCGCAGAATCGGCGGCGAGACGTGGCGCATGCCAAGATGACTGAAACCTATCTGGAACTAATCAACAACCGTCGTGTCGATAAGAAGAGCAGGGAGACCAGCACCGACACCGACGGAACCGACATGATTCTTAACCTCATGAGTTCTATCTACAAAGATGGACAGATTCTTTCCGATGAGAATATTGCCCACTTGATGATTACCCTTTTGATGGCGGGACAGCACTCTTCATCGTCCTCAAGCGCGTGGATCATGCTTCGCCTAGCATCACGACCAGACATTGCTGAGGAACTATACCACGAGCAAGTAAACAATATTCACTATACCGGCCAACCGCTCCAATACTCCGACCTAAGCAAGCTTCCTCTACTACAGAATGTCGTCAAGGAAACGCTACGTATCCATTCCTCCATCCATTCTCTTATGCGCAAAGTCAAGAATCCGCTGCCAGTTCCCAATACCGAATACGTCATCACCCCCGACAAAGTCCTCCTGGCGTCGCCCATCATGACGCATCTGGACGAAGAATACTTTGCGAACCCGTTGGTGTGGGATCCGCACCGTTGGGATAATATCGTCGAGGTAGAAAACAAAGAGGACATGGTCGACTACGGATATGGCGCTATGTCAAAGGGAACAAAGAGTCCATACTTGCCCTTTGGTGCAGGTAGGCATCGGTGCATTGGGGAGAAGTTTGCGTTTCTCAACCTGGTCACGATCGTCTCTACCCTTGTTCGAAATTTCAAGTTCACGACGACTGACGGCAAGTCTTGGGTACCCCCGACAGATTACACATCGATGTTTTCGCGCCCTGTCCAGCCAGCCAGTATCCGCTGGGAGCTTCGTTTTCCCGAATCTTCCTAGAAGAGCATTGTTAGTTTGATGCCATTTTACTACATTTGAGACTAAGACATCTGGGCTTCTAGCCTACACTTATGTGGCAGATATGATGGGACAACCCTGGCAGGGGTAGGATATGGAATATATTATATATAATCAACATACTTCTCATTCTTCAATATCCGTGATTTATTATGGTTGAATAGCCACTTTTTCTGACAATAATATACCATCGTGTGGCCCCTAAATTACTATCTCAATAGACTCCGAGCATAACCCTTCTACAATTTGGCCTTTGTCGGCCATTTATTGTGATTTTAAAATGCCCACTCTTGTTAAAAAGCTCCCATTGGGTCTTTCGGTTTTCTCATTTGTTAATTCTTTTTAATGGCGTCTAGCAACAGAGCCGCATGGTGAATAACATCACCCCCTGCCCCTTATTGGTCTCCACTCTAACCCTCCGAGGTCTCGGAGCGCAATGCTCCGCAATGCTCCGCAATTCTCGGAACACCTTCAATCGTCCGATGCGTCTAGACGTCTCGATTGAAGATATGTAGCGGTGGAAGCGTGGTACGTTCCCGATTGTGGGGTTATAAATAGCTCGAATTGCCCATATCATAAATATCGATTGGGTCATGGACTCTTCTCGTCAAGGCACCGTCCCATGTTACTACGGAGCAACATGTACTCCACGTTACGGTCTGCCTTCACTTGGCTTCTAGCTGCCGCCCCTATTTTTACGCAGGGCGCTTCCCTCCAAAAAGTCACATCTGACTTTGGGCCAAACCCAAGGAATGTCGGGTTTTACATTTATGTTCCAGATAAATTGGCTGCTAGACCGCCGGTTCTCGTCAATCCTCACTGGTGTCACGGCGACGCGCAAGCTTGCTACTCCGGGTCTCAGTATTCGACTCTGGCTAGCAAGTACGGATTTATTGTCATCTATCCCGATAGCCCAAATACGGCCGATAAGTGCTGGGATGTGTCTTCCAACGAGACATTAACACACAATGCTGGAGGCGACAGCTTGGGTATTGTTAGCATGGTGCGATGGACACTCGACAAGTATAACGGCGATCCGAATCGTGTATTTATTACTGGTGTTTCCTCCGGGGCTATGATGACCAGTGTGCTACTCGGAGCATATCCCGATATTTTTGCTGCGGGATCTGCATTTGCCGGCGTGCCGTACGGATGTTTTGCCGGGAACGGGTTTGGTGTTTGGAGTGACGCTTGCGCTACAGGGAAGGTCAAGAAGACTGGCACTGAATGGGCCGCATTAGTTAAAGCAGGATATCCAGGTTATACTAGGTGGCGGCCTAGAGTTCAGATCTTCCATGGAACGAACGACGAGGTGCTTAATTATACAAATTTCCAAGAGGAGATCAAAGAATGGACTACGGTGTTCGGATTTAATGAAACTCCCACGAGCACAACGCCTGATACCCCGGTCAAGGGATGGACGAAGTATGTGTACGGTAGCAATGATTGGCTCGAGGCATACAGCGCTGCAGGGGTTTCACATAACATTCAGAACCAGGAGGCCACCGCGATGGAATGGTTCGACCTTACCTGTATAAGCGATGACTGCTTTAAATGGGGACAAGGGGGTCCAAAGGCTCGGTAGTTGAATGAGATAATGTGTTAGGTAGTTGGTCACTACCTATTTTCTCTGATTCTCGTAGTCGAACTAGACACGATAACTAATTCAAAGAGAGAAAAAGATTTTAGCCACCCCAAGCCATCTTATAATACAAGGTAATTTCGTATTTCCTCTCATCTAATTACTCCTGCCGCCTTGACCCCCGAGAGTTGACTGTACGGATCCGCCAACACTACCCTCTGTAGTAAACTGCTTTCCAACCATGCCCTCCTTATCCAAAGGACCACCGATCTTCTGCGCTGTACCGCCAATCGCTCCGTCTTCTACACAATACGGGTCAGTCTTTATATCGAAAAGTAAAAAAGCATTACATTAATCCTTACTGGTAAACTGTTTGCCAATGGAGCCCTGGGCATCGAACATCTTGGGTTTATCTTCGCCGATGCCAGCATTGGCGGGTGTCTTTACTTGTGAAGCCATTCCCGTGCCTGTCTTAGAGCCAGTGTTGGAGCTGCCATGTGATGACATTGTGTATGGGTAATTGTACAATGTAGGTACCTAAGGTAGACTTGTAAATTGAGTATGCTTAGAATTATTTACTGAACTTACATTTCAATATAGGAAGGCCTTGAGGTTGTGCCATCGATTTCCTTTAAGTACGTTTTGAGAAGATAAAGTTAACTCGGACCTTGACGCTACAACAGCAAGTCTATGAGGTCATAATTTCGTACTTCAGGATCAGCTATGTCACCACTCACGAGATTGGCTTTACCAACCCACTAACTCCATATCTACTCCCATAATCAAATAGTCTACGATTTGCACATGGTATGCAGTGTCTCTGGTTGCAGAAGTTGTAGAACTAGTATGATAAGAAACCTTAACGAGATGTCGTTGCTCTGCCTACTCAACTTTCTACTATGCTTGGCGGTAATATTGGGCCTATTGAATTGTAGATTATCCCTTACTGTAAATTAGTGAGTTCTATTCTCACATCTCGCTAAGATCTTTATGATTTTCTACCCTAAGAAAGTTCTCAAAATTATTAAAAGAGCAGTAGCGAGATCTTACGTTATTAACCTAGGTGATGTAAAAGTTCTTAAATGATACCTGGTCTGCATAGATGGGGCAATATATCCTGGTAGAGCATGATTTATCGTTAAAAGCATGCTGGAAATAGTCCACTCTCAGCTTCGTATTAAAAAGAGGGGATGAATAAGTCATGTTCAATAGTCCTACTCAATAACTCAGTATACTATCTAACGCCTTAAATCCGTGGTCAATATTGCATTAAGGGAACTTGAAATAAGAGGTATTAACCCTGATAGACTTATCATATCTACGGGTTACTGAATTTTTGAAATCCTATGCATGATAGTTTACTATCCGGAATAGGAGACCTACTCCTTTCCATTGAGGCAATCATCTTCTCGCCTCGGTACGTAAATAAGACTGCCTATGTACCTACTATAGGAGAGACTTACGAAGCTTACGACGGTATTTCCTAATGTGTACTTCGACACCATCACTTTCGCTTTATCGCGCTGATCTATTGGTAGTCTTCCAAATGTTGTATCGGAATCTAATAAACTGGTCGGTTATACAAATTAAACCCCGATAGTAATCGCCGGTACAAGAAGCTTGATTTCAAAGCAATCGAAGTAGTATATCTAGACTGTTAGGATCTTTCTAGATTGGGCCACAAGTTAACTTACTTTCTCAACTTTACGTTCTCGACCTAATATTAACGTATTTAATTAAAATCATGCCTCCCCCGAAGGGTACTCCCAACCCTCTAGAGGGTCCAGGTACGTTGAGAGATCATCCTACGCGCGAGCCTATTTCGGGTGCTAAGTGCACGCTTAGGTGACTATGATGTGACCTCCGTGGTGCACAACGACACATATCCCGCGATTGATTCTGCCAAGGCAAACTTGAGCGGTAAGGCCGTCCTTATCACCGGTGCTTCCAAAGGCTTGGGTAGAGCGATCTCTGTCTCGTTTGCCAAGGCCGGCGCGTCGATGATCGCAATTGGGGCCAGGTCCGATCTTTCAACTACAGTCAACGAGATTAAAGCAGCGGCCGAGAAGGTCGGAAAACCGGAACCGGCAATCTTAGCTCTCAAGCTTGATGTAGCTGATCCCAAGAGCGTCGATGATGCGGCAGCCCAAGTTAAGGAGAGATTCGGACGCATGGATATCGTTATTAACAACGCTGGCATCTTTGATGTAGCCAAGATCCTAGATACCGACCCCGAAAAGTGGTGGAATATATGGAGAGTAAACGTCATGGGGCCATACAACACCACGCGCTCCTTTCTTCCACTGCTATTGGAAGGGAGTAACAAGACAATAGTCACATTAAGTAGCGTTGGCGCTCATTTGGTAGGGCCGGGACTCAGCGCATACCAGCCCTCTAAGCTAGCAGTGCTTCGTCTTTCCGAATTCATCTCAGCAGAGTATGGCGACAAGGGCATAGTCGCGTACTGCATTCATCCGGGAAATATTCCAACAGACATGGTTGCCGGTGTCCTGGCCCCTGAGATAAAGGGAGGTAAGTTTCAATTGCTACCAAGTGAGTGAGAAATATAAGCTGATACAACTATTCCGTTGGTAGTATTTGTCGAAACGTCGGAATTAAGCGCAGATTCTTTGGTGTATCTGACATCGGAGAGACGGGATTGGCTGGCAGGCAGATATATCAATGTTACTTGGGACCTGCCGGAATTGATGGAGAAGAAAGACGAGATCGTGAAAGGAGACAAGTTAAAAGTGCGGCTAGTAATATAAATTGCGTAGATACCTAGGTGGTACCTATTGTACTTACAGGTACCTAGATAGCGGAAATGCGGCACGGCACCGTTTCCGACATCAGATTGATATAAGTAACAACGACCAATTGTTTTTTCTCTACAGGTCACCAGGATGTCCAACACTATTTAGTGGAGATGTTACTTAAAGGAGAGAAGTATTAAAACACTCAAAATATTATAGCAAAATACAATTGTAAATATATCTCGTGATGTTTAGGTAACTTTTGCCACTTAAAATTACCTGTTTAAGCAAAGACTAAGCTAGAATATTCGAACAGGTTTGTATTTTGCCATATAAATAAAGCAGTATACTACTTATTAACTACTTCAAGTAACATCTCCACTAAATAGTATTGGACATCCTGGTGACCTGTAGACTCTAGGCAAAGTCGCAAGTCCCACCCCCTTAACCCCATAGGGCTGAGACAGGGGTTTTGCTGATCTCAGCTGGACTTGCCAATCCTCTAGGTTACCTTTTACGTAAGCTCATCATTCCTCCTAAAACAAATTAAAACAATTAACCTAACACGCGGCCCGTAGCCCTTTTATTTTATTTTATTTTGTTTTATTTCCTTTCTCCTCAGATATCAGAAAAATAACAAATTTCAAAATGACAGAGTCTCTCGTATCACGGTTCGCCAAGCTGAACACTCTATCGAAACTTTCTGGCGGGGCTTATGATGAGGATGTTGGAGAAGAAATCGACAAAACCACCATTGCGGGGGGAGGCCACGGTGCGCGACAAACGACTATTACTAAATCCCAGTTGCGAGTCAGCCATGCATTAAAGTCATTCCTCGTAAAGAACAATATATTATCCGAGGAAGAAGTTGGCCTAGAGTCGGAGCAACCTAGTACCGCACTACGAGCACTGCTTGATAAGTCGCACATCGAAGTGCCCTTCACAGTGACGGACAGATCTTATTCACTCCCGGAGTATTTTATAAGCTCTAGCCATAATACATATCTTCTAGGTCACCAGCTTATTGGCGAGTCTTCTGCTATTGCTTATGAGACCGCGCTCAACGCCGGATCTCGATGCATTGAAATTGACGCCTGGGATAATGAGGACGATAAAGATGAACCTAAGGTTACGCATGGGTACACGCTTGTTTCCCATATCCCATTCCGTACAGTATGCGAGACAATACGCAAAGTTGTTGACCGGGAAGCGACGCAGTCTAGCAACGCGGATGGATACCGGGCAGCACCAATCATGCTCTCTCTGGAGAATCATTGTAGTGCGTACGGGCAGCAGAGACTCGTTGAAATCATGAAGGAGATTTTCGGCCATCGTTTGCTGGACAAAGCTATCAGGGTAAAAGGCCACCAGGAGCAGGTGGGAGACAGCGACCCGGTCACGTTAGCGGAGCTGGGATCGAAGATAGTTCTCATTGTCGAATACCACTTACCTGAAGAAGCAGACACAAGTGAAGGTGACAGCAACCCCAACTCTGATGATGATGACGAGGTGAGACGGGCACGAGAAGCCTATCAAACCAAGAAAAAAGAATCTGCATCTACTGTAATTGTCCCAGAGCTTGCAGAGCTAGGCGTTTATGCCCAGTCCGTGAAACCGAGAGATAATTCTTGGTTTGAAGGTGTTCTGAAGGGCGGTCCCAGAAACCACTTAATCAACGTCTCAGAAAGTGGACTGGCATCACACATGCCGGCAGCGAATCAGATGATTGCACGGCACAACTCTCGGCATTTGATGCGCGTCTTTCCAAAGGGTACGCGTATCTCTTCAAAAAACCTCAAGCAAGTTCCGTTCTGGGGTGTTGGAGCACAGATCTGCGCGATGAACTGGCAGACTTTCAATGCTAGCATGCAGATTAATGAAGCCTTATTTAGCGGTACTGACGGCTACGTCCTAAAGCCCGCGGCGCTACGGGCGGGCGGTAGCATGAACCTCAACACTGGCAGAAAGAAAAGGCTAGTGCTGCACATCGCGGGAGCATCAGATATACCCCTGCTAGAAGGCCAGGAAGAAGATGATGTCAAGCCATATGTTACCTGCACGCTCGTCCACACAGATGAGTTAGATGGCAAGCATCCCAAGAGCAAGACAAGCCCATACAAACACCACAAGCTAGGATTCCTCCATAGGGGCGAGAACCCTCCACCCACCGACCCGATCTGGGATGAGACGCTCGAGTGGGAATATGAGGACAACGAACTGGTTTTCGTCCGTATTCTACTTAAGAATGACGCTAGCTTTGCAGAAAATCCCGTCTTCGCGGTCGCGGCTGTGAGACTCTTATACGTGGTTCCTGGCTGGAGCTTCATCCGTATGCTGGATTTGAAGGGCCGGGAGACCAAGTGTTCGTTGCTGGTGAAGTTTGACATAAGCGACATCTGAATATAGGAGTAGTGAACGATGTCCTAATAAGAGACTCCCGAGATGGCATGTTAGTATTGAGTAGGTCATACGCTACCACGGTAAGTATGTCAGTAGCCTCCCTACCTAGGTTAGGTACCTAAGATATTATGAAATAACAGACGGTTTATTATTAACCAATACAAATGACCGGAGCGAATTCCAGGTCCTATGTTTCTTTAGCTGTTGTAACTTAAACTAAGCCGGAGTTATCCATACCATTGTCTGTCATCTGTCATGATACGCATTATCCGTGTAACGAAACCATGTACCGAAATATATGCAGAGTGTCATTACCTTGTTCCAATTGGATTATTTTAGTTTTCTGTCTCATCTAAATGCTGCAAAGATGAAATGACATCAACTAATGACATTTGAGTAGTATGCATAATCCAGGGTGCCGATAGTGGCGTTTTCTCTTTCAAATATATCCAGATCGACCTACGTCATGGCGATCGCTCAAGACCTTACTTATACATACATGTATGCAGCATCGATTCTTATCTTTTTCGTGTACCTATTCTAGCAACGGCATCAAACTATTGGTTCCATTCTCCCCTTACGCTTGGCAGCCACAAGGTTGGTGATACAATTCCAACTGTTTACGTCATAGCCTAACATCATGCTCCTACCCCTTAACCTAGATATCTAACGTAGAAATATTAATTGGAATAAGGAAAGATTGTAGTCACAATGTATGGAAGACTTTGAATATAATACTTGAGAAATAAATGTGCAAGTACATCGATAACCCCGATTCTTACTCTAACCACCTATTGCATCAGTTCCCGATCATTGAGCCAATAGCTGCTTAGTCGTAATCAAACGCCTTGTTATCGTTTCTAAGCGGTATCCCAGCGCGATTTGATCCAGGCGCTCTATCATCTATAATTTTGGTGGTTAGTTGTCACTTCGGATAGTCGTATAGTCAAATGTCTTGGTGAAATTAGGTGGAATATTTTATTAGTGAGGGGAAAGCACCCTTAAAGAAACTCTTGAACACTTACAGTATAAATACTTTTGATCTGCAGACCCAGAAGTCCTTGGACTAATACTCTGTGCTCATCTAATGAATCCACCAAGTAGCTTCCTAGTACGAAACTAGGAACAGCTAGCTGGGCAGTACCCCCAGGAGCCGTTGTTGAAGTTAGTTGTGGATAGATACCAGAGATATCTTGACACGTCTTCCCGAGTTTCTCTATTAGAGATGTGAGAATGGCTATGTTTTCAAAGTGAACCATGCAGACCTCGCACTTTATCATATCGTTTCCATGACGAAGGGCCTCTTTATTGGTGTTGAGGGCATTGCCGAAATTGTCAATCCCTATAGCGATGTCTTCCAAATCGAAGATGACAAGGATGATTCTATGTGCGTGAAGACATTGGCGAGGATGTGTAGTTTGATCTGTGTGGCTGTTTGCAACGTATTTCCATTCCTCGCAAGATCTTGCAAACTCGAAATTGCATAAGGATTTATCTCCTATGTCTGTATTCATGTTTTGGTCCTTTATCTCAGTGTTGGGATATATCGAAGATTCAAGAACCGTATCATCCGGTTCAGTCAACCTCGGCATCGAGAAAAACATATCCGGCTCTGCAAATTGCCACACTGATGATCCTAACTGGTCCAAGTCCTGACCAGGCTCATATATGCCTTCTATGTTGCTAATGTTTGACTCTGAAGTCTCATATTGGTCTGGACCTGCTATATGGGTCAACTCCGGTATAGTGCCGACTAAGTGCTCGTCTCTTGAACCGGAAGGGTGAAGAGTAGTATCTATCGATAGAGAACCTGTATGTTTAGCTTCATAACGCTCCTCTAATATATCAGACTCATTCCGTGATGTTGATAGACAGACCACCTGCTCGTGTGGTGAGACTATTTCAAGGGGCAATCCCTTGGTACGTGAATCTTGATAGGTGCACTTTCTTGAGAATATTCGGCATCTCTCGCAACCTGTTCTCTCCTTGGTACATTTTAGTTTGCTCGCTCTACACTGATTGCAAGCTCGCCATCTGGTCGCTTTAAAAGTCATAGGGTGAAATATATACGATTTTCCCATTGGCCCTGGTCTGCTGCTCTTCGATCCAATTTTCCACTTGCTCAACATGATTATCTTCAAAATAATATTCAGTGTACCTAGGAAAAGAAACAGGTCAGGGCAATCATTAACATACCACTGCTAACAAGTGACATATGCAGCCCAATAATCCCAACTGTCTCATTATATATAACAATTCTTATGCACAGAGCAAGCCTCAAAGCTGGAACATCACCGGGCATAAAATGGCGTTCTTCAAGCCATGTCATGTCCATCTAATACATGCATTAATCATGGCGCTCTCGCAGTATCCCACCTTGGCAATAAATCGAAGAGACAACACGGGAAATAGCGCAGTTGTGCTTAAGGTAACGCCATTTAGGTGCCTACTCTCTCTTGATATACATTTATTTAATTACCTGACACAGGTAGATAATAACACCATAATAACATGACTAGATCCACGTCTAGTTTCTCATGAAATCATTCAACCTATACACTATGTTTTTAGCGAAACCCTTAATCGTATACAAACGATACAGATACGTTACAGAGATAATATCCACGCCGTTGAACTTGGTTTGTTGAAAAAGCTATGCGCCGTAAAGCTGTGGCAATTCGTTGAAAACACCGAATCCCGTAGAGCCATAGAGAACACCAATTTAACTAAACTACGCCTTAATCATCGCTTCTATAATCCCATCACTATAGTACTGAGGTGACAGCCAAAATTTTAACTACGTCAAATCCGTCTTTCTCGAGTAATTCTCGCCATTGCCTCTCACTCCTTTCCAGCTAGCCAATCTCTTACCATGCATTCCTGTAATATGAGGAGCAATATGTGATTCCCGTGCAGCTTGCAGGACGTTTCTCTAGACCCTCCTTTGGATTAAGTAATTCCCTTATTAGACCGGCCGAGATACAGTCAGAAGCCAAGTTTCGTGATCTGACAAGCGGCCTGAGAAATCAGCAGCTGTCTAAGTTGAAGCCTCGAGATAACAACAGTATGTTGTATTTATGCTTAGATACGAGACAACGGACAGCTCCCGGCATGACGAGTGACGTGATCTTAGAAAGATCATCTCCTATAAAGACATACTGGCTGTTGGGGTATCTCATGTATATTACATTAATTAGGTAGTTATTACATGTAGTATACAAACGAACTGCTTATTTCTCCGGTTCTAACTTTTGCGGAATGAGGTGTTCAGCCATGCTGATGGCGCCCTCCATGTCATTTTTGTTGAATAGGAAAAGGCCTTGGATAGCAGCCGTGCTAGTTCGAGGGAGCGACTCGCCATCTTTCGCGTCGCGAAAGAGCCCCAGGTCATCGAGTCGCTTCAGGAACCTTTCCCGATGCGTACCATCAACATCAACGTCACCATAAAATCTATCCCACATCTGAGCAGCTTGATACCTGGTTGCCTCGCCTATGCGAACCATCATATCTACCCGGCCCGGCCTAATCAGAGCTGGATCCAGAAGTTCGACATGATTGGTAGTGAGGAATGCAATTCGTTCCTCCCCCGCAGATAATCCATCCAGGGCATTCAATAATCCGGAGAACGTCACCGTCCCGCCGCTGTATCCATCTGTCTCACGCTTCCTCCGGTTGACAAATGCGGAGTCGGCATCCTCCAGCAGGAGAATAGTCCGCTCTGGAAGCTTGGTAAGAAGAAATGCGAGCTTATCATCTGTCACTCCGATCTCGCTAAGATTAACCATGGCCACGCTGAAATCCAGTTCACCGGCCAGCGCCTGAATAAACGAACTCTTGCCACTTCCCGGTGGGCCGTATAGAAGATATCCCCTACGGTATGGGATTCCGCGATCTACATACCATTGTCGTCGGGCGAGAAAATCCTTGGCATCGTTGACGATGTCTTCCTTGATACCTTGGTCCAAGATGACGCTGCCTAAAGGCCTCTTTCTCCGAGGCTCTCCAAGTGGAACCCAGTCAAAGTTTCGCACCGAATACACTACAGTCTTCCCCTCGTTTGCTTGGAGTGCAAGACCCCGAGCCTCAGTGAAAACATCTTCGAAAATGTGTCGATGCGTATATAAAGTAGTAAGTTCCACCGTCTCATGGGGCTCGCCGGTATTTGTCTTCGCTGTTGCCTGTTTCTCCCTATTTACAGCGATGTACGCATGTTTGTACTTCACAATATGACGGCCGTATCCAGGCTGTAGAAAGAAGCTGGCTTTAGTGGCGCCGTTTGGAGTAGAGCTGGTGGACGTAGTGACAGACAACTTGTTGATGCGCGTCAACTTCTTCGCAATCAAGGAAGTTTGTTCACGAGGTTGTGACAACCAGGCAAGGATCCAAGGATAAGACGGGTCTTGCCTACTAATTTCGACATTAACAAGCATACGACGTCGAATCATACCAGCTGTAGCCAATGCGCCTCGACGAGCGAACGCCAAAGCGGCGCCAAGAGACGCGAGGCCGAAGCCTCCGGCAAAAACAGGATTTTCAAGCAGCGCATTGAGGTTTAGAAGCGACTGCGCTGCTGCAGGATCCGACATGACGCTTCTGGGAAACTTAAGATGAACTTGACGACATTTTTTACTTGATGGAATCGATACGGCCTCAAATATGCTGACTAATTAAATTATGCCGTTGTTTTACCGGCTAATTTATTTTTCTCCCTTTTGAATGATATTACCTTTAAACGACTCCAACCATTGCATTTTACCAAGTACCGATGCGTTAGCGGGGCACTGTGCTCGAAGCCTCCCCCTTTATCTTCTACCTAGATACACTAATACATGTATTAAAGACTCATGACGTTACATTATGTATGCATCAACACTATTTCAACTATTTAAAAGTCTCAAGGGTAATTATGAGGTCATCAATGTTAAGGCTTTAGTATGACGACTTAGACTAATTCAGTTATAACTACCAATCGACTCCATAGCCACATACAACATTAATCTTGACTTGACTACCTGTTTCCTATAAAAGTCACAAGCATAGCTAAATTGACTATACTATTCAGCTTTCATAACATCACTATAATAATAACTCAATATGCCTTCCGGAACTGAAAACGCGAAACAACAATTCATGAGCGGTGTTGAAAAAACTAGGGCTGCTGCTGATGGTGTGTTGTTTCCCAACCTCGTATTAACGCTCAGTTACTAACACTAGTTTAGATAAGTCGAAGCAGAATAGCCTCAACACTCAGTCAACCTCAGGAGGTGACAACCCAAAGGCTGGAGGATCCTCGTTCAGTTCCATTGCCAAGGGCGACACTAATTCTTCGAACTACGTCCCTGCGAAAGGACCATCAACCTAGGATTTCTATGAGAGTAGCTTGATCCTACAATTCTGTATATAGGATAAAAATAACAATGCTGGTTAAAATAGATATGGTAGTCAAATGGACAAATGACATAGCCAAGCTAATACATGAATGCCGTATCATGCTAACCCTTTAACAGATCGTCATCATGAGAGGCGGTCTTCTAATTTCAGCAAAGAGTATTTTCTTTTCGATAACGTAGGCTTTAAAGAATGGCAAGAACATCATAACGTTTTAACTATATAGTAATGGCGATAATAAGAAAGCCTGAGGAGTTTGCTTTAAATTTAAAATGCTACTACTAATAGCTAACCTAGGTAGTCAATTAGAACTGCTCGGACGTGCTTAATATACCCAGGAAATCAAAATGATATAATTTGGCTACATCTCTAGAAGGGTGCTGGAGCTGTGCAATAAGGTATTATCACGCCATCTACAATAAGATCACGGCGTCTCTTCGAGAGCGCTGCCTGCATAAAACAGCCGTGCCATCCTTCTTCGCTCAGGTGCCAATCCTATATTATCTATCACATAAAAAACGTCCGACGCTAGGGAACATCTACCCCAAAAAGTGATCACCTCCAAATCCCACTTTCGGCTAGCTTCCATGCTTCTGCATGTTCTGACGAAGGATGAAAGTTATATAAATTCCCTTTGGCTCGAACAGCTAGTTATTATGTCCGTAGAGCTCATCATAGGCTTGTGGAAGCCGGACGGCAATGAGCTCTATGATTTGACGACATTAGCGAGCAAATATTGAGGGCCAAGCCACTAGAACAGATGTCCGAAATGAAGCAGTAATTAGCGATTCAATCAGATTGCGTGTATGTATATGTTGTAAGACGAGTTGTTCTTCACCAATGAGCTCGCGGTATCACATCTCCAAACTCTGCAGGCAGCAGCCTACAGATCAAATGTCCTTCTCCTCTACATCTTTCCAGCATTCAATTCTTGAGCTCGAAGCTTCGCCAAACTCAGAATTATCCTTGCCAGTGCCAGTCGCATTGCCATCCCGAGCACCGTCGCATTGAGATGACCCCCGATTATGGCTCCTTCAGCCGTAACAGATGACTATTATGCAGTTCTGGGCGTCGCCAGAACGGCAGATGCCGAAACCCTGAAGGTCGCTTGGAGAAGGCTGGCGAGGATTAAGCATCCGGATAAGAACCTTGGAAACCCAAATGCGACGGCCGAGTTCCAGCTGGTATATACCCTTTACTATAGTTACAAGGTCAACTAATTGTTCGATAGCTGGAGTCCGCATATTCAACCTTGTGCAATCCTACTCTACGAAGGGCATATGACCTTCAATCTATGACCACTCCTACCAGTAATGGTTCGACCACCGGAGCCAAATGTCATAATAATACCAGCACAACAAGCAACGACTCATCCGAGCAGAAGAACCGCGAAAGAGAATTGAAGCGTAGCCATTTATATAAAGAGAAGCAAAGTAAGGAATATGACATTTTCGAGGCCATGCGAAACCTCAACCGAATCCGAGGAGAGATCCAGAAGTTGGATGAAGACGCGAAGAGAGACACCGCCGAAGAGCTTAGTTGGTGGGGATATTTCTCGTTCATGATGCCAGGTTCACAACAACAGCGAGAGGAAAAATCAAGAGAACGAGACCGCCGTCGTCTAGACAGAATTGCGGCGAAACGAATCAAGGAGAAGGAGTTGAAGAGGCAGACAGACAAGGTCACACTCCTCGAGCTTCTCTCAAAGGGCACCCAAGATGAGATTGATAAGATAACACTTGAAATTAACAAATGGAAAGAAGAAAAGGCAGCGGCATGGCGAAGAGAAGCGCAGCGGCAGCAAGAAGAATATGCAAGACGCGAAAAGGCTCGTCGAGAGGAAGAAGAAGCTGAGGCGGTTAGGAGGGCCTCCGAGTGGGAGGCATGGAGACGGAAAGTAGAAGAAACCTCTCGGTTGTTTCAAGAGCGTCAGCGCACTCAAAGAAAAAAGGATGAAGCAGCATCCTGCACCCATAGGGGCTGGTGGAAAAAGGTCGACGGCCCTCATCTCTGTTCGAACTGCTCAACAAGGACAAATCGATTCGCCCTCCAATGCCCACAATGCGGAAAGACTGCTTGCGCATCTTGTCGAAAGGCTATCCAGGCGGCTGGCCAGACAGACAAAATACCTAGACCTAAAGTTGAAACTTCGTATGAAACTTGGTATGATTAACGGGATAAATAGGCAATGTTGGTGGTTTTTATTCGCCAACACCATTGTAATGGGTTCTAAGGCATAGATTTGAAATATCACTATTATCACATTTTTGTATATCACCTTCTCCATGCTAATTTCATGGCTCCCATCGCCGATCCGCCCGCTCCTCCCCCTAAACTTGTTTATAGAATGACGGGCCATTAGCACCAAGTCTCTCTCGGAGCTGTAAAAACCAACTTTTGGTGAGGAATGCAACCTCACATGTCCAAGGAGGCGTAACTAAGCCTTCAGGAAATTCCTGGATCAGATCTCGAGGAGAGTCCCTTGAAATCTCTCTTACGAATATCTTAGTGATATTGACTTGTATCGACCCCAGCTTATTGTTACCCTTTAAATCAAAAAAACTTAATACGTACCGATTTATAAAGTTATATAAGTATAATACTTTAAATTATCCTGTTTTTGTCACGGTTACGAGTCACGGCTTCAGCCTTTGTGTATATACGAAGCTGCAAGGTCCTGATTTTCTGGGTTCCCCAGAACATCATCTTCATTCAACGATACATTTTGGTTTCAGCCTCGTGATAGTTTTATTATGCACGAAACCTCATGCCCCAAGCTCAGGATCATCAGCCTCTTACCGGGCTAGCGGGGTCGAGCTCAGGCGTGCCCAGCCATAGCTTACGGTTGCTTGATCACGGCTCAGGCCACCACCTTGCCAAGAGCTCAGTTCCAAAAGCGGAAACGGAATTTGGTGAGGTCGATTTGTTAGGCAGACTAATTATGCTATAGTAGATCCGTTTATACCTAAAATAACCTTGGGTAGTATAAAATTATCAATGTATTCTATCATTGTGTCCTTCAAGCTCTCTCTTGATACTGATTAAACACCGTCCTACCTACTCGTAACCAGTATAAACAGAAAATTTTCCTAATAAATAAGAGGATCGTTTATCTGAACTGACGGGGAATTAATTTACCATACTTCCATCGTAATCTTTTCCAGCTTCCTAAAACTTATACGCGGACCAGGAGTTGTTCAACTCCCGGCAAAATTCAATCTGGCTAAATGACAACTGCGTTCCACACTTAATCTCAGAACTGTTAACCATTCGACCATGTATTTATAACTCTCTCGGTCCAGAGGACCCGATCCCTTGCTATGTACTCCAGAGGCCGAACGAGCACATGGCTGGGAGATGTGTAGGATTGTCGGCAATTGTGGCCTTCGGCGCTCAGGAGACGAGCCCATCGACGTGGGATGCGACATATATCTCATCCATTACCCCCTCCTTAGGTCGTCCAGAGTCGTTTTAATATTGAGGTGTTTTTGAGTAGACTTGGGATCGACAGACAGCCTGCCGTGTTGCTTCGAAAAGGTTACCAGTACCAAAATGCAGTTGACAAACCTCGTACTCCTTGCCGCCGCGGGCATCGCGCCCAGCGTTAACGCAGCCGCGACTCTTCGTTTCTCGTGCTCGCAGCTTGTTGTCGAACGTCTAGACCCGTAAGCAAGCATTCGTCTCCGGAGCATCAAATAACTAGAGACTTTTCTAACAACCTCATTCTTAGTCTTGTCAACCCTGGAGAGAACCCGTCCCCTCATCTTCACCAGATTGTCGGAGGAAATGCCTTCAACGTCAGCATGGACCCTAACGTACACGACTTGCCTTCGACGGCAACATGCACTTCCTGCACGCCAACTGAGGACTTCTCTAACTACTGGACTGCCGTTCTCTTCTTCAAGTATGATGAGCCACTTTTCCTCATTTCTAATTTACCATAGTAGCGACATGGCTATGAATAGGAATTGTCATGTTATATACTAACAGTTCTCCTCTCAGGGCGAAGAACGGAACGCTACACCGTGTCAACACCTTCGGAAACGAGCTCGGTTACACAGGTGCCAACGGCGGTCAGACCGTCTATTATCTCTCATCGGGCAAGGTGACTGCTTTCAAGCCCGGTTTCCGCATGACAGTCGGAGACCCGTCCATCCGCACGGCTGAGGAACTTAACCGGAGATACAAGTACATGGACTTTACTTGCCTTGCCTCGTCCATGACTCGAGGTGGTCAGACCACGTACTTCCCCAAGCAGCCATGTGCGGCCGGTATCATGGTTAGCATCCGCTTCCCAACGTAAGTGCCCATTACCCCTTTCCTCAGAAGCGATAATAACTTACTGATCCCCTTTACAGCTGCTGGGATGGCAAGAACCTGGACAGCCCCGACCACCAGAGCCACGTCGCCTACCCCAACGGCAACGCATGCCCGTCAACCCACCCGGTCACGATCCCCCAGGTCTTTTACGAAACTTACTGGGACACCCGACCCTTCAACAACAAGGCGGACTGGCCCGCCGACGGATCTCAGCCTTTCGTCTGGTCCTTCGGTGACAAGACCGGCTACGGTATCCACGGTGACTACGTCTTCGGCTGGAAGGGTGACGCTCTCCAACGTGCTATGGATACCAACTGCAACAGTGACCTGTTCGCCAACCAGATCAACTGCCCTACCCTGCAGACCCAATCCCTCGACCAGGCCAACAAGTGCACGAAGACAAAGACCGTCACCGAGAACCTCGACGGCTGGCTCCAGGAGCTTCCTGGTGGAATGCCCATCGTCTAAAGGAATTTCTCTAAACTAGAGGGCTGTTACTTAAGGGACGTGAAGGTGCTTTGAGGGAGCCAGAGTTTTCATCAGCTTTTTGCCCCCTTAACGCAAGACAGTTCTTCAAGCCTTATACCTAATAGCCGATTGTTTTACATATATACCTAGCTGAATAGAATATATTCCTCGCCATAAACCCGATTCGACCCAGGTTTGATTTAAGCCTTTAGTAATCATGTAGTCGCAGTCATGTCAGCTGTCTCTGCCACACGCCAGGCGAGCAAAAATATAATGCTGCATCAGCCGCGAATCGAACGCGGGGCCCATCGATGGCAACGATGGATTTTACCACTAAACCACTGATGCTGTTGGATTGTCATTGGATTGCTCCTTGATGAAATTGTGACTTGCTATATTTTCCTATTATTCCGATGTGCGTTCTCCACAACCGTAGGACCCGTTCTTCAATTCTTCATCCTATTGTTAAGTTGAACTAGCACTTTCCGAGCAATCAGGGCCCATTCAACCCGTTCTAGATCCTCAATTTTAACAGAACTGGTAGAGCTAAGGTAATGGCCAAATACACTCGTTTCCTAAGACTCTTGCGAGTTTAGTCTGTTAGATATTTATCTAAGACAACATAGAATATTTTATGTACTAACAACTTAGACCTTCAAGCAGTCAGTACGTATCATTTTCCCGCTCCATCTATGTAAGTACCTATTGAGAGGAGTCATAGTGAGTAAGAACTTGATGATGTATTAAGAAGAGAAGACGAAGTCTTCTCCATCTACTTAAAAGATGTATCTAGGTAAGCTTATCGATTGATGACTAATCCTCAGTCTTATGTCCTATCATCACCCCTTTTACAAAAGTAATGATGATGTCCTCATCATCTTATTACCATCGTCAATGCAAATCATAGTGTCAGTGTCATAAGCCATCGCAGTGCATCGTGCAATCATGTCATCCAGCTCATCGCGTAGCGTCGCGGTCTATCTTCATCTTAATATCTTAGTTTCCTCCCGGTGTTCTTACGAACATCATCGACTTCTTTTTTGGTGTCTGAAAGGGAGAAGCCATCTGTCGCGCGGGTGTTGCCATCGTCTTGGGTGGCACGTATTCCATTCTTTCGTCTTCCATTTCGTCCTCATCGATTACTACATGGCTTCGAATCCTCTTTGCTGCTGGTTTGTATGACTTCTTATATAAGCAAAAAGTGAGAATACGGGTCTATTGCAGCGCGATAAACTATAAACCCAACTGAGACTAGACGACGTGATATAGCTAAGAACTCTTTGCCTTATGTCTCAGAGGAGCATGCTCCGACGCACAACCTCAGCTCATACGTCGGTACGGGGGCTATTGCTAATTTCGAGAGGCTTGATTAACGCCAAATTATTCGTGGGGGGTGATTTGTAAATCACCAAGGGGGACAAGTGTTAGCCGCTCCGCCTCGGGAATGTGTATGTACGACAGAGTTGCCCGTAAAGTTGTCGTGCAAACTGAGACTGTTGAGAATCCAGTCTCTCCTTTCCACCGCTCCTGTATGTGTCTCTTGTATTGGTGACTATGCTACGGTTCTGTCAGGATTCTAGATGAGACACCTAGAACAAAGGACATGTTCAGTATGTATAAACACAAGCCCTCGTAGATAGATTAGAGTTCCTCGCGGGACAACGGAGTTATTTCTTTACTGTTTAGTTCCACCTCGTGACAGGTTCTCAATTAGACAGACTAAAATACCGTTAGTTAACACTCAATAAAGACTTAGATAGCAATAGCGCACCCTAAGAGTTTAGAAGAATACTTACATAAAACCTCGGAATGCCCTTGTACTGAGCCTTAGTTTCAAATAAGTCGTTGAATTTCTGATCGGGTGTATCAGGTGATCAATAAGTTCTTCGTCATATCAAGTGTGTACAGGATTTTAAACCGAAAACTCTGCTAACGAGATTGTACCCGTGGTAATGAAGTGCAGGCATGATTTTGTTATGCTATTCCTGTGGTGCCTTTGTTGTGTTGGCGTTGGTATCTGTGTTGTAAAAGTTCTAATAGAGCCCTCGTCACTTTGGGCTCAAATGCAAATAGTATCCTCGATTTTGCTTTTCAATCAGACGTGAGAATGATGTTTGATATCATGACTGATTAGATTAGACTTCAAGCACAAGAAAAAAATGTGTTCGATTGTCGAAAATGTTGCGAGGTGATAAGATGGCGGAGGCAGGGTCTAATAGATATAGAGAAGTAGGGGTAATTATTTTGTGCCCTGCTGAAGTTGGGCAGACTAAATACTTGAGCAATAATTAGAAGGGGTTTGAGGATTTTGTACGGTAAGTCTTTAGAATCGAGTGCGAACTTTACTGTTGGAGGATCAACGCGAACCTTAAGATTGAGTCACTTTTAGGTTTTTCTGTATTTCTTGGAGACATGCTTTCCCGCGCAAGGGGTAGAGAAATAAAGAGAGAAGAGAGAAGGAGCGAAAGCCACCTATGTAATGTAAATTGTCTGGCAGTTGCCCCATAATCGATATTACGTCTGCTTACAATACCACAACTGTCAACTGTCCTTCCCCTTTTCCAAGGCTACTACATAAATGGAAAGCTTCGATTCTCGTCACCTCATTCCGGTATTCCATTGTCCAAAGCTAAAGCTACCCGAGGCAGGTGCCTCAGGAACTACCACGACTGCCCTTAGAAACTATAGAGTACTAGGCACTTACCCTAGAAAGATGTAATAGAAAAGCATCTTCTTTCATATACCCATTCCATGTTACATAATAGATACACCTGGGTAGGTACCTAGGGTTAGATACATGCATGTATTTGGTAACAATCTCAGGTAGTAAACGGCAGAAAGTGGGCAAACCTCTCCCTTAAGACAACAATTACAAGTGTACATGACCTCGATGACTATAGGCATTACAATACATACATAAATAAGAACAATATATCTTGCAGGAATAAATCATGTAAAGACAATATTCAAACAGCCGACTCGAGAAACTTATGCTAATGAATGCCCATCTAATGCTAAGATACAATACGCCAACCGAAGCCGTTCGAGGTTTTATCGAACGTGATGCCAACCGTACGCCGTGCATTCCTGCTGATGTAAACCTCCCTAACCCAAGTTGCCATGCATTTTGCACCCGCAATGAATCCGCCTGCTAATTTTACAATCATCTAACCAGCCGGTATTGTCCATTCGATGAAACTTCGACTCGCCAGCATTGCGTAGCTCGAGGAGCGTACACCTGAATGCTGCTATCTGACTTAACTAGCTGTCTGCCCCAACGACTCTATGCAGAAGCATTCAGCGGGGGTCCTAGTGCCATTGGCGAGGACTTCTCTGGCGCATCTTTTTGTAGCATCTCTTCACCGGAGTCGGCGGTCGACGAGGTTTGATTCAGTTGCGATGTGTTGGTAATGTTGGCAAGTGCAGAGCTTGCTGATCGAGTGACCGTTTTATTCCCTTTGGCCTTAGTTGGCACGTTCTCCTTGGTATCTTTCTCGTTTTCCTGGGAGCTTGAAATAGGTCGTAGCGTTGGTCGCCGGGCAGCTCTTCTACCTCGCCCAAAGGAATCTGAACTTCGCAAGAAATATTCTTCTTCGTCGGAAGAGTCAAAATCGGCAGTGGGCGTTGGTCGTGCTCGACGGCTTCTTTGCTTTGTGGTCGCATCAGAAGTCTCTGAAGACTCTATCGATAGGCTCCTGCTCCTTGTCCTTCGGTGGCTATGGTGTTTTCGGCTCGATGTATTTTTCCTCGTAACCGTCTTGTGGAGTGTTGAAGTCGATTCGAAATCTGTCGGTAACTCGCCACTCTTGAGTTTAGCTTCTACTGCCCTCTCGTGAACCAGCCGGCTTAAGCTAGGCGCATCGCTCATCGTCGTCTTACGGCTGACGTGGCTAGCCATGCTTCCACTTCTACTAACAGGCACTTTGCCTTCCATGACCTTCGCAGGCGGCGGCGGCTGCAACATCCACATAGTAGCGTTCTTGTTCGTAGGCTTCTGTCGCACAATCGGAGGGTGGTATTCGTTGACGGGAGGGTTCCTCGGCGCGAAATAGAAGTTATGTCTGTCTTCCTCAGTAACCGACTTCGGTTCCATCCCTAATCTTGTTTCCAAAAGTCGACCGGCTGATGATCCCGCCTGCTTAATCGCGTCCATCAGCTTATGACCTGTACGGGACAGCTCGTGACCCCATAACTCTTCATCTTCCCTTTGGTAACGCTTTCGGTTCCAGTCGTCCGATAGGGTAGTTGAAAAACTGAGCTTGCCGTCTTCCGCCACGGCAGTATGACTACTTACGGGGCTCATGCTGTCGACCTGCGTACTGCTTTCGGCAACGCTTATAGTTTCCTTGCCGGAACTGCTCAAGCGCTTCTGACTGCCATTCTTACCATTGCCGCCGGTATACTTCTTCGACTGTATTCTCGGCCCCATCATTATTTCCTCCGACCAGTACGGATTTGTATTGAAAGGGTCCGGGTGTCGGTATGATTTAGGGTTCGCGGCCTGGAAGCGCGCTTTCACCTCACGCTCCTTCTTGGCTAGCGCCTTGGATTGTTGGTGATGCCTTGCCTGAAGACATGGTGCGCACGAGACGACGTAAAATATGGCAGATTGGACAGCAACGCCGAACGACATGATAAATATGGGGTGTTTTCTCCGTAGGGGGGGTAGAATGTACAGGTGCCTGTTGAGGCTTATATCGAAGACAAGAGAGCTACCATTAGCAACAGCATTGGCGAGAGTGATTTAAGGTACTTCGTTGGGGGGTAATATAGAAGTCGTATCGAGAGTTTTAAGTTCGGTAAATGGGAAGAGGTTCGCGGAGAAAGCGGCGTCACACGTAAAACTGAGTTCAACTAAGACAAGACAAGTTTAATTCTTAGTTTCGTCAAGCGTAAGCTAAACAGAATACAAGCTCGTCTGTTTAGTATGCTGAGCGGAGGAAAGTTCGTCGATAAGGAGAATAAGTAAGTAATAAGTACGTGGATCGTCGACTTCCAAGACGCGGTTGCTCGTGAGATAGCTGCACAAGGAAAAGGGGGCAAAGCTGATTGCTAGAGGGTTCGATGGTTCGGTGAGATGTAAAAATGGCTCAATTGGGTTATGAGACTTGAAAGTTATAGGTTGGACAAGTTGATGCTTGAGCTACCCAAGTGGAAATGAACGTGGAAACTAGTCTAGTAGGATAGTAGAGCAAACAAGTATCCTGTTAGTAGTAGTAGAAGTCGTTATGTAGTGAGAAAATAACCAACGATGCAATTGAATAATAATGCGCTCGGTCGGTAGACAAAAAGGTCTTGATTTACAACGAAGAAATAAGACTTGAAGCCGCCGTCGGCAACGAGCGGGAATAATTAACGAAAGGGAAGTAAATGAGTGGAGGGAATTCGGAAAGTGAATTCAGGATTCGATGCAAACTGCGTAAACTACAGTTGGCGATGGGCAAATGGTGTGGACGATCCCACGCTCTGCTGCATTTGCCTGCATCCTAATGTTCCTGATGTACCTATGTAGAATGTAAGGTCATGCAGAGCAGATGGTGATTAGCCAATTATATCAGACGGAGAAATGGGGGTTTGCCTAATTGCGCTCATCGTGTTTCAACGCCACAGCTTGGCTTCGTTCACAGAGCAGGGATTGTGGAAATACATAATACATACAGGTAATACAATCCCTGTAAGTGCAGTAAGTATTCTGTAAGTGCTACTCTAACTAGCCCCCGTATTTTTGTGGCATACCGCTAATTCAACGCTGCTGAACCATGCTGAACCACAGAAGGTGGGGTTCATCGCCTGATATGTACATAGTACGTCTCCTAAGTGCCCTCTAATCCATGTCGCCCACGCAGTTTACGATCCACCACTGTGGCACTCATTTGCGCATACGTCTTCGCTCGGAGCCTTTTCAGGTCCAGGCGTTCAGCCCCTCGTTTTGATCCTCGAATTGGAATTCAGATAATCCTTCGACTAGTGTACATAGTACATGTCTGCACAATCTCACGTTTTACCCTTGGTTTCTTCATACCTCTATGTTTAATAGCCCCGCACAGCATCTCCAGGAACCATGTAACTCCCGCATCTAAATCCTCCCCCAAAAATGCATAATAACCCGTCGTTAAGAGACTAAAATTTTTTTTATCTAAGATCACTACTCAAAGCAGCTCGATGCGGGAAGGGGGAGTATACAAATATGTATTCGCCTATCTCTAATTTACACGTATACACGTGTAATTGAATACGGCCGTCCGTCTGGTTGAATAACGGCTCAGCCACGATGACTGGCCATCGATGACCATAATGATCGTAATGACTATGATAACCACACGTCAGAAGCTTAGTGATCCAGAATTTTCCCCTCTACATACTATGCAAGGATCGTCTACATACTTCCATGGCAGCCATAGTCATGAAATACCAAATATGTATTGATGCATCTGCTTCTGGAACAAATTCATAGTTGTACTGAACATGTTTCCTCGATGCCACGTAGCAATAAATCGGTATATTCGGATCACTTAACTTAGTCAAATAGTTCAAGCATGTTGTACTAAACGCCATCTGCTTACAACGGTAGAGTATAAGAACATATGTATATCTAATAGGACTTATTGGTTTTGACCCTCGAGCCTCTATCATGGTTACATAAACAACAGTTTTTATTGAGTAAGGCCAAGAATCTACATCTAACAGGGAGACTAATATCAAACATACCAGTCCACCATATGTAACAAAAACGTATTAAATGTGCCTTTTGTTACACGAAGAACTCGCCCAAAGCTCTAATAGTTTACATAATACATAGTTAACCCCTACATTGACAATCCTTAGACGGCTACATACACCAGTTGTGTAACAAACCCAAAGCTTAGAATGTATGACAAATACCGAAACACTTGTCCCGCGACATGAGGTAGGAAACTAATAACCCAGAAGGGATGCCACCCTAGACCGGTTGATACGATGCTACATGCACATGTCGAATGTGAGGAGAGTGAGCCTTATTCGATCTGATTTCTTGGCAGGGTGTTGTACTTAAGTTGCTGCCGTGACGTATATTCTCTATTATATTCTCTATCTCTTACGATAGTAATGAGTTCATCAACATCCCGTAGGAATGCTATAACGGTATCTTAGGTACCTAAATGCCTACAAAGTAAAACAGACAGATGAATATTATTAATTTATAACTCATAGATCTAAGACGTTAATAGGGCAGATTCAAACAAAGTATGTACCGCTGTTTCCCTTCCACTCTAGGATATTAGTACAGGATAGTACATAAGAATGGTGAGTTGTTTAGACAATCACCTATACGTGGCAGAAATTCTCCATAATTTCTACCCAAATGATAGCATGAACACTGGACTGGCAAACTTTACCAGTTTAAGGAAAGTAAAGGGCTGGAAAATATTGTGGCTTTCTCTCTCAGAAGCCGACTTATGTTATACCTATCCTGGGCTTGGGTCTTCAACTTCTCTCCAAAGAAGATACCCTTGACTAGCATTAAATTTGTTCATAATCTACCTAGGTACCTAGTTATGAAAATGGTCAATCAATAGGACAGGCATGAACTAGCTACTCCAATATATATGCCTTAACATGGAATCAAGGTAGCTCTCACTCATGCTTTTTTGCTACGCACAATAATGAGCTGCAAGACACTATTATGGATAGTCTTTAGGAGAAAGTTGATAGGTAGGTAGGTATCGTTTGTATTCATACTATCAAAACAACACGAGCACAGAGAAAAGGAAAGTAAGGTACGCATTCATTGAGCTATTTGAATCTATAGCCACTACAACTAAGAAATAACAACGCCCAGTATCCGTCCCCTATAGTGGACTTCAAAACATTGGTACAGGCTCCGGCTACGAGTCGTAATCGTCAGGCAACGGGTAATTCTGTACGTCTGTATAACAACGAGCTGCAATTATCAGGAAAGGAAAATCATAAGTCACTAATACAAAGCAAGGACGACTAATTCTGCGTTTTCTCAGGGAAATGGCAAGAGGAACGTCCGTCTTGCAATCCAAGTCCAAGCCCGTTTTTTTTTTCATAGGCAATACTCGATGTCCATGTGCATAATGGGATTCGATACGGCGTGATGTGTTGAGGAGAATACTGTACAACAGCAATATTGACCGTTGGCGGGGAAGAAGGTGTGGTGTGGTAGTAGTGGTGGTCGAGTCTATGCAATATTCACAGCAGACAAAAATGTATAAAGAAGTAAAGATGGACGCCCCTGAGACATCCACGATATGATATTCTTAACATATCATACGTCCCATTCTTTTTCTTCATCAATATCATCTGTCTCCTCGGGAGTCAGGGCAGCAAAAGAAGAGTTGCTGCTGGTCAGGATCGGCTTCTTGGTGCCATTGACCGGAGCCGGGGCCTTGACAGTGGGGGTACTTGTGGCGCTACGACCGTTGGTAGCCGGAGCAGAGGAAGCCGACACATCAGCGGAGGCATCCTTCTTCTTTCCCTTCTTTTTGGTCTTGACCTCGTTCCACGAATCCTCTTGGCGGAGTAGCTCCATCTGCTCTTCCTCCGAAGGCATGCCGGACAACCAGGGGTCGGACTTCTTAGTGGTTCCGGCAGCGCTCACAGTGCTCGGCTTTGTGGGTTCAACCTTGGCTTGTTGCTCGAAAGTGTCAAGGGGTTGGACCGTGCTGTTTTTGGTGGTGGATTTTTCATTCCAGGCATTTTGGGCACTGGCTGTGAAGCTCGAGCCGTCCTTAGCGGGTCGTCCCTCGGCAATACGAGCAGTTCGTCTCTGTTGCTCCAGCTTAACCTTGCGCTCCTTTTCCTCTTCCTCACGGGCAGCCTTAGCAGCCTCGGCCTTCTTTCGGTTCTGGCGTTGCTTCTTCGTCTCAACAACTTCGGGTGCCTTTTGCTTTCGCTCTTTAGGCTTCACAGAATCGACGTCAGTAAGACGGAGGACGGAAGGGCCAGATGCGACAGGCTCGAGCATATCGGATACATCACGGCTGTCAGCGGCCCCAACTACAGGAGAAGCTTGTGACGATAGATCATCATCAGCATCGCCCGCGTGGGAGGATGGGACAGATGCCTTTCCAGCTGATGCATCCGGAAGCTCTTGAGCTTTGGACTGCTTGACAGACTTCTGCTTCTTATCGTCAGACTTCTTAGTGCTGAACTTGGTTCCTGCGTGGGTACTGGATAATTGACGGGCAAATTCACGGTCGGCTTTCTTGCCAGCAGCTTCGTCCTCGTCTCGATTGAAATTGACATTAGGTGTAGTGGGTTCGTTCGATGTGGTCGTTGGAGCTTTCGGCTTAGGCTTGGGCTTCGAAACCTTTTCAACCTTCTTCTTGGTATCGTTTACTAGATCGGTATCGATTTGTTTCCCCGATTGCTTGGTGAAGGAGCCGCGGCGAATGGTCCTCTGAGTCTTCTTTTGCTGGTTCCGATACCAGATAGCTCCGCTGATCGCCAAAATGACCACCCATCCGCCAATAGTGGTGAGGGTTGAGTGGCTAGTGGAAATATCCATTATGAATTGGAATTGTAGAGGGCGCTCCTCTGTGAGATTTGCCGACTAGGTGGAAGTAACAGTGGAGGTAAAGGAGATTGATGGCAGCACCAAGTGCCTCGATGCGAAGGTGTCTCAACGATGCTCAATTGTGCGTGGACGTGCTTCGCAAGATACTAATTGTACGTAGATCTTTGGGGGGGCTAAACCAGTGAGGGAAGGTAGTGCGCCGATTATGTCGAGCAGTGCACTGTATATTTATAATACCAGTTAAGAAAGAGTGTGGAAGTAATGCAGCTGGGGACGAAGGATGAACATTGAACGATGCAAGCTTCTCAGCTGAACCAGAAACAACAGATGATTCAGTGCCGATTTTATGAAATAACACGGTTTTCCTTTTTTCTTTTCTTCTTTTTTTCTGAACGGAAGAAAATCTTGTTATATAATACGAGACGGTAAGATAAATGACAAAGTGAATGTGATTTGCACTGCACCTCACTGCACTGCACAGAGGTAGTCTGTTCAGGTTTCAGCAATGGGATGAATTGACTGATGGCTGATGGCTGATGGCTGATGGGTTGATGGTGTAGGGGAATTTGGATTTGGGATAAGCTGTCATTAACAGTTACCTATCAACCAATCGGCGCAAAGTACAGACTTTACAGACTTGTACCTAAGATGTGGTATGAGCACCTGCACCTGCACCTGTACCTGGGTAGGTACCTGGGCACTGCCGCACTGAGGTATGGAAGTCTAGAAGTAGCAGAGTAATAGAAGGTTATCTCCTGCCAGCCCGTGTAAAGGGGTTCAATGTTGAACAGCTGTCCAATACTGGAAGTACCTCCTACACTAAAAGTACCTACACTACATACATAAGTAACCTAGGTACCTCTTGAACTGACAAGTGAGACCCCACTTAATATACACTAGGTACAACTTGTCTGTTTTCCGTATCGCCTTATCCCGTTACTGTATTAGCGTCTCATCAAATTCAATTGTCGACGTGGAAAAGCCCCTTAAAATCGACAAAATAGAAATTCTATTTGCTTGGCCGTAAAGTTGCTGAGCGACCTTACGGCTAGCGTAACTCTACACCCGTATGTGACTGAGCAATTGATAGATTTGATTTGATACGGGGTGAAAATATGTGAAAATCATAACAAAGTTCGGTTGGTCAAAAACTCCCGTGATGCAGCTGCTTCCATACCTCCCTCTTACTACGAAAAATGTTCTCAGCCTGCATAAAACATGCAGGTCTAGATCTGATACCAAGATTTACATTTCTTCTTTATTGAGTATTTCCATCCCGTGGCTAGTTTTGGGTTTGATATCTAAAGCTGATGCCGCCATCCAATTCAGATAACCCTCTTATAAGGCTAACAAGCTTCCTGATAAATCAACCAACTATTGTTTCAATCGACTTTTACTGGTTTCTTAAATCTACAAGCATGGGTAACCTAAGTACTGAATGCAAGTGAATGGTTCAAAATGATATGTCACGCTTTTAAAAAGCTAAAATATGCATCAATTTATAAAACAGTGGCACTTGGTGATGTGTAATTATCATGTATTTATATTAATTCATTGATATAGGTAGTATAACTATCTGCTACATGCTGGCTCTTTAGCAAGTTTTGAAGAAATCTACATCACTAAAGTGTCCTTGTATTTTCTTTTGATCTTAAAGAATACTTAGCTTAAGTATTCATGCTTCAATTCATTTAATATAATCGGTTTGATAGTTCATTGCAAGCAACTTTTGATGGAAAACTTTCAAATAGTACAAAGTATACGGAAATTGACGGGGTGTATATATGATCTCCGCTTTCCGGTAGACGGAGATTAGCGGGATCGTCCCCCCGCAGGTCACCGACGGCAGGAACCCTGGGGGTCACGTTACACAGTACCTAACTTTAGGTATTAAGACATATGTAATAAGTACCTAACCTCCCACCTATAGCCGCATCTTATCGATAATATCGGTCATGACTTTCCTTCTTAACCCTCACGCCTTATCTACTTAGTAAATATTCAGTATTATATCTACTTGAGTCTTGCTCTAGAATTAGATAGAACTCCGCATTAGAATTCTCCAAGCATTCGCTGTAGTAATCATGGCCCCAAGAAAGATCATCATAGACACCGACCCAGGCAAGTAGCAGCAAAAGGAGATAGTTATTAAACTTATATCTTAACTGTTTTATAGGCGCCGACGATGTTATAGCTATGCTTCTCGCTCTGGCTTCCTCGCCCGAGGAGCTGGAAGTGCTGATGATCTCGGTAACTTACGGCAATGTGGATCTAGAGGGCTGCTTGCGAAATGTAGTCAGCATGTTCCACGTTCTCGACCAGGAGATGGAGTGGCGCAAGTCTCAAGGGAAGCCTTTAGGCTATGAGGCTCTGCGAACTTATAAACCTATTGTTGCTGTCGGCCCTGAGCATGCTCTGGAATATGAGATGTTAATGGCAGACGATTTTCGTAGGTTGAGAAATCTGGATGTACTCGGAGTTGAGCTGGATGAAAAATGCTGACGAGGTGATTTCTGGTAGATGGAGCTGACGGCTTACACGGTGTTCACGAAGCTGTATGTTGAAGACATAACTCGTTGGTGAAAGACTCGACTAACATATTCTAATAGCATCCTCACTTATCGCCCGCTGATACTTGGAAAGCTCTTTTCAAGGATGGACTTCAGGGAGATGCCGAGGATCCCTCATATTTAAAATATTTTACGCCGTCGAAAACACCAGCACATAAAGAGATCCTGAGGATCCTGAAGGAGGAGCCTGCTGACACGGTCTCAATATGCGTCCTGGGCCCATTGACTAATTTGGCTCTAGCTGCTTCGGAAGACCCCGAAACCTTTCTCAAGGTCAAGGAGGTGGCTGTTATGGGTGGGGCTGTAGAGTGTGAAGGCAACGTAACGCCGGTTGCCGAATTCAACACTTACGCCGATGCCGTTGCCGCCGCTCGAGTGTTCGCTTTGACGTCGCCGAACCCGGCTTCCACTATGCCACCCGTACCAAAGGACAAGTCAACTCTACCGCCGTACCCTGAAAAGCTTTCACGGCCTCTGAACTTGAGTCTATTCCCACTTGATATTACTACACCGCATCTCCTAAACCTAGGCTTCTTTCTGGAGAAGATTGAACCGCAGCTCGCCGGCAACAGCCCCTTAGGAGTATGGATTAATACTTTCATGGTTGGCATATTCCGTCAAATCACCTCCATGCTTGGTCCTGAAGTGGAACCGGGCCTATCGCTTCATGACCCTTTAACCATCTGGTACATGCTCACAGGATCTGATCCAGCATGGAAGCTAGCCAAAAATGCGCCAGAAGATATTCGTGTCGAGACCTCAGGACAGTGGACTCACGGGATGCACGTTTTGGACCGTCGCGGTAGGGCACGACCCGACGGCGTGACGACTTTTGAGGTCCCTAGGGATGAACATGGCTGGCTCAGCTTGGTGAGGGGCAATAGAATAAACAGATACGTTGGCAGTCCAGGCGAGATGGCATTTGCGCCATTCTTAATGGAGCGTCTTTTCGGGTGAAAAGGATAGCAATTAAGAAAGACAACGAGTTAGTCGCCGTACATCTGACACGGCGAAGACGATAGAGATGTCAGCAGAACGCATATGTGGGTATCATTAGACAAGAGCGTACCCTATGAGTAAAGCTTCCAGATTCCTCTCTCATGTAAATGCAATTATTATTTTCTCCCCAACGCCAGATGTGCAATCTCAAGGTATCAAGAGCATGTGTTTCAGAGCATGATCCGCCGCCGCCGCCGCTGCCGACTCCTATATGTGTTTAATACCACCAATTGCCGAACCCTTTACCTGTTCCCAGTTGATACTATCATCAAGAGACTCGTCTACCAAGCCTACCACGCAAACATTGTCTCCTCGGACAAGGTACAGACCCAAGGGGACTTCGGTAGACGGCTCCGTATCGTCGGGTGTTCGGATGACGCGCTCGACGGTTTGTCCAAGGACCTGGATACGTGGAATTAGCCGCAGATTCGAATCTAAAAATATAATGCAATGCACCGCCCTTACCAAATTGGTCATCTGGTCACAGCTCAAGAGATTCCCCACCAAGGTTCGAGAGTCGGCTGTAATTATCAGGACCTTCTCTAGGCGACTGTTAGATTCGTCGTGTTGTAAGCTTTGCTTGAGCCTCGAGACCAACAAGGTCAAAGGGTATCGCGTAACTTACTGTTGATATAATTATTTAAGTTGGACATCTTGAAGGAGCAGCTGTTGGGATCGAAGGTAATCTTACTAACAATAGGACTACGAGGTTAAGTTAATTGAGTAGCTTAAGATGTAGCTTAAGATATCTGTGCACTTTTAGGGATTGCGGGGTGTTGAATAAAGTATTGGCGATCTGAAAGTGCGTAACGTTAGACTTGATGCACTACCTATCCGTTAGGCAGCTTCAAGCGGTAAGGTACCTCAAGTTTAGAGCTCTCCACCACTCAGATCGGACAGAAAAAAGCTCGAGCCACCGAGCCACAGATTTACGAGTAACAAGCTTTTGTGGCTTGTGCGTGCCTTTTCGGCTCTCCATATCGGCCGATGCAACCGACGGGCGCTACCTAGGTGAAGATGTACATAAGGTAATGCATGGATTAGCTAGGTATACTTAGGTACACAAATAGCGGACTAATTATTATTTCGATATCCGACGCGGCCGAGATCCGTATAAGAGGTACGGATTACATGTACCTAGCTTAAATTAGCCCCTTGGATACCCAAGTACTTGGTGAACTTCCTCATAAGGAAATTTGCTTGTTTTAAAGTCGCCCTTAATTTTCTGCCCAAAATCCCCCCCAATAAATACGAAGGCAAATGCTAAGCTTCCAAAGGAATCTCTTTGATGGGCTTGAAGGACTGCAGCTTAGAAAGAATGTGCCTCGCCTCTGTTCTAGAACAACAAAACCTATGAGTTCCTTTTACATCATAGCTGTGGCCAGTTCCGATCCTTAAGGCCAATCAATTGGAGGCATTCGGCTTGAAACATCACAACCCTAGCCGGGGTCATTTGTTTTAACTTGCGGCCTCCAAGACCCTCTGGCCACGATGATTGGCTATCGTCATTACTCCTAGATCACCCCTGTCGTGCTTGCACATCACCACCGTTCTCGTACTAGCAAGATACGGGAAGGTTAAAGCACTTATTCACTATGTTCATTGACGGACTCAGGGGCTTCGGGTGGCACCTACTAGATTGTCCAGTTACATGTCAGGAGGATCGGCTACTTACAGTAGGTATCTAAGAGATCTCTTTGTCTTATACCCGGACACCTGATATATATCCTACGCTGATCCCGCCCATATAGTCCCTCTTCTTTTTGTTCACCCACCACCCAACTAAGTCTTGTTCGTGTCTGGCAACATTTCACTCTTTTACTTTATTGTATAACGGGTATTATCCCTTTACTTTCTAAACAATCACCTTCTTTAAACAAAAACAACCCCTAGCGGTTCCATTCTTTCGTTCTATTTTCGTTGCCAAACCACAAAGTCACAATCTTTAGGCCGAGCCATAGAGACGAGGATACGTGGACCAACACGAATAATCGACCCAGTTTCTATAAAATCAAACATCATTCTTTTTCACAGGTTGAAAAAGACGTCGATCAATTACCACTTTTGCGACTCGAAGATAAACATTCATCAACACCAGCCACCATCATCATGAAGATTCAAGTCGCTTCCGCCGCCGGTCTCCTCTTGGCTGGCCAGGCTCTTGCCGCTCCCCGTGTCGTTCACGAAATCCGTGATTTGCAGACCGCGGCGGCCATCATTGCTCAGGTCGCACCCAGCACCGTAGACTGTGCTGCCGGGGGCGAGTGCGTCAAATCCGACGTCATCGGCCCCCTATTGGTGCAGGCCATGCTGCAGTACGGCATCTACAACCCGGCTCAGATGGCCGGTATCGTCGCGCTCACGGCTTTCGAGTCCGTCGAGTACACTTTCAAGCACAACGTCTCCCCCGGCCGTCCCGGTCAGGGTACCTCGAACATGCAGATGTTCAACTTCAACCTCAAGTACGCCAACTCCATCCCGGAGCTTGCGGCCCAGGTTGCCGGCGTCGGCGAGGACGCCCCCGATGACAAGAAGAACGAGGTCCTCTCGCTTGTTAACGACAACAAGTACAACTTCGGCAGCGGCCCTTGGTATTTCACAACCCAATGCACTCCCGATGTCCAAGAGGGCCTCAAGAGAGGCGACGATGCCGGCTTCGCGGCCTACATGGGCTGCGTCGGTATTACCGTCGTCGACCCCAAGCGACAGGCCTACTGGGACGCCGCCAGGAAGGCCTTCGGCCTCATGTAAGCGTGCCGTTAGCCGCTTATTTGACACTATGCATAGGAATGATGTATGAGGCATTGAAGTTGCCACATCATACGGGCGTTTGGGGCATTGCTTTCTTGCATCATCATGGCATCTAGTGGGGGGAAATAGCGTCGTTGCTCTTTCAAGTTCGATCTTATTCTATTCGCATGTATATCAATATTTTATAGCACCTCATTTAAAAGCTCTGGCCTGACAATATTTACTAGTCTTTCATGAGTTCCTCATGCGATATGGTTTGAGCCTGTAAATATGTCTTTATACTTAACCAAACCCTTGGAAACTTGTGATTGTCATTCAATATTGTCAATTTTTTATTGATAACCGTATGGATTAACTGGTTTTCATTCTATCGTTCCTCCACCTTAGGCTCAGACTACAAAGCGATACATTTACTAATGTTGTCTGATATTTGTAAAAAAAAAAATCCCTTACTTACACGTTGAAAGCCATCAAAGTTGTGTAACGGGATATGCATGCAATACGGAATATCGGGCACCTTTACTTAAGAGGCTGCGTTCTATTTATAAATACTCAAGCCTGCTTAATCAAGATGGCGTTACACTACTTTGACTTACTTAACTGTATAATCCAATGTCTATGGGGCTTTAAACATAGGTACCTAGGTAGCGTTCTGCGCTGGTTGCCATGTGTAACCTGCAGATGCAAATTCCCTTGTCTAACATGTTCCGTTATCAACGCCACTTACGTTACACCTCACAACGTAGTTGATGTACAGGTACTTTATTCCTCTCATTTTATTCTATCATCATGTCTATATACTCTCTGAAAGCTTAGGTAAGTGTTAGCATTCGCAGCGTAACTAGTACCCCAGAAGGCCATACCGATCGTTACTTAAGAATCGTACAACATGTAAGACAAAACCAGATCCGTTGCGTAATCAAGAATCAAGCCACTTGACATATGTAGTAACTCGCCATGCGCACGAGAGGCGTAGAACTTTATATGAAATCTGCCTTCCTTTTCTGTTCTTTTTTAATAACCCCTGACGCCGGGAAAGATAGGTAGGTTAGCTTCTGACGAGGCTGCTTCGGACGAAAGCTTGCCGAACAATTTCCCAATCCATCTGGTACGAAAAAATGGGAGATGATAGGCTAAATATAACTCGAGTGTTATCAGTTGTCCATCACCTCGGGGCTTGAGCGGTCATACGGCGTGTATGCCAAATAGCTCTCAGCCTCAAGTATTGTAACTAAAAGCCACGCAAGAAACTCCACCAAATGCCTCTTTCACTACTAGAGGGGATCTACAAGTGGCTTCAGCCGTAAAGGATAGCCAAGTTTATTTTAGGCACCAATATGCGCCTGGAGGAGAGTTGTGTAATTGACTTACGTACCACGGACATGGTCAAAGGAGCTATGCGTACATATTACGTCCTCCCCCTATCCGCTATTTTCCCTTTTTTGTAACCCCTAGAATAGACCCCTAGAATAAACAAGAGTGCCACACTTTGAGCATACCGATATGCAAAGGCTCCTTACCGGGTATCTGACTTTCATACTAAGCCATCACAGCCAAGCGCCATCTTCAATATTCACAAAATCAGTGCCGGGAAGGCTATGTGCTGGGCGTGTCCGGGTTCAAGAAGGCGAAAGAACCATCGGAAGATCCTTGCTGGGATTGCTGCTCGGGGTTCCCCGCGAAGAATTGGAAGGATGTTTGATCTGGACCCCAAGTTGCTGTCTGCGCGTAATTCTCAAATGCGTCCTGTTAAATCATAGTCAGCCTGATATCTACCACCCAGGGGTATATTGGGTCTAGGAGCATACCCAGTCGAAATTATGATCCAGAGCCATATTGCCCCCTCCACCTAGAGTTGTGAACATGGAGAACGGTGACGCGGCATTGTTAATTGTACCAAGATTGTCAGGTTGGAATTCAGGTGTAAGTCCCGTTCTAGCCCCGACACCTTCTACACCTCCCACGCCTCCCACGCCTCCTAAATTAAGGTCTATATTTGGGTAAGTTGTTCCACCAGGTGACTGGATGGTTGTCGCCGAGCCCTCTGAGAGCATACCGAGAGTCATGGCCGCGGAATGCTCGGGGAGCATTTCAACACCGAAAGTGAAGGGAATTTCAGGTTGTGTCGTTGGTCTTCCAGCAGCACCAGCTGGCGCTGAAGGGGGGTTCTTCAGCTTTCCTAGCATGATCTCGAGGATATTTGCAGCTTTGTATGCCTCAACCGATTCGTTGGACAATGACTTCCAGATTTCTGCAACCGCTTCGAGAGAACTCATCATATTTTGCCGTTGCTCCGGCGTCCAAAAGTAAATTGCCTGCGAATCCTGCCGCTTACCAGACGTGGCAGCGATATGATCATGGTGAAGATCAAGGATGACCAGCATCGTTGGAAGCAATGTGTCTTTAGCGGTGGCTGATACGTACCATTTCATTGAACGAAGTCGGCCATTTGGTTGGCATTCACGGTGTATCATTCTCAGATGCCCTAAAATTTCTAGTGAAGCCTCAATTGCACTTCGGCGAGAATGGGCGTATCGCGGATTCTGCCTCGCGCGCAACATGTGCTTCCTGTGCAACATGCACATGATCTTCTGGTACAAGATATCCAAATTGAATCTCGCAATAATAAGGGTTACGGGGTCGTGCGATCCATCGAGGGGGCGAATCTTTAGGTGCGGTGGGAACTCATCCAAGATTTCGCGGAGTTTCTTGTCATGTTGTAAGATATCATCATAGCTCACCGGCTTGCCTACTCGTGAGACCGAATGGAGAACATTTCCTAATTCAATACACAATTTGGTTTTACTTATCATATAAGCGATTGGACTCGGCTCTACCATCGGCCTAGAAGGAGGAAGAGTTTTGCTATTGGGACCGAATTCTTCGTCAAAGATGTTATGCGGAAGCTTCGTGTCGGTGTCATGTTCGTGGATGCTTGCCGGTAGGGAAATCTTTGGACATATTAGTGACCATAAATGGATGAAATAATAACTGGCCGTTCCATAGGATGAGTAGATAACTTACTTGATACGAGAATATGATATCAGACATGCGTATCAAAGCCCATGTTCGCCGTCGCATTTCCTGTAACGATAGTATCAGTGATATACTGTTCTACCGGATGATCTTTCGAACTTGGGAGATAGATTATATTCGTACCCCTTGGAATGGCGTAACTGACGGGAACCAGTCCGCGTCTCGGTGATAGCCCATTCGAAACGCCAATTTCGCAATGATACCTGTTATGATCCATAATGAAAAGTCTGCGTCCCAGCGTGAAGAGTATTCCCCAAATAAGTAAAGAATCAGCGTTTCCACTGTATACTCAACCGGCTTGGTGTAATCCGCGACCACCAAGCATTGTACCGTTCGCAATCGATATTCTGCTGCGAGCTCTAGAGACCTACCTTTCCATTCCGGGGGCTCGTCTCCAACCTTATGATAACTGAGCATCGCAAGGCATAGCATGGAATAGAGCAAACCTATCCATGTGATAGTCGACTTGGACGGATCTTGCCAGTGCGCCCGCAGTTGTGCTTGAAAAGTAGGCGCGTGAACTATACTAGCAGCAGTATCCAACGAGTTAAAATACCTCGATATTAACGTCATTATCGCCGTCCTCGAGGGTAGTTCCGCTCTCAGTTCGACTTCCACGGCCGGCGGAGCAGAAAGTAAAAATATGGGCGAGTCCCGAGCAGTTACAGGTTTTGAAGACATAACTCTCTGATAGCTGTTTTCAAGCTCTTTTTTGTGAGAGGCAAAGAAATTCTTCACTTCGGCAATGTCGAGCAGGAGTAGATGCCAGTGATCTTGCCCAATGTACATAGACTTCCCTTTATCTGCGTCGACTTTAAGCATACCTAAGGATGTGGATAGCCCATCATCCACGTCACTGCCGGGACCATCACCGTCGGCTTCATCGTCCCTCATAGCCCCTTCATCGTCTTGATCGACATTGGGAGAAGAGCTATCAGACGTAGAAGGGGCTGGAGGTACGGTACTGGAAGAGTTGGAAACTTCGATATTCGCACCGCCATGCATCAGACTTAGAACTAAACCTTCTAGACGGTCAATACGGTTCTGCATATCATCAGGAGTTGCGGAAGCTCCAGCACTACTTTGATTTTTCCTCCGATTCGATGGAGTAGCATAGACGCAGGACTGTGTGTCACCACGTTTGATGCAGTTCTCACAATTCGGGGTTCCCCTATTGCATTTCAACCTGTTGAGCAGGTCAGCGACGTCGTCTTATATAGGAAAACTGCGAAGTGTTGGATTAGGGAATTGGGCTAGCGTTTTCAAGGAACAGGGTCACTTACTTCCTCGTCCGGCACGGATAGCAGCTAAGCGGCACCCTATTTCGACGACGAACCACCCTGAAATGCTCCTCGGGCGAATGGCCCGAGGATGATGTCGTAGCAGACGGAGGTGTGGGGGTCATTTTTTTTTTTTGGAATAATTCAAATACTGTAGGCAAATAGAAGCTCTTTTCGGGGTGCTCGCTCTTGCGTCTTGCGTTCAAGATGTATGCCGGACTTAGGAAATTCGAATGCTATAAGGGGGGCCCAGCCTATTCTTCAATCTACATAAGCTGCTCTCTGGAATGCCGACCTAGAGCACCAGGGATCGAGAGATATGAGGCCAATGAGTAAGCGTCGAGGGCTACTAGGAGATGGTGTAGGCTGACGTTAAGGATCTTAATAGTTCGGAGATATAGAGTCTCTTGCAGAAAGTCCAGGGGGTATAACGATGACAACGCTACGAAGAGTAATGTGATATCCGCCAGATCACGGCTTCCACCGGTGATAATAGCCAATCAATCACAGAAACTCTGTGTGTAGACTTGGAAATGCGAGGATCACGACTAGGCGATCTCGCGGACGTAAACCTTGTGGTCTGGTCCAAACCAAGGTAATCGTTATGCTCGAAGTGGAGCAGCGAGGGACCGAAGCAGATCTGATGATCTGATGCAGTCGATATCCCAATGCGATGGAGATATTAAAGCAGCGCGACCACAGGCGAAGTATCTTGGAGGATTATAAACAGCACAGCCCTCCTGGTAAATAAGCCAGTTGGTTGAGTAGTAAACCACAACTAGATACGTCTAGATCTATTTTGTATATTCTCTCGAATCGGTCAAATCCCAGGTGCAATATTCCAACTAGAAAAAGTACGACTAGGACTACGGTCGTGTTCTTGTCGTAAGGCGCAGGTCAGGCTGGATCGGGGTAAAGCGGTCACGGCGTGCAAAGCGATTCGTGAAGTGGATAGGTATTGACAATGCTCTATTTTCCTGGTAAGCAGACATGCTACTACTCGCAGTCGATTCATCGGCGATATACAAGAGTTGATGGGTCGACGTACAGGAATATGTAGAAGAATTTGGCCACCGCTAGTTTGTATGTAGTTACATTTAGTGATTTATAATATTGCTGCAAATAAGAGAGCACAACCGCTGCATATATGTAATACGACGGGTTGCACATGGAGTGGCGAAGTATTATCTGCCTCGATCCGTAATGCTTTTTTCCTGCCTTTTCTCTACGAAAATAAATCGAAGGGGGGCGGAACAAGGAGAGGGTTGGGAATAGGAAGCGGGAGAGGAAGAGGGGGAGGTAGAGGGGGAAAGAGATTGTTGTTTAGGTGTAGGTGAGATGAGATGGGATGGGATGGGATGGTGAGGGTTGTGATGGTAAAGTGGTCGATGGAGGAGGCGCGGGACGAATTACGCTTGAAACTAAACCGAAAATAGATAGTGGGGGAAGGGAAGAAATGTTACGCTCACCTAACGAAGCTACATAAAGAAACCGGCGGAAAGCTCCTAGCCAATCACGATTTGATTTGACTTGAGATGCTACATAAACTAGTATGGATATAAGAGGAACCCTGTCACGTTGATGCAAGGCTATAACTTTAAATTTCTGGGTTTTGATAATGAGTCATCTCTCCTCACAAGTTGTCAGCAGATAAATTAAGCACTTGGCTAGATTAGGTACTGTTGTACGTATGTTCCCGGGCTGCCTATTTTCTACATATTTCTTCACACGCAAAAGACCAATCGCCAAGCTTAATAACTAATATGATATATGATAGTATACCAAGGTAGCATTGTTCTTACTATTGTTATCTTTACATTGTAGATTCGTTCAATTAGATTCGTGCGATTAGAAAAGTGTATACAATGCTAAACATTTAACCAGTAAATAACTTAACTGGGAATCTTAAGGTTGACTTGCTACAGAATACGTTTCTAATATATTACTGGTCAACTTTAACTTTAACTCTTGGAAACGTCAACTAAAGACTTGTAACTAGTACCATAATAGTTAGTAGCTATATATTATGTAAACAGCATAGACTAAACTAACTCTTAGTTTTAAACCATTGGCTTGTCATCTAAACATGCCACCTAAACGAGCTAAGCTAGTTGTATCTGAAATATTTCTTTGGCAATTAAAATTCAAAATGCAATGCTATGTACCTAAGTATTGTTAATCCCAATTTCAAGAAGTATAATAGTCTCCACAAAGCATATACCGCGGGTTCGCAATTGGCAGCGCGGTCCGTTCTCCGGGACGGGTCGTACCGAAGGCATAAACTAAACACGGAAGAAAGAAACGGGGGCGTCTGCGGTAAGAAAAAAAAAAAAAAAAAAATTAATAAAAGCCAAGCAAATATCATCTTAACTCGTCCACAACATCTACTACAAACTACTAATATATCTAATCAACGCCCCGAAGAGACGGCACCTTCGGTGATTAGCGTGCCGGCCCGATGCATCTGCTGCGGCGAGAACTAATCTAATAAGCGTACGGGATGAGGTTACATTTGCATGTGTCGGGATCCAATCATATCGTCGTAGACTCGTAGTCAGCACATGGGATCTTCAGCCTAGCTTTCTAAAGATAGAACTCGCTCTCGCCTTATCACACAGCACTACAAGATAGTAATAATGAAGACGTTCATTGAACTGATATCCTGATCATACATATGAATCACCTTGCCACTCATGCCGATGAGTCTTTTAGTTCTACATCTCGATTTCTTGTTGGGCTAGACCAATTGTCCTATCGCCGTCGGTGGTTTTCATGCCAAGTCGGGTTTAGGGCGAGGTCCAAAGCCATAATAACAATTCGGCGATGGTTCACGATGCTACTTGAGTAAGAAATACAGCCAGTAGCTTAACCCTTTAAAACTTGGAGCTGTGCTCGAAAATTTTCTTTTTTCGATGTTACGGTAGAAATGGTCATCCGTCGCATCTTACATGCCCTATCGCCGACGGCGATCCATCGCGATGAGGCAAGAAATCGGCTTTCTGGCATCGAGGAGGGCGAAGGGGACAATGTCGCTTACTATGTGGAAGAGATGGAAGAGCAGGACCGCCTACTCACATCTGGCCGTGACAACGTCGATGTGACAATAGAAGCAAAATCAGTTGATCAACGCCAATCGCTGTGGCCAGTTGCTGCCTTCACTCTCGCCTGTGTCGGCACCATTTTCTCTTTGGCATGGGTAGCACTATCATTAGACCTCCGCCGACGACCAGGACCGTCTCCTCTAGAGATAGCACATACCATTCCTCTTCGTCGTCCAGACAAGGACTACGTACTGGATCCCAACTGGGATTTCGAAGCGCCGAACCAAGTGCGAAAGTATGACTGGCTTATCATCGACAAAGACGGAGAACCGGATGGAATCTCGAAGCCAATGATGACTATAGAGGGCCAGTTTCCTGGACCACTGATTGAAGTTAATGAAGGCGACATTATCGAGGTCAATATCCATAATCATGCTTCCAACGCCACCGCTATCCACTGGCACGGCATTTTCCAGAGCGGCACGAACTGGATGGACGGGGCTGTAGGCGTTACTCAATGCCCCATTGCTCCTGGAACTTCGTATCTTTACAGGTTCAATGTTACTGGTCAAGCTGGTACCTGTAGGTATTCTCTCCACTAGCAAGTCCGAGACCTCGTGGGTCTCTTCGTGTAGTATTATATTACGAGCCAGATACTGACTCCTCGTGCAGATTTTTATCATGGCCATCAGGGCGTCCAGGCCTTGAATGGACTCGTAGGACCTCTCGTGATCCACGGCCGGGACGAAGCGACGCATAAGCCCATCCTATATTCGTCAGACCGCGTGGTCTTACTCCAAGACTGGTACTACGATTCAGACAGTGGGCTCATGCGAGACGTGTTATCTCCGGGCGTCGAGGATGCGCCGATACCCAATACAGCTTTGATTAACGGTGTGAACCAAGCTGACTGCTCGGATCATCCCAACAGACGGTGTTCGGAACTGGAGAGGTCTCTCCCCAATTTGGATTTAGTCCCTGGCGAGGGCCATAGGTTACGATTCCTGAACGTTGGTGGGTTCGCCTGGTTCCAGGTTGCAGTAGATGAGCATGATTCTCTGCCAATTATCGAAGTAGATGGTACCGCCGTTGAACCCGCATCCGAGTCTTCGCTAGTAATTGCCCCAGGACAAAGGTATAGCATGATCTTAACGGCAGATCAACCCGGAAACGAGGCTTTCTGGCTTCGTGCTAGGATGATAAGTGCTTGTTTTGCAAGCCAGAAGCTTCCAGAAAATGGTATTGATGAGGCAAAAGCCATTATACGCTATCATAGTAATGTAGGGGGGGATGATAACCACGAACACCCTCCCCTGCCAACCACTACTTCCAGCCTACAATACCTCCCAATATGTAAAGACATGAGTTCCACAACCTCATTTTCTCCTTTACCAGCACAACCAGCCCCTATTCATGCCGACCATTCATGGTATCTACGTGTCAACCTCGCCATTGGCGACTGGCGGTTACAACGAGGCGTTATGAACTCATCCTCGTTCCGACCGGATCCTACGTCGCCGACCTTACACCGAGTCCTCGAGGGTCTCGCCCAGAACGACGAATCCTTCGCCAAAAACGGCATACTTGACGCGGCCTTCGACCCCGCCTCCGAGCTCATCATCTCTCACAACGGCGTCGCCGACACCGTCGATATCATCCTGCAGAACATGGATGAGAACAGCCATCCCTTCCACCTCCACGGCCACCAGATGTGGGTTCTCGGGGCCGGCCACGGCTACTTCCCCGGCTACGAAGCCCTTGGGCTGAACCCCGGGGGCAAGGGGCTGCTCGGCCCTGCGAACTCGACCGTCGTCGACAACCCTTTGAAGCGAGACACGGTTACGGCCGAGGGCTTCGGATGGGTGCTCCTGCGCTTCGTAGCGGATAATCCCGGCGGCTGGCTTTTCCATTGCCACGTCCTCTGGCACTCGGAAGCCGGCATGGCGATGCAGTTCCTCTCCCGCGTAGATGTCATGAGGGAATGGGAACTGCCCCAGGACGCGAAGCGGTTGTGCTCGCTGCCGGAGGCGGAGCTGACGAAAGGCGCCCCGCCTAAGGACGAGGTATTCTTCGGCTTCAGCAATGAGGATGGAGGATGAAAGAGGTGGATTGTTTGTTTATACATGGACCACTTACGATACCGATATCCCTATGAGAGTATAGGCGATATATAAGGCCGCGTTATATACCCTGTACACATGTATACTATATATTCTATTGTACATTGGTTAGTGGCATTGCCCTGAAGTATATAATGAAATCGTCTTATGGAAGAGATTATAGTGAAGAATATTTAATTATACCTAAGGAACAAGTGTCTAGATCCTATTAAAGTATCTTTACGACACGATAGGAGAAAATATTAGAGGGAACAGGGAGTTTTTCCTACAACTAATTTATTGTTGCCTTTATCAATAGGGGGCGATGGGGTTCAACATCTAACTAACAGGTAGACAACTACGACTGCCCCTTAGTTCAACGTCAAGATATGGCATGTATTTAGGAACTGACAATATGTGCTATGGGGCTAAAGTGATATTATGCCTTGACGGTTCGATTTCAAATATCACTTAGGTACCTTCCTTTGTTAGTAAATAGTAGGATATAGAGAGGCAAATCATAAAGTACAGTTTCATTTCATGACCTTGATACTGCGTTCAGTCACTTACGATCCCGACACAACTAATGAATACGATTAGTGGCTTAATTCATTCATATTATGGTATGTAGGTCGAGGCACTAGCTATAGTCCTTTGCATGACCATTCGTCAAAGCAGTAGCATAAACCTATCGACCTCAATAACCACTCTGTTCCACGTGGAAGAGAAACAATGGAAGAGATCGCATGAAATAGACGTCGAAGCAACCGAAAGAAGCAACCGAAAGAAGCTCTCAGATCCCAAGAATTCACCAAGTTACACACCTGGCGACGTAGGTTATCGACCACCTCGATACCTGCCTCAGGTAGCATCTATCGTAATCATTTGTGACATGCAATGTCCAGGATACACTTAGGTCATAGGCAGTAGACACCTCTTATTAGCTATGCAGCCCCTCCATCATCCCAATCTAGGGTTCAAGCAACGGTAACGTCATATCCTTTAGGGGCGCTGAATTTCTTGAAGAAATTGGGTTTCTTCTCTAATTCCTCTTTGACCTGCATTGGATAAATATATTAGCCAGGATGCTTTTTAGGGGAATATAGTGGAGTTAAGGAAGAACTCACAATATCTAGACCACCGACTAGCTCGCCCGAAACCCACAGCTGCGGGTACGTCGGCCAGTCCGCAAACTTCTTCAGACCTTGTCGAACATCGTCATCTGCGAGGATGTTGAAAAAGCCATACTTGACGCTGCGCTCTCGGAGAATGTTAACAAGCTGGCGCGAGAATCCGCACTTAGGTTCGCTGGGCGTGCCCTTCATGAACAGCATGACAGGCGCTGCGCTGACCAGACCCGTCAATCGTTTGTTAAGTTCTTCCTCGGGGCTCAGCACATCTCCGTTCTCATCTAACGAGTCCTCCTCTATGGTGTCTGGCTTGTTGCCGTTGGTGGCGTCGGGATTTAGCGGGGCGTGCGTCTCGATGACCTTCCGTAGCGCGGCAGCGTTGCTACCGCTGACGGTATCGAGGACTTGGTCGTTTTGTTGCAGGACGACGTAGGGCACGGCGACAACGTCGTAGATCTCGGATACGTCGCTAAGATCCTCGGCATTGATAGAAACCCAGCTCGTAGAAGGCGCACTCTTCGCGGAGTAGTCGTTCGCGAGCGTCTCGATAACCTTGGCCATCTGTGCGCATGGCGCGGCCCAGGGGGCATGGAAGAAGATGATGAGGAGGGTTGATTTGGGAAGCGACCCGACGAAGGTTTCCCACTCGTGCTGGGAGGTAATCTCCTTCACCAACCCCATCTTGCCGTTCGCAATGAATTATTTCTATGTGAGGTTGTAGTGATTAAGCCTCCGTGTCGCGTTTATATCTTATGTATGCCTATTACCTGACCTTAGGTTAGGTAGGTATAAACAAAACAAGAATGAGAACAAGAATGAGACGAAAATGCTAAGTATTGATTTAGTGGTCAGCCTTTTTTTGATGGTGTATGTATTTGGGAAAGCAGTAGTTTAGTTGGGAAAGTAGTTTGCCCCTCCGATAGATGCGCCGGTTGGGAAGTTTAAAGTTTAAAGTTTAAAGGTTGAAGGTGGGTTAATGTCCAATGGAGGGGCAGTTGATTACCTTTTTTACTTAAGGGATTCTTACTCTGCTAACCTAGCGCCTTCGAAGCCTCCGGAAACTATTGCGTCATTTTAGGTGATTCCCATATATGGACTTTTCAGACAACATCCGTTCCGCTACCGCTACTACCTTTGTTACTGGCTTAATAATACCACCTACATATTCTATAACTGTTAATATAACCACTCTTTAAATACCTCTTTAAATTAGTAATTGTTGGTTGTTCACCCCTTAGTTCGTTGAAATTATCAAACTACATTTATATACGGTACTTCTGCGTTATCAGAAACAGCCACCCAGTAACCCCCCCCGCCCCCCCTTTTAATATTTTCAAGCAACATATTCAAGTGTTCAATGTTGTGTTCGCCTTATAACTTGGGCTGTATAGTTTGCTTCCTCGAGCACATGTTTAACTTTGAAAAAGACATTCGGGCCGATTTTATTGATATTCAAGAGTACCTAACTTTGAAATTTGACGGAATTAGGTATTCTCAGACTTCGTGGTCCATGCTGGGGATGAAATTACAGTTAGTATATTTTGCTAAACTAATGACGCCGTTTCTGCTGGATGTATTATTATATTCCCTGGGAGTTTGGGAATGCCCTCGTAGCAATGCCTTAAACCTTAAACGCGTCCATGCGCTTCTATTCATGATATCTAAATCCCTTCTGTAATCCACCAATAGATGCGGACTACATGGCATTGCCTTTTCATTACTATTTTGAAAGGGGAGGTTCTCTTCAAGCCTTTAGTCTGTGAGCTGGCTTAAACTGGCTGCAGTAACTTGCGACGCGTTGGCGTTATCCTGAGTATCCTCCAACGCAACACTTCCCTCTCCCTTCTTAGCTATTCGAGTCTTTGCCTCTGCCTCGAGAACTAATTCGCGTCGTTGCCACCAGTCTTCCTCGATTTGAATGACTTGATCTAATAGAGCCTCCTTTTCTAGCCACTCCTGCCTGTATGCCTCTTCCATTTGTTTGCACTGTCGCTTCAGCGCCTCGCTATCTTTCGTTACCCACTTGAGATTTGCTACACACAACTTGTACAGAGATTTCATATCCATGGTAAGCTCCTTGCTGGAGAAACCCTGTTGCTCCGTCAAGGGTGTAAAGAAGTCTGCTATGTCCGAGCCGGTATCGCCATCGTCCACAGCATCGTCTTGACCTGCGGCGTGCGACTGTGGGGTCTTGATTATGATCTTCAGCTTTCCGGACTTAGGGCCGGACTGGGTCTGCATTGACTTGGGTACGGGATCGGATGGTCGCAAAGCCTCGGTCTCGTGGACTGTTCGCATATGTTTCGCTAATGCGTCGGATCTTGTGAATGCACGGTCACATTCTATTATTATCAGTTCTTATTCCCCTCACACCATGGAGCTTGATGATCTTACCGGGCAAATAACAGTAGAATGGCTTCTCCCTTGTGTGACTTCTCATGTGAGCTTTCAATGCGTAGCCACTGGGATGTGGGGAACTCTTTCTCGGGCAACCAATCCATTCGCAAGTATACTTTTTCTGACGGCTCTCGATGTGGTCGTTATGAATATGTTTAACCAACCTATCCATATTCCCCAAGTCACCTACTCTACATCCGTCCCAGGCGCATACCGTAACTTGCTCCTGAAATTCGTCTTCATCGAGCTTAGCATTGATGGGAGAATTGGGAATGTCACCCGAAGTGTCCGACGAGATATCGCCATCGAGATCATGGTCTGATTCTTGTTCGGGCTCGGGTTCTATATGAATGGAAGAGGAAGCTCTCGACCTGTCGCCTAGCTTCTGTCGTTTGGAGGGAGGGGGCGCTGGTTCATCAACAACGCCGGTATCATCGAAATCGTTGTCGGCTTCAGGCGAGTCGGATGATAAAGAGCTGATTGACGACGAATCTGACAACAGCACCATCTTTGATCGCGTTCGACGTTTAAATACTAACAATTCAAACGTAAGAGGGCGTAAACGGAGCGAGCCCGCGTTAGAATGAGATGGGAAATCGGATAAGTTATAGGCGCAATCAAAGTAGGCAATTAAGACAACTCGATATTGTTATTGAATATTTCGAGGAGAAAAATTGGAGGTTGATTAGGTAGATAATAGAATTTAGATTAAGGTAACCTATGTAGGTAGGTAGGCTGGTTGGATGACAATGGGAGGAAAGTGAATGGTAGTGGTGGAGGAAGGGAAAAAGGCTGATGAGCTGAGACAGCCAGCAATCAACAAGGAAATCAAATCAAGGGAATCTCTATTAAATTGTCTCTAGCGATGGGATGCTTCCGCGCGCATTAGCATTGGCGGCCGCGTTGTTGCGATAAGCACGTAACAGGTATAGCTTATAGTTTTAAATACCTAGGTAGATACGTACCTATGCATAAGGCGGATAAAAGGTTGGAATAATTTAATGCGAATTGTGAGTTACTTCAGGCCGTTAGGTTAGGTACCTTAGGTACATAAACCTGCTAACATACATACATACATACCGAAAAGACTCGCTAACACGTGGGGTATCACAAGCTCAGGGTCTTGGCTTTTAATTGGAGAAGTTGGGCTGCTCGGCCTGCATACATAGTGGAGTGAATGTACTTTCTTATACCGGCTAGAAGGCGACCCCGGAGGCCGGGCACCAAAAACCAAACACAGCCCACTTTCGTAACAAGCTGCGATTGCTCGCCAGGCACGAATCGAAACTATCGATAAATTGGAACTGCGAGGAACTTCCTCTCTTTTCTTCTTAACACGTTAATGTTACTCACGCAATCGCCATCGATACAACCCTAAACTATCATTAGAACAACTACTTTATTCAGGTTGGACAGACATAACTTGGGTTTGAGCAGCGGAAATACATACTTGAAGCTCTCTTTCCCCCCTGGCTGCTGTGACATCACCCCCACTCGCTCGAATTTATTCCTCCTTGTGTTACTATTCTGCTACTATTTTGCTACTATTCTAACTCAGGTTGCATTTCACCAAGCCTCGTCATCGACGATAGACGATAGACAAACCAACTTCTCCCCCTCTCTCTCTCCAAAAAATGGCTTCGTTAAATCTTTCTACAAACGGCCCCTCGATTAAGAGCAGTTACCAGGGAGTTGTCAACGCACCGCCTCCGCCTTCAGGGAGTTCTTCTACATATGGTCAATGGGCCCTATTCTACGTACAAGCTCCTCTAGCCAATGTTTTCCAAGATACTGGGAACAAAGAAAGCGTTCTGAAAGTTCAGTCGACTGGCTCTGGTGAACTAGAGGATCTTATTGAGGACTTCAGCGAAGGTCGTATCCAATTCGCTTTCCTTAAGGTTAAGGATCCGAATACAGGCCTGCCTAAATATGCTCTAATCGCATGGGTTCGTCTTCTCACCCTTTTTTCGACTGAGAATTCTAATTAATCAGCTAACATTTGTAGTGCGGTGGAGGTGTTCCCGAGAGGACTAAAGGCTACTTCACGAGTCATTTAAATGCCGTTTCTAAAGTTCTTCACGTATGTAATATAAATTCTTTCAAACATTAGAACACGAGACTGACTAGGACTAGGGATACCATGTTCAAATCACAGCCCGGTCCGATACCGACCTCGAACCTGCAAATATCCTCCAGAAAATCTCTGATGCGTCTGGTGCCAAGTATACAGCGGGTGGAAGTGCACCTGTGCAGACTGGAGGAGGTCCCCCTCCAGTAAAGTCGAAGCCTGTCTTCTCTACAACTTCGAACTCATCCAGTAACCCCATAGTCGCTGCACGAAACGCAAGCCTGCGAAAGACAAATGACGACGGCTGGGGGGATGCACCGCAGGTTTCGCGGACCGAGCTTGAAAAGGTGGAATCGGCATATAAGCCAACCAAGGTCAACCTAGCCGAGTTGACAGGCCAGAAACAAGAGCCCTCGAGGTTTAACGGCTCAAGCCAACAAGACGACAGGCCTAGGGATACAATCGGGGGAGGGTACCAACCCGTTGGGAAGGTCGACATCGCTGCTATTCGAGCTGCAGCGAGGAACAAGGCAGACGATCGACCGATACCAGTCAAGGGTGCTTATGAGCCGGTAGGCAAGGTTGACATTGCTGCGATCCGAGCTAAGGCACAGAAGCCAGGGGAACCTGAACCCGCACCTGAAGCTGAAGCTGAAGAGCCACCGAAGTCTCTAGCAGAGCGAACTGCAGCGTTTAAGCAAGCCGAGCGTATTACGGAGCTTCCCAAGCCTAAAGTCGCAAAGAAATGGGGTGGCGCGTCTACATTCACAGGCACTAAGGCACCTACTCCTGGCGCATTGGGTTTGGGCAGCCCTTCACCAACGCCCGTCGCTCCTCCGGTGGGATCTGCTAGTCGAACCTTCGCCGATCAAGGAGGCAAGACGCCGGCTCAGATTTGGGCCGAGAAGAAGGCGCAGCAAGGCTCTGTTTCTGGGATCAACAATCCTCCACTATCCCCCGTCACGGCGCAGAAGAGCGGAGGAGGTGGGTGGCAGAGCAGTTACAAGGGGAAAAGCTGGGCACCGGTCCAGACGGGTTCATTCAGTCGTAGTCTTACGGGGCAAAAGACTGGGGAGACCGAGACTAGCCAAGAGGCACCGGGATCCCCAGCAGGAAGTGTTGGCGCCATACGCGATCGTTTCAAGGAGACAACTCAAATTATCTCACCCGCATCATCTGCTCCGAAGATTCCGTCGCCTGCCGAAGACAGTGACCGTGCGCCACCTCCGCCGCCTTTGGCCTCCCGGCCCTCGGACGGAGCACCTACCGGTGGTTTTGCGCTTCCCGGCATGCCTCCACGCCCACCTCCTGTCGCAGATGAGGATGAAGAGCTCGAACGAGAACAGGAACGGGAATACGAGCGAGAGCCGTCGCCTGTTCGCGTGGCAGTGCCTGTCCCTCGTGGACCTGAGCCTGAGATTGAGCCAGTGCACGAACCTCCCCGATCGCTTCCTATTCGACCTATCGAACAAGAGCTCCCTAAGGAAGAAGAACTACCAGCAGAAGAGGAGACTCACGATCCTCGCGCGGCTGCTACGGCCGTTGCGGAATCTCAGTTTGGCCACGAGCAAGCACCAGCGGCTTCGAGCGGAGGCAAACGTGCTCTAATCCAATATGATTATGAGAAGGCTGAAGATAATGAATTAGAACTTCGCGAAGGCGAGTACGTCACTAATATCGAAATGGTTGACGAGGACTGGTGGATGGGTACCAACTCTCGAGGCGAGACGGGTCTGTTTCCTAGCAACTACGTTGAACTTGTGGATGACGAGTCGGAGGAACCGGCATCGGCACCTACAGCCAGTCATGAAGCACCTCCGCCCGTGCCGGCTGCTGAGACTGAACCCGAGCCAGCAGCAGGCGCCGGACATACAGCTACAGCCCAGTTTGACTACGAAGCTGCTGAAGACAACGGTAAGCAACCCCTATCTAATCCATTTACTACTAGGGTAGCATAATTAACAAGCGTGGCAGAACTGAGCTTCCCCGAGGGGGCTACGATTACTAACTTGGAATTCCCTGACGAGGACTGGTGGTTCGGCCATTACAAAGGGGATTCGGGATTGTTCCCTGCCAATTATGTGCAGCTAGACGGGCAGTAATCTACTATTATATTCGCCTACAAAACGATGCCACGACGAGTATGACAGCAGCCGTTGATTTGGAGAGTTACCTAGACAAGGAGCAGTTGACAGCGACCCAACGGAGAGACTTGGTATGAGAAGAGTTTGTTTCATTTACCTTTTTTCGTAGTTGGCTGAATAAGAAAAAGACGCACTTCTATATACGAAAAATCAATCAATATTCCCCGTATTTCAATGTCCCCTACATTAAGGCTCTTTGTTATCTTGGCGTTCGGAATCTTTCAGCCCTACGTGTGATTGGACCTGCTTTCGATACTCCATTGCACGTACAAGCACATCCAAGCAAGCAAGGACCTATTCGGACGGGGATACCCGGCTTCGGAGAAGTAAAGGTTCTCTGATTCGGTTCGTGCCTTACGTTAGTTTCTCTTTGATGCAGTAAAGTAGCAATGGATATGTATTGGCAAGTTGCTAGGCCGATTCTCTTCCAATTATATGGGACTTGGGAATCCCTACATGGAGATAAATACCTAAACTATATATGGTATATATACATGTATTGGACGGATATCTCGGCCTTTTTAGTGCAAACCGAGATAGCCTTTCATGCCTCTCTAAGCCTTTCATGCCTCTCTAAGCCTTTCATGCCTCTCTAAGCCTTTCTTAGTATTTAATACCACGCGGACGTAAACGGGCTAAGTTCCATGGTGGGGAAAATATCAAAAGCCTTCCAGCGCATACGTACATGCCACCCTTAAGCCAACAATAGGTAGGTAGGTAGGTAGGTAGCATACTAACCTAGCATACTACCCGTACGTGGCTGATGAAAGATGGGAGGCCGCTAATGTGGAGTATCGACATCGAGGCGTTAAGCAGCGGTCTAGCGTACGCGCCACCTATTGCCAACTAACGTATTCCTTTAATGCAGATTGACATAATCCGTACACGTATATTTGATACGGATAAGTACCTAACCTACTTACATATAGTTAAGTGAATAAGGGGCTGTGAGTTTCAGGTATGACGCGTTTCGAAGAACTCGAATTGAAGGCAAAACAGTAGCGTACCGAGGTACCGGTATCTATGTACAATAGGTACATATGTACCTAAACTGTTAGGTAGGTAGCGACGATATGTAGCAGCTGAGCCACCTTCAGTTGCGTGCCGTTTAGCCGCACAGCGCCGCAGCAGCTTGCAATAGCAACCGTCCGAGACAACAAGAGAAAGCGCCAGAAATAGTACCCGTGCAAAGTACCATGCAAATGTGCTAAGGCGCCTACCCAATGCAGGTAGCAATTCCAATAATTCCAGTAATTCCAGCAATTCCAGTCATTTACAGCCAAGGTACATGTGTTATCCCTTGAAACTCTTTTCCAAAGAAGGAATGCATGACCATCCGATCTCAATTCATCTACAGTTACAGGTCTTATTTCCATGTATCTAGTACCTTAGCAATACATTTACGTACATTCATATTTGACCCACCGCCTTCTTTTTCCCTTTTCATTTACACTTCCACTTGATCTCAACTATTATTATCAAGCTTCTCGTCGTCACCATCAACTCTTCCTTCATTTTGATCCTCCAGAACAACCCGACCTATTCCATCATTTTCGGCGTTTGAACGCGAACAAAACATCTTCATATTTGAATAAAGTACGTATGGCGCATTTAGCTAATGATGGTTATTCGATTGAGGCTCGAAAGCTTATGTTCTTGGCGGATTGACCTAACCGCTGCCATGGTTCTTGGCTAACTTAAGTCTTTGTTGTCGCAGGATCCCGAATTCAACTTACATCCATCAAATCATTCCAGATGGCCAGTCACGATTACTATCAGCAGGGTCCTCCCCAGGGTCCTCCCCAGGGTTATGGTGGTGGCTACCCGCAACAGCCTCAGCCGGTATGTCGCAATTTAGCAAATCGCTTCAGCGTTCCTAGAATACCTAATACATGTCGCAATCCCATTGAGACCTCAATCCCCATCTGCCAAGACAACATATTACGCCTGCGCTGCACCTTGCGATCCCCAAACCTCTGGGTCAGCACGCAATATTAGGCCAAATGTTGCCTTTGCTCTATATATAGCAACCTTTCTCCTCGCTGCAGGCTATAGGCTATATAGAAATCTAGAGGCTAGAAGCTGACTCAATCAAATTATAGGCATACGGTCCTGCTCAAGGCCAGTACTATGGCCCGCCTCAGGGCCAACCCCAGATGCAATACCAGCAACAACCCCCTCAAGAAAGAAAGCAGGGCGGCGGTGGCTGCCTCCAAGGCTGTCTAGCAGCACTGTGCTGTTGTTTCGTCTGTGAGGAGGGATGCGAGTGCTGTGCCGATTGCTGCGAATGCTGTTTCGAGATGTGTTAAGGTGGCCCCTGTCTAAGCCGATACGATAACGACGCCCCGGACGAAATGAGATGGCGGATCGGCTGCACTCGATGGAGTGTGCTTTGAGATGAGGTGTTGAATAATAATTGCGCATGCAAACTGCTACCTCGACGGTGCACTTCGACGCTAAGAATGAATAAAATTCGATAGGGTGAAGGGTCATTTTGCAAATATTGGTGCGATGAGATTATTAATGCTTCTATAGCAGACGTGTTCATCCTATTTTCTTTTTTTTCTTCAGTTCATGGTCAAATCCAGGTTTCGGAATTAGTTTTATATGATGATACTAGGCCATCCTCTTTTGGTTTTTACGATTTTGGTTTTTACGACATGGACAAGGAACATAGGCTCATTGCCTTTTCCCAAACAGGATTTTCTTCTGTAACAAAAACACCATTCACATGTTAGCAAAGATGCGTGTCAGTTCTATGGCAATTCGTGAAATTTAGGTTTTTTATACCCACACTCTGTCCAGACTAAGCATTGTTTTTATCACCATAACAGACGTCTGATTGCAGAAACGTAACATGATGATATAGTTAAGCCACAGTATCCAATTGCCTGTTCAATGTATGCCACCAGAGAATTACAAGACTTTTAAATGTAGGAATTTTAATCAAGTCAAGGAAAAACCATAGCCTAACAACAGATGGCTTCATTGCATGTGCATGAAACCAATGATCCCATAAATGTACCTACATATTAGATTCCATTGCTTGCCCTTTATTATATGCTCTTTAGTTCAACCAACAAGAAAATATAGCTGCCTAATCCTTTTAGGTAAACATCTTAGATTTATAAAACAGAAAACTTTCTGTCTAATAGATTGTACTCTTGTGATATATAAACAGGTTAATTTACATGTACTTTTGCAACTATTAAATCATTATGTTAACAGGTGAAGAGCAGGAAGTACATGCTTACATAGAAGACAAACACGGTGAGAAACGTAGATTCAACAACTAGGAGCACATGTAGCATTCCAAGCTATCTTCCTAAGTCAAATTTCAATGTATAGAGTTCTAATTGACAGCTTCATCGAAACAACTTATAGGTTGGTCATGCTTTACAACTTATCAATTGGTAGACGACGTCACTTTCACCAATCGGATTATTAGCATACAGTGCGATATAGTATAGGTATTTCTATTCTTCACACGGTAGGTATAAATAAGGGTAACCCCGCGGAACAGGGGCTTACATGATATGTACATGTATGTAGTAGTGGGGTACCGCCACCCGTCCAATGCTAAAGAGCCGATTTCGCATGACAAAAATTCGATAAACGGCATTTCAAAGCAACTCCAATGCGACAATCATTACAAAAACTTCAAGAATTTGCCTTTTCCGTTGACTTTACACCGCACATACTCCTAAAACAAGAAATATCTTGTGTCTTGTTTATGACATCGACTCGATCATACCTTGAGTAAGGGAAACTCTTGACTACAACCTCTATCTATCGTTTTGGCCTATAGGCATTTCCTATCGAGTAGTCGTATTTGCGGTATCGCATCCCAAACCCATAGGTACCTCTATTCAATCTTCCAAACCAGCCAACCAAACGACGGAGCCATATAAATAAATCAGGGGATTTGTCCCCCACGCCTCGGCTCCTCTCCTTTTCCCACCTTCTCCGATCCGACACAGCCATACACAATGTCAGCGATCCTCTCAGCCGACGACCTAAACGACTTCATCTCCCCGGGCGTAGCCTGCATCAAACCAGTCGAAACGCTCCCCGCCGCCCCCTCGCAGCCCGCCCCCAGCGACCTCGAGCACGAAGTCATCCTCGACGGCCAACAAAGCGCCAGCGCGCACACCGCAGGCCCCGCCCAGATCTCGCTGACCGACTGCCTAGCCTGTTCCGGCTGCGTGACCTCCGCCGAAGCCGTGCTCGTCAGCCTACAGAGCCACTCGGAGCTACTGAGCGTCTTGGACGGCGCGCCGGGGTTACGGATAATACGACGCGATGACGGGTTCGGGGTTGAGGGTCTTGAAAACCCAGACAGCAAGCTCTTCGTAGCAAGCGTGTCGCCACAGACGCGCGCGAGCCTCGCAGCAGTCGCGGGACGAGATGTAAGCGAGCGAGATGCCGGGCGCATGATATCACAGTTATTGGTGGGGTCCGATGGGCTGCGCGCGGGCGGCAAGTGGAACAATGGGTTTACATGGGTTGTCGACACAAATACAGCAAGGGAAGCGTGTCTAGTACTGGGTGCGGAGGAGGCGCTCAGCGACAAGAGCAAAGTCGCAAAGCCCATTTTAACGTCGAGTTGCCCTGGATGGGTATGCTACGCCGAGAAGACGCATCCACATGTCTTACCATACATCTCGAAGGTGAAGTCGCCGCAAGCACTTATGGGCACACTGCTGAAGACCACGTTGAGCCGGACATTGGGAATCTCTCCCGACCGGATATGGCACCTGGCTGTCATGCCGTGCTTCGACAAGAAGCTGGAGGCAAGCCGCGAGGAGCTTACGGACGCAGTGTGGAATGGGAATGCACAGCCTGGTAGGGGCGTGAGGGATGTAGATTGTGTCATCACGAGCAAAGAGATCTTGATGTTAACAGAATCGAGGAGCATTGATTTCTTCGGATTATCCAAAACCCCTGTTTCCGCCTCATTGCAAACTCCCTTTCCTGATCCCACACTAAGGCGCTTTCTCTTCCCTCCGCGGCCCCAGGCAGGCCAGGCAGACCCGCTAGCGGGGACCTCAGGGGGCAATCTCTATTACACACTAAAATACGTCTCAGCACGACACCCTGGGTCGAAAATCGAGACCGTACGTGGCCGGAACGCCGATATTGTGGAGTATACGGTGACCTCGCCAACCGGGGGGGCGATATTCAAAGCTGCGAGATATTACGGCTTCCGAAATATCCAAAATTTGGTCAGGAAGTTAAAGCCGCCGAAATTGTCGCGGATGCCGGGCGCAAAAGTTACCGGACCTCGGAGACCTGCGGGTAAGCCGGGTGGGTTGGAATACGCCTATGTTGAAGTCATGGCATGTCCCGGGGGCTGCACAAATGGTGGCGGTCAGATCAAGGTTGATGATCCGGTAGTAATTGAGAGGAGAGGCTTGGAGACGAAACCTGGGCCTCAGGAACAGAAGCAGTGGTTGGCACAAGTTGACGAAGCATACTTCTCGGCTGAAGACTCCGACTCGGATCCGGAGGCCGAGGACGTGAATTCGGCCGTAGAAAATGGGGATCAGGCGCGAGGTGACATGGTCGGCAGCATTTCTCCCGCATATATTCGAGATACCCTGACGCATTGGGCGGGCATAACAGGCATAGATGTCGATAGATTAGTATACACGAGCTATCGTGAGGTGGTGAGCGACGTGGGCAAGGACAAAGCGGCGGGCAACACGGAAAGGGTCGTCCAATTAGCGGGCAAGATCGGCGGCGGCTGGTAGCATCATTATTGTAGATCGGCATATAGAAAAACCCGAGTAATCATATCAACTGCCCTTGGCGCCACGCTTGGCAAAACCGAACCCTCCCCTTCCACTCCCGTCTGGGCCCCGTGGCGCACGGATGACTTGATCTTCCTCCCGCGGCGTAGAACGCCGTAATGGTGCTCCACCATCGCAGTTGTTGCTGTTCCCTTTCCGCTCAAGTGGGACTCCAGGTTTAGGCGAGTAGTTTGGGTCGTAGAGCTCTCGTCCCCCACCCGACTGGCTACTAGGTCGTTGGATGTTACTATCCCTGTCCCTATCCCTCTCTCCCCGGCTCTCATTATGCCGGTGTCCTCCCCCACCCCCTCTACCCCCTCTCCCCCTGCCCCGCGGACCCCGCCCCTCGGCCGACCGCGGGGGCGTCACAGCGCCAGGCGTCGAGGTGCCCGACGATGGATTCGAACTTCCTATGGCGGTACTATTAGTGCCGAATATCTTGGCGCGAGCCTCGTCGTAGCGTCGTTGCTTCTCCTCGCGCTCCCGCTGCTGCTTGGCTAGGATCTCCTCAGGCGTGAGCTGCGGCGTCTTCTTGCTGTCTTCGTCGTCGTCGCCGTCGGCCGCGTTGGGGTCCGAGACGGGCTTCCGGCTCAGGACCTTGACGGCGGGCTTGAAGCCTGTCGCGAGAGGTGGGTCTGAGCGCGCGGCGAGGTAGTGGAATGTCTCGTGGGGCGCTTCGCTGCGAATGTGTGTTAGTCTACGTGAGAATGTGGAAAGGGGGGATAGGGACGGCATACGCTGATTCCCAGAGCTTCTTGTTGGACTCGGCGTGCTGCGCCAGACGCTCGGCCTTGCTCAATTGCGGCTGCGGCTGCGTTTGAGACTTGGATTCTTCTTCGACAGCGATGGTCTTGTCCGCTTGAACCTCCCAGTCGTCGTCTTCCCAGGCGTCTGGGACTTTAGTCGTCCTCTTTGCCATGGTAGCTAGGTGTATTAGAACGCGGGGCGCTCTCGCGAATCTAAGGCGTATATACTATTAATTGTATTAATCTAAGAATAATCAATTATCTCTGGTCTTCAGCTTCTATCCGTAATCGCATATATAGGACTGTAATCATATTGGGTCTTGGGAAATGAACAGCTCCAACGATTGAGCGGGAGGGGAGATTTTTCGCTTTTCGCGAACGGAGTTATTAGGTTAGGGAAGTACATTAGGTAGGTACATAGATACCTAGGTAATGTAGAGTTACCCCATAATAACCCATAGCCCCTTGCGTTGATGCGGAGCTTTGGGGCTTACCTAATTTGGGGCGGCCTAGCTGACCTGCTGCGTACATGTACATACATCTTGTGTTACAGTGCATCGTAACCTGAGTTACAAGAAATGGAACCAATCGCAAATAGCGATCTTAGAGTGGGGCCGGACATTGCCGCCCTTAGGTAGCTCCAACTACAACTTGTATGGACCTAAACCGTACTACCAACAGCTTGACAACCTAACTCATCAAGAACATCAGACAACATTGAACACATACAGCGATAGGTAGCAAATATAATATACTCACTAGACAACTCGCTTAATATCGTAGGGCCTGTCTTGTTTTTCTATTCTTCCATTTTTCCCTGCCTTGTTTTACTTGGGTTACCTGTCTGTTCACGTTTCTCAGAATAGCACAAGCTCACCTGTTTGTATCAAGCGTACTTACCCAAATCCTAGTAAGTCAACTGCTACATTAGAAGCCTATGGAATACCATAACTAACTTGAGGCCGTAGTAACTGAAAACTATTTATTCTATTACTTACACAGGCTAGAAGATACTCGGAAGCAATGCAGAGCAACACACCCAGCTCGTCACGCCCACTCACCTCGCGGGTGCCGGGCCAGCTTCACACACCCACGCACTCCTTTAGCGAGGCCGCTTTCACTCCGGACTCCTCCGAAGTAAAAATGGGTAACTGGAACGACAAGCGGTCTAGGGAGGAGCTAGATCTTGCGCGAGCTAGACCTGCTGACCAGAAGTTCAACATGAGTTAGTTTCTGTATCCTCGCCTCTGTTTGGAGTTTGTCTACTAACCTTGGGGTATAACTCTTTATAGGAGATTATGAAGATCCCCTCTTACCCCGTCAACATCCACAATCTCACTACTACCCAAAGGGTGTTACGGCAGAGACGGAGGCCCAACTACTGAGACTCATTGCCGAACTCACAGGCTCCTCTAGTTGAGTCTGGCAAGCCTGGAACACAGATCAGTACCTGGTATCTAAGGATATCTACGCCGGAACTTTATACTATCTAGCACTAGGGAATATATTGTCTTTCTACCTATTACTCTATCTCCACCTCTGATTTTAGACATGTGCGTAGATTAATAGACCGCTTCGAATGATATTCTAAACTGTTGTCTATAATTACTGTTAAGCCTGCCACATAATAATTACCTAGCTTGCTAGAACGTAGCAATGTCTTAACGTAAGTTACACAGGAGCCTCATCCTAAACCAAGTAAGCAAGTAATGTAATATAGAAACAAAGGACATAGGCTTCGTGGCTGGGCAAATAAACATACAACCACTTAATTCATAATGATAAGAGCTCATTTGCCACAGCAGGCACATACATTCTAGCCAATATTGAAGCTACTGCAGGAAAGGAAACATCTTGACCATATTATCAGATATATCAGTACGCTATCCTTTTTCTTACGTTGCTAGGACTTCTCGGTATAAAGCAGTCGACGTATCCTCTTCTATTCCTTAATTCCTCCTCTGCTTTGGAACCACACTACGATACGATACATAATACAAAAGGGGTGTATTCAAGGTTGCCCACAGGCAACAAAAATACAAGGTCATTGTCTGATAATTCATAATAAATGCTAGGAGGAGTCTATGTAATTTTCTTGAACAATATCATGATCTTTTCTTTCAGCTTTGTTATATAAGACATAACCCGCAAACAATGCCGCCTTGTTTTTTTGTCGAAGACTATGCTACGATATTAAACGAAAGTCGAAAATAAATGTCTCGATACCCGACCTGGTACCAAATTTCAAAATCACCGCTTATGTACCGTCTTTTGGGAGGATCATAAATTTAATTAGCACTGACCAAGTGTTTGGGGGGCATTTAGGGCAAGATACCTGCCCACCTAAGGTTTTAATATTTTCAGGTAGGTACCTTAAACCCTCAGTTCAGAGCCAACAAGTGTCGTGATTACTTCACAGCCTACCCAGCCTCCTCTTACCGCCCAAGCTCAAGCAAAGTAAAAAGATTTTTACAACACAAGACTTGAATTTTTTTTACTTCTTCCTCTCAAGTTCTTTTTTTATTGCAATCCCTCGATCACTTCAAGAAACCACAGTCACAAGTACTCTTCCTAGAGAAAAGAAAACTACTACAAGGTGGGTCAAGTACTTCATCATATGCAACTTCAACACTCACCCCATTAGTCGCCTACGCCCTTCAATTTTTTGTCTACACACTACAAAAAAAATAAAAACTGTCACGGTTATTTAAAATAACGTTACCAAAAATCAAACACTGCATGCTCAATCATTGCAATAAAACTACACTAATATATATTCACAACCCACTACACTACCTAACGTATCTAGCAGTCAACTAACTGTTTTAAGATGCTGCTATCTTCAGCAAGCTCACTGACAGAGAGCTCGTTGGCGAACGATTCACCATCGTCGCCATCATCATTAAAGAGTCCGTCTTTACCACCGGAGGAACCGGCTTCACCATGGACTGATCGATGGCCAAACCACAACCTACAGAACTACTAGTAAGTAACGCTGAGGTTTCATTTTTATTTATTTATTAATCTGTCTTATACATTCACTCTTAGCAAACACATGTACTAACTAACCTATTTTAAAAGCATGGACGCGAATGCCAACGCCGTGCCTTTCCCGGTTTCCCCGGGTGTTCAGAAGGCAGCTGCTCCTTCACTCGGGCAACAGCCGTCTATTGCCAGAAAAGCTGTCCCGCTTATTGATTTAATAGTCACCCCGGATTACGATCCTAACCTCCCCCGACAATGCACATATCCCAACTTCAATGAGCACCTAACAATTCTTCAACGACGACAGCTTAAGCTATTCGTTAACACTCTCAAGCAACCTATTGCCATTGTCCTACCGACAAAACGTAACTACTACGGTAGCAGGCTAGTTATCTCTAACCTCGATCAAGAGCGTGTCCTTGCCAGTCTTGAAAAGCACCCGCTAGCCCCCATTGGTGAAGAAGACCAGGCAAGTCCTAGCTACGAGGAAGATCAAAGCACTATTGTTGCCGGCGAAGAATCTCACCAAGAATCCTACGAGGAATCTGCCGGTTTCGTCGACAAGGAAGTCCAAGACGAACCTACCAACATGGCTGAGGGCAACTTCTCCAACGACGCCTCATCGGCTAACCGCAACGACGGCCCGTTCGATGCTGGCAAATATCTAGACTCCATCGAGGACCCCGTACAACGCAGGAAGACCGTGCGTGCTGGAATGAACGCCATGTGGCCCTCCAATCACGTAGTCAACAACGTCTGGCGTCACCCTTACTATCGCGGCGTCGAGGAAGACGGCGACTACGAAACCTGGTTTAAAGCTACGGCCGACGAGCTTGGCTGGGACAATGACGACCCCTACTACGAGCCAGAGGATGATGAGCATTGGCGAGAGGTGGACGTGCCTCAGGTCGGCGACGAGGGTATCCCCGACCAGGCGGCGCTTGACTACGTGATGCATATGCGATACACGCGCGAGAAAATGGAAGCTGCCATCCGACGAAAGAGGGAGCTGTGGCAGGCGCGACATGGCACTTACGATGCCTTTGCTGCTACTTTTGGAAGTGACGGTGACGACGGCGACGACGCTGAAGACGCTGACGACAACGACGACAACGACAACAACAGCGGCAGCGACGATGAGGATGGTGATGATGATGACACCGAGGAACCTCCCCTACCTCCCCGTCGTCCCATTCGCATCAAGTTGGTCTCTAAGGCCAAGAAGGATGCCGCAATCGATGATGGCCCCCGGGTTTCCATCCCCCAGGATCCCCTCCCGCGTGGTGTCAAGCTCGTCTCAAACACCGGTCCCCCCTCCCAGCAAGCCCCGGGCTCCCCATCAAGCTCGGGACGTCCATCGAAGCGCGGTCGTGGCCGTGGACGCGGACGCGGACGAGGTCGAGGTCGAGGTCGCGGTCGCGGTAGTGGTAGTGGTAGTGGTCGCAAGCGTAAGGTTGATGACGACGCAGCGTATGAGCCGGAGACCGATGAGTCTGGCGAGCAGGATGGTGCGCGCAAGAAGCGACGCCGGACTGTATGATGGTCATTACGACAGCCCCTTTTCTCCACGGACCAATGATGCTGGAGAGGGGATATGGAGTTACGTTGAGACGATATAACGAGATCTGGAAGCTCGTCGTTTGCGAATATGGTCTTGGAACTTGCGCGTTTGGTTCGTCTGGTACTACTCTGATATCGAGAGTAGGGGGTGGACATGGGATGAGATAACCTAGATGACTTGAGGATTACGTCTAGGTCTTACTACTTGATTTGGACAGGGGGTCGATAGGCTGGCTCGTGGCAATAGGAGGATCACGATATGGTTCTTCTGTTCTTCTGGCAGCATGGCAACAAATAGGCCATGGCTGTTTACCATTAGGCGTCACGTTCACTCTGAGGTGATGCGATATATATGGACACTGGTGCTATTTGCTGATAACGAGAGTTCTCCAAGGAAGAGACTGGTACCTCGAGTACATAGCTATATAGATGCTTTCACATTTTCAATCAATGCGTTTAGGTTTCTACAATATCGTCTTTATTCTGGTGTCTGGGTTCATGTGTTGATGCCGAGTAGGCTCATCTAGAAATGCCCCTAAGATTACCTTTTAAATGCGAAAAAGGCATGCTTACTATAACCCTAGTTCAGAGCAGAGCCGCGATACTTCGGACATGCCTTCTACATCCCCTCAACGAAGATATGATTCCTACAATGGGGTACTACAATGGCGAGAAATGAATATTGCTACCTTGGTTCTTGAGTCTTATACAGTTCCACGATGTGTCGTAAGAGACGCGTATCATCATACTTATTTCTAATAACTTAGTAAAAGGCTGACTGAGATACGTTCCCCATTCCCAAGATGGCCGACTAACAAATGGGATATCTGGTGTCGTATGCTTGGAACCACTCGGCGCGGCTTATCGATCATGAGCAACCTACTGTCGTCAGCGCTATTGTTACTGAGGTCTTGGACTGGAGCGTTCTGGGTCTCGATATTCAGGTAACTAGGTGGTTAGGTTAAAGTTGCTATAATGTGACCAATATATAGCTGGGGTTCTTGTGTTGGCGCCACCCCTGGTGTCATGGTATACATATCTGTTCATCCCGCTAATTTATATCCTCCATCCAGTGCGCGTGTGCTAGGCGCTGGATGCTAGCCTTGCTATATTTATATTTATTGTATAACCGATTGCCACACGTGTTATCTAAGTATTTGGAGTTTAGGTATTTGGAGCAATTCCATTTCTAGATGAGGATGCTACCCTCGATAAATCTGTGGGGTCTCGGTTATGCGTACGTGATACATGTTACCTACCTACTCCAGTAGGTAACTTTCAAGTCTCGTACGTATTCAAGGTATGGCTTTAGGTAGTTGATGTGGATCGATCAGGCCTGCTTAAGAAAGGATTACGTGTTCGACGACATAGGAAATAGGGTTCGAGTTCTGATATAGCGTACATATGAAGAGGAGAGACGGGCATGTCTGAGGTAATCTTCAAGGGGAAGGATATCGGGACATGGGTGATGATCGCAAACTAGATACGCTTGCGGATATGGACGTGTTCGTGTATGGATATGAATAAAATTCTAGACTTCCCATCTTGGTTTCATTCTAATCTTTACATATCCATCTATATACGCTCGGTAGATACCGTGGTAGGGGTACGTTTATTATATCTCCAACTTGAACCCTACCTTGGGCGACAAGCTTTTGGCGGGGATGGTACTCGATACCCGATCTCCCCGTCTCTGCTCTGGAACTAGAAAACGGGATTGCGCCGTCCGTTGATCTTGGAGGTGGTCGGCTACCACATGGCGACAAGGGTCCCGTTTTCATCCTCTCCCTCTGGGTGAGCGTCTCCCTATTTTGCCTGATAATTTCCGAAAGGCTTAAACCGAGAAACTTAGGTAGCATCAAAGGGCGCTTATTGTTGTTATTGCATATCGGCGCCCCCTGGGGTAAGTAAGAAATTTTTTTTTTCCTTTTCTTTTTCTTTCGCCCCCGGAGTGACGGAAGATATTTACGAATGGGGCCGCGCGGGTTGGTGGCATCGATCCGCCGGCTCGGATTAGGATGGTGGGACTTACGGCGCGCTACGAGGTTAGCGAGATAATAGATCCCGGCTCAGGGTTTTTCATGTACTATGTAAGGTATACTACCAAGGTTATGTATGTAAGGTATAGCCCTAAGGCACGCGAGTATCGCGTGGCCCGAGAGCCTAAAAGGATGGATGGACGGGTTGAAGAAAACGGAAATGTTGATAAATTCGGATATCCGTGAATGGGGCAGCTCAACGGCTTGGCATCCGAACTCTTGGATTTGCTAAGCTTCGACTGCTTAATTATATCATCACTTGTTGCGTTGCTGGACAAGGTAGAAAGGGAGGTCTCACGATCTGGCCAGCTTGGCCGGGTTATGTGCAATACTACATAGTTACCCACAGGAGAGTACTATACCTAAGATTGCTACCCATCCCGTAATGAAACCCCGGATATAGATGGAAAGCGGCGATGCTGCTGAGAAAAGAAAAAAATTAAATAAATTGAATCATGACTCGCAGGCTTACACCACCCCCCCTCCCTCCTCCCCCCGATCCCGATCCCGCATCTCCCGCATATAGTCCCACGATTACGATCAAGTGGCTTGCGCATGCGTGACAGCTCGGCTGCATCATCGGTACTCTAAAATGTCCTTTTGAGACACGGGCATATGTGAGCGCCATACGCTGGGTACTTGGAATAGCACTTGACAAGCCCGCGCTGGGTTGGTGACGATGCTTGGGGAAGCACAGCTTTGTCGTCCCGCCCTACGTTGCAGGAGCGCGCGGAAATACAAAAACACATGGATGCTTGCTTGCTGGTAACAAGCAGATTATGCCTGTCACTGCAGCAGCCTCTTCGGTCAGTCAGCGTCGACATGATGCATCCCTTTCCCAACGCGCCAACAGTTGACATAATCGCTGAAACATCATCATGCATGTTTCGCTACTCCATAGTTAGTTTATAGAAATACAGAACTTTAGTAAATAATCTTGTCTTTTTAATTCAGGTCAAGTGCTGCAATAGTTGTGGTTGGAGATGACAATATTCTTAGTTACTTAGTTAAGACTTCTAAGAATCTTGTTAGAGTCTAACAGTGTGTTACTCGTAGCTGAACCACTAGCAGCAATAAATTATGCAGCTTACTTGCTGGATTGGCCACGGTCATTATTAGAAAGGGGCCAATCTACAAAAGGAGTTTTCGTAGATTAACGAAAAGAGATTAAGGTCCAGAGCTGTAACATGATGCTATTCCAAGCTCGAGCAGGATGCAAAGTGATGATAAGCGTCCAGCTCTACTATTAGTTCAAGGTAGCTCAGGATTAGCGGGTTTAATTCTTATTATTCATTTTTGTTTCATTGTGGTTGGCAACGCAAGCGTCCAGCGAGAAAAGGGTACGCAAGGATTCATTAACGACAAACGCTGCGTTCCGCATTAGGGCTGGTGGTAGACGGCGCCGCCATCTTAAAAAGGAATCGCTGATATCCTATCAGATATTCTCCACATCAAAGTATGTAATAAAGATATGTAAATAGGAGGTAGTCTAAGTACCTATGTAGGTACTTTGTGCCGCAGTAATATTGAAGGTTGAAGGATTGTTGTGTGTACATGTGTTATGGATTATATACGGATTACATCTCGGGCTTATATTACTTAATATGTATAATAGGAATAGTCTTGACACCGCAACTTCGAGACTTCTAGAAGAACCAACCACCTCAGAAATGACCAGGGCATAGCCGTGATCTTTCCGTCTTAGGTATCATCTTAGGTAATATAGGAAGCCGAATGAAGTCAATGAAGCCAATGATAGTAACAAATGAGAATAGTAGGCTCATCTGGGCTCTTACATACCTAGGTAGGGTAGGCTGGTAGGTAGTATACATAATATTATTTGGGTCGGGTGTCATGTCATCGAATCGTCAATAAGGAGACCCTCCCGGATTCTACCGCCTTGACTTGCTTTGCTTGGTTTTGCGCCTTGCGGGCGTTGCATATGTTGCAGATGAAACCTGGGAAACTTGTTTTAAGAATGCGACAGGCGTAATATGGTACCGATGCTGGTGCTGTATGATGATGCTATATGGTTTCGTACGAAGATATATGTATAGATCAACAAGGTCTCAGATCTTGCCTGCTCCGGCGAATATTCGTTGACAAGGTCTTAATAGAGATATTCTCCACCCTTTTCCCACCGTTTCCTGTAGTTTCGCCGCAATTGGCCTGCCCCCTTTCTTTACCTAGGTTGGTAGTTAAATGGTATTTGGAATTGGAAGTTGGAAGTTGGGAATTAGGAATTGGGAATTGGGAATTGGGAGATATTCATTCCCGACTGTTCGTGTGTCGTGTTTCTTGCTATTCGCATTCATCATACCTTTGTAATACTTTAATCCCCCCCTTTCTCTCCGTTTCCCGCCAAAACTCGGCGTTGACAGGTAAATCTCATCGCGGCTAGTTTCAGAATTGCGACATAGATCTCGCTCGACTCTTAGCCGACTAGCCAGACCTAGGTACGATCGCCTTCCCCATCAGGCATTCCGCTAGGTTAGGCACAACGGACTGGTACGGTATCAAATTACATACGAGATAGCACAGTTCCCCCTTCCAGTTCCAGGCCCTTCAGGGTAAGAAGAATCAAACGTCGGAGAAGGGAGAGGGAGAAAAAGAGAAAGAAAGCTTCTTTCGAGGTCAAACTAGTACCCGAACCTCGCCGGCTTCTCCAAGAGCCCAAGAGGGCACACCGAATCACATCAGAAACTCGTGATAGTCGGCTGATTTCGGTACCGATGGTATCGGTAGTGGAATTACTGGCAGATATTACTGGTATTTCTCGAGAGCTGAAATTTACGCGACAACTACCCTAAGGGTAGCTCATCGCATGTACACATGCTGTATGCTGTATGCTGTATGCTGTATGCTGTATGCTGTATGCTGTATGCTGTATGCTGTATGCTGTATGCTGTATGCTGTATGCTGTATGCTGGCTGGTGTGTGGTTTATGGTATGTACAATTCAATCCAGAGTACGTGGACACACACGAAAAACAACACGAATGCCGGTGTACCTAACGTTGCCACGTAC